GAGGGTGATGGCCATTCACATTGCAGCCCACTGACTAGGCAGTCCCCAGGATCTCTTTGATGGTTCCAGAGAGTTCTCTGGCTAAAGATTTTGTGGTGCATGTGCTGAGCAATGTTGACAATTCCATGAAAAGTGATGTTCCCACTGTGTTTGCTGTTCTTGCTGTCTGGGCAGCTCCTGAGAGTTTTGGGGATGAGGGCAGAGGTAGAAGGCATCACCTCCCTCTGGGCTTGCCTGTTTGGGATAGTCAGCTTCACCATAATCCTCAGACCTCCCCGAGTCAGCCATCACCAGCCTTCTTCGGAGACAGAGCCAGGGGCTGACCTTGGGGGCCACATGGCATGGAGCCTCCCTGGCCCCGGGTGCACTGCAGGTAGCCCACAGGTAGACAACCGTGAGGCAGGCGGGAGTGCCTGATATCAGATAAACCTCGATTCATGACGACCAAAGAAAGTCGCACCTTGGCCTCATCTAAGCCGAAAAACAAAAGTGAAGACACATTAAAATGGGAAGAAGAATAATATCTATATACTACTTACAGCAAGATGTCAGTAAGTGAAATCTGATACTTTAAATAAATAAATTTCTGAAAAAAATATTAAGGTTCAATTAGACTGATTCAAAATTAGCAGCGTGCCTGACACATGATGAAAACATTGTGTTAACCCACTGCCTACAATGCCAACATTTTACATTGAAACACCAGTTCAAATCCTGTCTCCTTCACTTCCAACCCAGCTCCCTGCTAACAGTCCAGAAAAAGCAGCTGCTGGTGTCCCAAATGTTTGGGCCCAGAGGAAGTTCCAGTCTCCTGGCTTTAGCCTGGGTCCAGTCGTGGCTGTTACAGCCATGTGGGAAACGAACCAACACATGGGAGGTCTCTCTCCCCGCCTCTTCCTCTTTTCATTACCATCTCCCAACATAACTCTGGCTTTCAGATAAATAAAATAAATGTTGGTGCTAATTCCCCTTGCTTGAATACCAGTGAAATAACACCTGAAAAGTTTCGTTTTATTGCACCAAGTGACAAAACTAAAAGCTTAGTCACAAGCATGTCAATGAGCAAGGAATCCTTAAGCACTAACAGCCAGAATCTTAAAACTGTAAGAGTTGTCCAGTGTGCTAGTTCAGTGTGCTAGCACCTCCCCAGCCCTGTCCCATTTTCCTTTTCTGATGTGGGAAAAAAAATCTCCTATTCTAATCAGGAAATTCCTCTGCTCACCCCAGAGGAAACTATAACCTCTCACTTGCCATGGCTAAGGACGGGTCTCGGGGGCACGTGAGGTGAGTGCTGATCCAGGAAGACCCAAGGAAGAAGCAGTGAGAGAGAGCAGAGGGCAACCCTGGACTTAGGGGCTGTGGACAGCACCGTGGGCAGTAACAGAGGAAGCCAACTGCCTGTGAGATAGTGTGGATTAATCACTCATGTCTCCCAACCACATGGAATGATTACAGACTGATAACAGCACACTCTGCAAAAGGAAATGAGGACTGTGGAGAAGAAAGTGACAGCCTACCCAGAACAGGATCCGCAGATCATCAGAACTGAGATGACCCAGGACAGGGGAAACGCAGCCCAGCCTTGGAGCCACAACACGCACAGAACAGAGACTCGGGCATCTATTGTCTATTACATCTGCGCGTCTTCATTATGTAAGAATGGCATTAAGCAGCCACTATGTGCCAAGCATTATGGCAAGCACCTGATTTGTCCAGGGTAGGCACCTTTGGAGGAGTTGATAAGGATTTGAAATGACTTAAGTGATACTTATTCAGAGCAGCCAAAAGAGTGCAATAGAACTAAAATTTGTTACTGCAACTATTTGACTTCTGAACAATGCCATGTGAGTTGTATTTTTTAAATACGTCTAACTGATAAAGTCTCTACACAGATCCTGAACTGGAGAATCCCTGCTTCTACTCCCTGGACATTCAGAAATGCAACAGTGCAACAGGCAGATTCCCTGTTGGAATCCCTGCCAGGGCAAATGCGCAAGGGAGCAAGTATCGCTTGGTCTCATGTCTGAGGACTACCGCCTTGAGCAAAGCTAAAGTGCTTGTTCCATTTTATTCTGGTATCTTCCTTTATTACCTTTCAGACTCTTTTTAAAAATGATTTATTTATTTTTGAGACAATTAGACAGAGTCCATCTGCTGGTTCACTCCCATATGGCCTCCAAGAGCTAGGGCTAGGCCAGGCAGAATCTAGGAGCCTGGAATTCCATCAAGGTTTCCCACTTGGATGGCAGGAGCTCGAGCCCTTTAGCCATCATCTGTTCCCTCTTAGGAGCATTAGCAGAAGTTGGATCAGAGCAGAACAACTGGGACTCAGACTCCCGCCCAGTATTACATGTGATAGTTTGTCTAACCACACCACAACGACAGTCCCTTCGCAGAACTTTTCAAAATTTTTAGAAAAGATTTATTCATTTATTTGTAAAGCAGAGTTACAGAGAGAAAGAAGGGCATGGAGGAGAGAGAGACAGAGACCTTCCAATTACTCAGTTACTCCCCAAATTGTTGCAATGCCCAGGTTTTACCAGGCCAAAGCCAGGAGCCAGCAGTTTCAGCCAAGTCTGAGGACTTGGGCAATCTTCTGCTGCTTTTGCAGTCACGTTAGCAGGGAGCTGGACAGGAAGTAGAGAAGCCCAAACTGGAAAAGGCATCCATCCACACTGCTGGCTACACCACAGCACTGGCCCCATGAACAATTTTTTAGAAGATTTATTTATTTACTTTTGCATTGGAAATTCAGATATACAGAAAGGAGGAGAGGCAAGGAGAAAAATCTTCCACCTGTTGAATCACTCCCCAAGTGGCCATAATGGTCAGAGCTGAGCTGATACGAAGCCAGGGGCCAAGGGTCTCTTCTGGGTCTCCCACGCGGGTGCAGGGTCCCAAGGCTTTGGGCCGTCCTCGATTGCTTTCCCAGGCCACAAGCAGGGAGCTGGACGGGAAACAGAACCGCTGGGATTAGAAACCTCACCCATTTGGGATCCCAGCGCATACAAGGTGAGGACTTCAGCCACTAGGCTACCATGCCAGACCCTGCCTCATGAACTTTTAATAAATAGGTGAACATGGTTAATCCCCTACCTGATAAAAGAATTCTTTTCCAGTATGCCCTATAGCATCTCCAAGAACTAAGTAGGGCTTGGTGGAACCTGATTTAGTGCTACCTGGGTTCACTTTATTGTTCCACAGGCAATCTAAATCATTGCCAGGCCACTATTCATCCTGGTTCTCAAAAAGAAAAGAAAAGAGAAAGAAAATTTCCACTTTTTTTCCTGTGTGCTAGCTGAAGAACACAGCTGGTATCACAGAGAAATTTAGAATCATATTGACTTTACCCAGTAATAATTAATTGCTCCTTTGTCAGAATCCAACGCAAACTGAATAACCCAGGAAGCTTTGAATATTACTGCTTGCATTCCTCATCCCAGAAACGCTGGCTTGGTGGTTCTGGGGTAGGGGCGGGCATTAGGAAAGTGTTTTAAGCTCCCCTAGGATTTTAAGGTGTAGCCAAGGTTGGGAATTCCATGCTAAAGGATTTTAAGAACTTCATCACCTGCCTTCACATTTAGATCTCTGGGTTAACCCCGGAGAGGCCTGTGAGGTTGGGAGAGGGTCAGAAGTCACTGGTCAGTAGAATGTGGTCCCGAAAGTGTGAGAAACTTTGTAGGGAAGGAACGATCCTTGAACCCAAGACCTGCTTCTGTGTGAGCTTCCTGGTCGTTACTGTCATGAAATGTTCCTTCTGGTACCTGCGCTGTTGACAAGTCTAGGTTTAATCCTTCCTAGTCTTCAAATGGACACTTTATTTTTTTTTTTAAGTCATGCATTTCAATTGGTCGGAAAACTCCACCTGCTCTTTCTTTACTCATTGAGTACTTACTGTTCTCAGCAATACAGGGGAGTGATGAATTGAGCTTGAATCGCCTTGTGACCTTGGATAAGTTCCATAACCTCTCTCAGTTTCTTCATCTGTAAAATGGGTATATCAATCCTTTTTCACTGAGCGTGAGGCCTAACCGGATAAATTCCTGGAGAAGTCTAGAATAGCGAGCAGCAGAGTAAGTTTTCAGCAAATGCTGGCTACTACTAATGTCTATGATTTCCTAAGCGCAGTTCTGCAGTTCTCTGCCTAGGGTTTGAGGAGCATAGAGAAGGGTAAAGCTAGGCCTCTCCCCTCCAGAGCGTCACAGTCAGGCATCTGAGACATACGGATGTCTCGTGAGGGGGGTGGCTGGGCTTTCGCCGTGTTATATGCAAGCTTCTGGGAGAGTCTTCAGGGAGGCGTTTTAGAAGATATGGCATTAGGTCTGGTATAAGAGTTAGATCGGACCTGCAGGCTTGGTCATTTGCTGCTTTAGTGACATGGGAGAGGAGAAAGCCCAAATATCCACAGCTCAAAGGAGACACGTAAGTAGATTCCCCTGACCCTCTGCCACCCACCTCCCGCAGGATAAAACCACCACATTCTTCCATGCCATGACCTGGGATTTGGTGACCTTCCTGCTGTGCCTGGGATTAGGCTTACTATGGGCAGTTCCACAACCATGGCCTGACAGCAATCCCAGCTGTACAGAAAGGCCTGTGGTGACTGCGGAAACGCCAGGAGGACCGTTGGTCAGCAGCGGTCAGGAGCAGAGGTGAGGTGAGCAGAGTAGTGAGGAGGCAATAACTGCGCTTGAGAGTTTCACAAGGCACCAAGAGCCAGGGTCATGTCTCTCCACCGCAGCCCTTTCAGGATATCCTGTCATTCAGCCAGGACATATATACAGTTCAGAGTGGTCCATTGCACCGAGACCCCAGCATCTGACACTTTTCCTGTCTGGGAAGGCAGCTCTCACATATCCTCTGGCTCAGTTCAGGAAAAGGAAAAGAAAAGATTTAAAAGCAGACATTGAAATGAGAAATAATTCACCAAGAGTTCATCAAACTGAGATAAAATAGCTAGACTTCAGACAGGTGCCTGGCACGGGGGAGGCGAGCTCGTCATGCTGCAATACCTCGCCATCCTTTCTCTTGGACTGGTCGCACAGACGCTCTGCAATGTGATTGTACTCAGACCGAAGGTAAGATGAGACGTCAATATTTCTATTCATTCATCTTCGTGGTGTGTTAGAAAGCCTTGGCTTTTCAGCATTGCTTGGGGAAAAGAGAGAACTTGTAAAGAAGAGATCCTAAATGTAGAAACATTTCCGCAGGTGTGATAACCAAGCGAGCTGGTTTTTTTTTTTTTTAAGTAAAAAGCTGGTTATCCTGCGCTGAAATCTGCCAACATCCCTCCTTCTATTGTGGATATTGGCATCTTCTGCCTGTTTCAGTCCTCTTTTCACGGTCAGTGCCTCCTCTCTCATCTCTCAGATCATAGAAAGTATCCAGAGCCACACTGAGACGTTTTTGCAGGAATTGCAGAGTGGATAATATCTTATAGAGGGACTATCAGAAGGGTCAGAAATAATGACAGGGAAGGCCAGACAGTCATCTAGTCCACCTGCCACAGGGTTGCAGCAAAGTCTCCAGGACAACCTTGTAAGTATCTGTACCTTTTCAGTCCTGCAGTGCAGTGAGCCCTTGAGCAGGTTCACCCAAGTTGTTATCACAAAGTGATGGCAAGCATTGCTGAGACCCAATCCGGGGTGATTTAGGTAAAATATATTTCACACTATCTAATTTCTATGCTACTAGGAATGAATTGTCTTTGCTTTTATTTATGTAAAGGGAACACATTTCATGCTGCTTATATACCATTTTGAGAACATAGTGAAACTTCCAAGGCTCTCCTCTCTCCTTCCCTCCCTACAACTCTCCTTCTCTCTCCTTCTGCCTTTTTTGTTTTGATTTTTTTTCAATGACCTACTTTATTTTTTTCAATTTAATTTATAATCATGAGTTTAACCCTCCACTGTATACAGAACTCGACAAGGAGCAAGCAGGAAAAAAAAAAAACCACTGTTCTTCAAGCGTATAGACAAGGACCATAAACAATGACCAGATCTCCAAATGATGATTTCGCTGACTTATCATTTTTTGGTACTCTGTGTATCAGTTACCACACATGAGTCTGTGTCTGTCTCAGGCAACTGTTTACCAATGCCAGTTTACACTCCAGTTGGCTCTATTCTGGTGATACCCATCATGAAAACACAGGCAGATGGCACAGTGGTTAACATCTCAGCTATGAAGTAGGCAGATGTGGACTTGAACTATGGCTGTATTTTGTGTTTTACAAACGTGTCTAAGACCCAGTCTCAGTGCTCCACAGATTATAACTGCTTAACCTTGAGCAAGCTACTTGAGCCCTTTGATCCTCAGTTTTCTCCTCTGACGGTGAGGGTTGTCGCCGCTGTCATCTCCATTAGTAGCCTCAGCAGGCGGTGCCTATGTTACAGAAACCGGGTCTTGGCAGGTGTTGAAAGCTGAGTTTACCATTCAGAGGGGACAGTGTTACCAACACTGCATGAGAGGCAGAATGAGTCATCTTGCTTAGAAAGGGCAACTTAAAGGTCAAGGAATTTCTTTAAAAGTGACGTTGAATTTGATCTATGAAGAAATCAAAGACAGAGTCAAGTCACCTTATACGCTTATCCAGCTGAGAGATTTTAATGTAAAGAAAAGCTGCATTTTAAAAATAAAGATGCATCACAGTAGTTAAAGGGGATTCATTCAATTCAAATTATACATATAGGGGTAGATTTTTATTACCCTATAAGTAATAACTATATCTATGTATATATAAAACTACACCTCAATATACTTTTTATAGGTTTTTTTAAAAGTTTTTCAAGGTCTCTTTTATTATTCCAAAAGGAGTAATAATACTGTGTTGGTTAATAACAATAACCAGATGAAAACCTTCTTATATGTTAATTGAGTGTAGGGAAGGGAAAAAGCTAATGAAAAAAGTGGATCAGAACCTCAGAGTGTGTCATTGGGCAAGTCCCTGCACCATCTTTCAGATCATTTTTCTCCCCCCTAAATGGAGACTATCCCTGGAGCTGAGAAAATTGGACAGAATGATGCGGTTGCACTTACATACAGCAATAAATTGTTCCATAAGTACAAGGCTTCTTGCTATGCAGATTTGACAAATCTCAATGAATGCAAATGTAATGGTGACACATCTACTGCTCTAGACCTGGGGCTGGGCTCTTAAGGTAAACTATAGGGAAACAGAACTACTGGACAGGTGTGTCTGCTTCTTAGCGGGCTTAAGTGAACAGCAAAATTTAAATGGGCCCCCTTGGGTTGGCCAGAGGAAGAATAAAAGCTTTAGAAAGGAGTGTGTTTTTGTGGAAGAGGTGGTGTGAAGCGGGACTTTGAAGGTTTGTGTTGAAAGGCCAAAGAGATGAGGGGCACATTCCTAGCAGGAAAGGCAACAAGCCAAGCACTGAGATGGTTGGAGAAGACCCACAGGAGCCAGAATGCCCTGCCTATGCTAGTCCAGACACCATGCAGGCAGTTCTCACCATTGGCATCAGTGAAAGGTCTTCATAAGCTGAACAGTGGCTCTTGATGGCTCCTTTTTCAGGAATTCATTCAAAATTTTGCACACTCAGCTGGAGTCAAAGTGAGTCTGGATCATTTATTTTAGAGCTGATTCTCTGCCTGATATTCGTCAGTCTGATAGCTCTAATTCTTCACTTGATGCTACCGTTCATCTACCACTATAACTACCACCACTGTTTCCAGGGCTTAGACTACAACAATGTACAAAACAGAGAAGATATCTGCTCTCACAGAGCCTACTTTCCAGTTGGATCGTCACCTAATATCTTTGTATAGCAATTAATATGGTGTTGTCTCCAGAACAGATACTCCTGTGGAATCAATGCTGAAAGATTTTTAAAAGGTGTTCATCTATAACCAATTGACTGGGAATAACCTGTTTTATTAGCTACCATGTGAAAGGAATATGCTGCAATATACTTCAGGTCCTTTATTTGGATAAGTGTAATGACTTTAGAAAGTTACCTTGTTGAGCACAAGAACCAAGACAGAGAACAGTCCAGACCAGGCCAGGTAACAGTACCACCAGCAGACATTTGGCCCAGGTCGGAGACATGCCAGGCTGGGCCAGCCATATCATCCACTGGCAAATCCAAGAACCAAAATGGTGTGTGGGTCATGCCAGGTCAGGCCACAACACAAGCCAGTTCACTTTAGAACTGGGACTGGGGGCTGACTGGGCTGGCCTCAACACCTATTGGTTTGCATAGTAGACAGGGCTGGAGATAGAACTGACCCTGCAATTGCAACCTCCAGTGTGTGTGTAGGCTGATTTGGACATTGGACTATGCCTGTATTAGCAAGCACACACAAGAACCAGATCTGGGATCACCTCAGATGAGGTTTCTTTAGGGATCCTCCCAACTGAACCGTAGACTCAGAACTCTAACCATGGAGAGAATTGAAGGTTCCATGGTCTGACCGTGGAGTGGCAGAGCTGAGCCTCCTCAGTAGCTTAGATGAAGCAGTGGACAGCATATTCAGTTCTACATGGAGGATATGGCAATTCATTGGAGCCTCTAGAGGACACCCAGTACCATAACAGAGGATGGAGGACAAAAGAAATTGATCAATTACCCCAGCCACGGGTTGGCAGTGAAAAATCTGGGGAAATGGAGACTGTAAGGTGGACTAAGTCAGCCAGTGGATTCTGGAGAGATTTCATTGTGCTTGGGGTGGTGAAATCAGCAGCAATTCAGAACAGTTGAACTATCAAAATCACTTGAACAGGACCCTTGGCGCATGCCCCACATCGGGGACCCTGGATGGTTGGGAGGCTGGGTGTGGCTTCTCCCCTTATCTCCCTCTTTCCCCCAAATATAGGGAAAAAAAGAGACTGTGGAAAGAATGATCTCGCCCACTTCCCTCTAGCCCTTGACCCTTCACACCCTAAGCAACTATGTAAAAATCATCACAAATAAAGTTTAAATACACATATATATGTATTATTTTTAAAAACTCAGGAAAAAGAGAAGAAAAGGAACACTCTTGTGTGCACTCTAAAATACAGAACAGGGATGATAAATGTGCAGTAGAAGCAGTGCTTCTCCCCTCTCAGCCCAGCTAGGGCGGACCCTGCTGGGGATCACAACCCACTTTCCCAATGAGGTTGCAAGTAGCATTCCATTCATTTCCATTCAACCTCATTGCCATCATTAATATTCTATTGAGGTGAAGCCCATGGAGAAGATTGACCAGAGTCAGAAAGTTTGCAAAGCTCTCATGATGAAACTGATGTTCTTCTCACTGTTTTCACAGGAGGGAAGATGTGATAGGCCAACTTTTCTCTTAGCAAAGACTGAGTGTCGATCCTGTGTGCTCAATCTTAACGTGAAGTGCCCGGATGGTTACGACAAGCTTACCAACGCTGAAGGATTTCGAGATTGCAGGTACTTAACAAAAAAATATGTTCCAGACTTGGAAGTCAAGGGGTAGTGAACTCAAACTGAAACTTCCAGTCTCAAAAAATTGCAAAGCATTGTCATGGTTTTTCACTTCTTCTGAAACTACACTGAGTCTGCACCGAAGTGACTTAGAAAATACAAACTTGGGTCAAAATCACATATTGTTACTGACTCACACCATAAGGCACAGTTGATTCATTGCAATGCATATATACATTCTCTCTTCAACCTGTATCTATTTATATTGACAATCTGGGTTACATCTGGGACTGTCAGCTCGAGCGTGAACATGCTTAAAGCACTGGGTCTCGTAGTCATCGCGTGAACTAGCTATAGACCACAATACTAACCAATTCAGCTCAAATATATGGGACATATAAATGATTCCACAGCTTGATTTTTGTAAATGTTGCATTCTTGAGGACTTGCTATGATTCAAAACTTTCATCATTTAAGATGAATCTCAACAGTGGGTTACAAGTGGCTTTGTCCAGTAGCTACGGAATGAAGTGAGACTCAAAGAAACTTTTTTTATTCCTTCAGTCTACTAATTTAGAAACTAGACATTGCTCAGTGAGTTCATTTTAATTTAGTGAAGAATTCATTTTTTTAGATTTTCTGTGGCAAAAAACTTGATGCTCTTCACACTATTTTAAATTATTAAATTTATTCAACATTATTTTATGTATCACTTTATGACAATTATTTTGAAAATCCACATGAAATGGAAGCCCCTTTTTGAGACATATTTATCAACCCTGACACCCACATTTCCTTAATTTGACCATGCAATACTATAAAACCAAAACTGTTATTTTTAATGGAAGTTTTTCAACATTAACTAATAGAATTAACAAGCACATCAACAGTGGTTACTGTCAGTCAGCTTCATTTCAGGGATTGGTTTGGGAGAACAAACTTGACCTCTGTTCTTAGTAGCAGTGCAGTTGAAAGAAATAAGATTGTCTCCAAATTCAGTAACATCTAACACAATATTAAGCTATGCCTACAGAGATCCCTGCAAATAGGCAATAGTGTTTGATCCCTGTAGAATTGCCGTTCCAGAACTGTACCTTAGCCAGTACTAGAAAATGTTCTAACTCCCAAAAAGATATTGTGATAATGTTGTCCACTACATTATACCACTTCTGCCACAGAAATCTCTACAGTCATAGTTTCTGTAATAAAAATACTAATCCTGGACAATGGGTTATTTTAAATCCATGGATATTATCCCTCTGTGCTGAATTTACTGCTGGGACAGTCAGTGACACTTTGCAATACTTCTAGCACGTGCCAAGATCTACCACCATTTACCTTATCCACTAACTCCTGATGTAACTTTAGATGTTTTCCCCCTTTTCATTTGATTCCTTTATCTAAGAATTAAAAAGTCATGGTGAAGTTTTACTCAGTCCTGAAATGCAAATGTGTTTAATCCATACTGTTGTACATGTGGGAAAGTACAAAGACTAAAATAGAACTCTCAGAAAATTCCGACACCTGGAGCTAACCGCGCGTCACCAGCCTCTCTTTACCCTTCCAGGTATACCTTCAAGGTCAAACAGTCCTCCCTGCTTCTCCCTGGATGCCGCCATGTCTGTAAGAAGATCTATGCGGAACCTCGGTGTTGCTCAGGCCGCTGGGGCCCGGATTGCACGGGTAAGGGATCTCACACTGGGCTTTCAGTCCTTGCTTCTTGATGTCCCTTTCCTCAGAAAACGGAATTGATGGAAGTCCAATAAAAGAAGAGCAGATGCATTTTCTAGAAATGTCCATTTTAGTCTAACTGTCCTTACCCTGTCAAGTTTTATAAAGAAGCCCACATTTTGCAGTTAGAGATCTCTTCTTAAGTAAGAAAAGGGAATAACGGAATGGATATCCTTAAAACACACACACACACACGGAAGAAAACTGGTTAGGGAAAGGAAGCAATCATGCTGGGCTATGATGATCCCAAATAGAGTTTTACTTAAGAAGCTATATTATTTCAGCATTTCTTTTCCTCTCAAAGACTGTATTCACTGTTTGGCAAACAGGACATACATTCAATCTTTTTTTTTTTTTCAAATTTTAGGATGGAAAGCAAACCGTAAAATGCTGGATTTAATATACCTTTGTGCAAAAAAAAAAAAAAAAATCTACAAAGTTACATGCAAAGACACTTACATAAAAAGCAATGTGTGATGGTCAGATTTAAAAGTAAGAAAACGTTTTTTTAAAGTCTGAACCAATGATATAATCTCCTGTGACAAAGGACACAATCTACCCTTGATCCTGAATCTATTCCATCCAAAATCTAGATGCTAACACTCAAACAGCAACAGAGTCCTCGAAAAGATACACAGGTTATGTGGGGGTTAGTAGGAGGTTAAAAACCAAATATTTTAACTCATGAATTTGCCATTTGTTTTCCATCTCCTAAGAGTGCAATGAAAACTCGGGGGCAACATTGGCACTCTTTTGCTTTTCTTCTTTTTTTTTTCTTTGTTTTTTTCTTTCTTCCTTCTTTTTTTTCTTTACTGATTAAACAAGCTAACATGCTGCTAAAACACTTGATAGATCAGAGAAGGCTTTCTATAAGATGCAGTACAAAAGCCAGAATGTTCCAAGAGTGAATGGCAGACCAGTGCGACAGGCCGAAAGAACACTAGGACTGCAACCAATAGTGTTAGGTTTGCACTTGGCTCCATCACGTGATGGTTCGGGCCAACAACTTTCTGATTACGCCTCGGTTTCCTCCACTATCAAATGAAGGTAGAAAGTGTAACCTTACACAACTGCTATAGAGATTTTAACACCTTAATCTAGGGGAGAGGATGTGCAGAGTACATGGCACCAGGAAGGCACCTTGTCAGTGACCTGTGAATGAGTGGACCAGAACCAAATAGTCCTCTGATCATGAAAGAAAACCACAATATTTTCCCTAAGTCCCCTCCCCCTCCTTTTTTTTTTTAACAGTGATAACTGATAAAACATGACTTGTGTGGGTTTCGTGCCATTGTACTGTGCTCCCTGCAGGTGAATATAGCAAGCTTCCCAGCCGCTCCCCCAAGAGTTTGCAAGGGATCCTGTGCTTTTGGATTCGTCTGGAGGGCAGAGAAGCAAAACTGACGACCACAGATCTCTGCCCTGCTTCTGCCGTCCTCCGGTGATGGCAAAAGCTTGCTTCGCTTTATCTGCACCTTCCAAGCACTCTGCATGTCATGAGAGGCTTCCTTCCTTTTGCTCAGGAAAAAACTAAATGCCCCAGCTGGCCACGAAGTTCACCTCTCCCATTTGGCGGTGATGACAAGCAAGACCTTGACTCTTGCTTTACATTTCCGCGAGGATAAGGCCGTTTGGGAGCTGCTGACACATGCCCGCCCTCCTCGGGAGGAAGCACATCCCCAAGTCCCAGAGGGCCTTGTTTCTAAGACACACAGTAGCCTCCACTTCCTTCCTGGTGCATCAACAAACACACCCAAAACCAACACCTCTAGATCCCTTCAAAATCCAGTCTAAAAGCACCTTACTCAAACTAGGAACCAACTCCATGGTCAATCCTGAAACTCTGGAAAACACAAAAAAGACATTGAGGAAAACATTACTAGTAATCTCAAATTAAGAACCAAGGCATGAATTCTCACACAGGGGGAAAAACATCACCCTGACATAAGGCAGGCGTCTCTAGCCAGATTGAACCAGACTCTCCCTAATTTAAACATTGCACTGCTTTCCCAAATGCACATATGGAAATCTTTTCTTGTCAGCACAAAAATATATTTCTAATCCTAAAACTTGATCATATTTGAACAGCCAGTATTTTACTTAAGATAAAACTATCTTTTTTTGATTTGAGCAAATTTTTGTATTTCACAAAAATTTCATGAAATTGAATAACAAACCAAAGTAATGGCAAACCAATGAGTGCCAGGGGGAAACCCTGAATTTTCTTACGTTCAGAACGTGATGAGCTTAAGGAGCACTGACAGTGTTTTTTCTGTGTTAGGTCATTGTCATTTCTATTTTTCAGATGTTATTTTCATTTGCTGCTTCACTTGTCTTTCCTATTACATATGCCTTATCATTTCCTGCAAAGGTTGTCAATAGCAGACCACAGGGGCTTGAAACCAATTGTTAGGCTTTTTGTTGGTAGCAGGGTTTTGTGGTTGGATTGAGGTGGGGGCGGTGGGGAGGCGGAAAGTTAGGCTTATTTTGCTTTGAGTGACAAATAATGCTGAGTTCATATGAAAAACATATATCACTTCAGTTTCCCGGACAGACAATTCCACAAGAGCTCTAAATAGAACGCCAGGACTTATCTCCCGCCACCACTGTGCACCAAGCTTTTAAACAAAGGTGGTGATTGCAACGGGCACCTCTAGAACTCTGACACGATAAGTCACAGGGAGGCCCTTGGCCTCTGGCAGGCAGGAAGCGAGTTACCTTCCTTTAAGGAGTAGACCAACTGATGATTTGCTGATGGTGTAATGGTTACTGCTCTTGCAAGGAAAGTCAGAAGCAAGAGACCACCGAGCAGGAATGCCAAAGGGAAATGTGATAACAACCTACAATGCCTTGTCAGTGCCTCGGCCTCCCAGTACATCAGACACACACTTAGGGCAAACTCAGTCATCTCATCTTCAAGCCTGGTGACTGAGAAAGTCACCATTTGACCATGGCATTTACTAATCAAGGTCTGAAGTTAGAAAACGCCAGGCGAGCATGGGAGGAGAGGGAGGGAGGTAAACTTTCCCTTTACAATCTTTATTTTAAAACCCGACACAAGTAGCTTGCACAAATTGCAAAAGTCATTCTATGAGGGCCATTCAAAATCTTCATAAAGGTATTTATGATGGGAGCCAGCTTCAGTTCTCCTCGGTGGGTAGCAAGGACAGATACACCTGGGCCAGCTTCCACTACTCTCCCAGACCTGTTAACACGGAGCTAGATAGAAGCAGAGAGGCCTGGAGACGGACTTTCTGTTAAGGGAATGTTAAGAGTTCTTCCAACTCTTTCAGAGTTAGAAGAAGCATAATTTACAGTTCCCCTCCTGAACTTCTTAACACGCATTAACCAAAGTTTCTCCATCCTTCCCTCCTCCCTGCTCTCCTCAACCTCAGACAAGCCCATTACACTCCTAATTGTGAGCTCAGCTTCTGTAGATTCCACATGATTCAGAACAGCTGGTCTAGGAAATCCCCTAACAGGAATACGCGCCTAAACTGTTAAAAGCAGACACAGAGGCCTGCTGGGTAGAAGCCTGACTCCTCGGTGGCTGGCCTGTAGCCTGGAATGCGGTCATTCTCCCTCGGTGAGTGGGCCCTGTTTTCTGCTGCCATGTGTGAAAGCAAGGCAGAGCTGCATGGAACAGACACCCAAGGGACAGCAAAGTCACTCCTGCCTCCCAGGGGGACTGGGCAGTGTATCAGAGGTGGGCAGGACACGCCTGGAAGAGGAGGAGGAAATTGGCTGGTGCTAGACTGCAGTAAAGAGGAAAGTGAGATGGGGAGGGGAGCTGGCTGCTTTGCTGAGAAAACCGGGGAGTGGAATGGGAACCTGGAATTCAGCCCTGCACATGTGGGCAGGCCAGGGAGGACAGTTGTGTGAGCTGCCACTCATAGCTGAGCCGGCTGGGTGTCTCCCAGAAAGCACCTTGCTCTTTAGGCTCTGAGGGGTGTCATGGGGACCAAGAGAAGGAACCAGTGGAAGGGTAGCTACTTCTTCACCTTCCTAGTACTTGCCATGGCTGCTCCTGGTCCCCAAAATTCCATCTCGCCCTGAGAAGGCCTAGTAAAAAACCAATGAGAGAAGAAGTATGTGATAGTAGATGATATAGCTAAAGGAAAAGTAAAGTTCTCTCCACACCCTGGCTCGATCCTGTGACCATCAAGGGGTTCAATTGCTTTCAGGTGAGCTTCGGGGACTTACCTGGCCTGAGCTGATGAAGCTCTTGGTCTTCCCCTTCATCCTCAACACCTGCTGCTCTCCCACACAGAAAGACCAGCATATTTAACAAAGCCCATCCTTAGTGACGCTGGTTGCTGCTATCTGCTAAGGCAAGCTCTAAAGCAACTTGGCCTTTTGGGCTTGGGTTATTTTTGGCAAATGTTGGGCAGCATCCAGTAGAGGGAGTCATGGGAATTCTAGCTCTGACAACCCTTATCCTGGTTTGTAAATCAGTTCTCTAGTTGGTCCCTGATCAGTGGCTCCCTCCTCCCTGAACTGGCAGGACCACGGAACTAGGGACCAGGTCTCTATGTTCACTCTTCTTCCTGAACTTTACACAGTGCTTGATTCCAACCCTGTGTCCCACAACATAGTATTGTGATCTGTTGCTTTATGGCAGTCTGAAAGAACAAACACAAGAGATGGGGGAATCTATCAGAATCAAAGCAGCTGTCATCAACTGTATGCCTAATATGAGAGTGTTTCAATACACTCGTGGAAATGGAATGCAAAGATGCTTATTTTGATACAGAATTAAAGTTCATGCATACGTTTTTCTTCACATGCATTTTTCATGAGCAGTTGCCATACCTCAGCTCCAGCTTTGTCTGACCAAGTTTCTCACCCTTCCCAGAGCAAATCATGCCTTTCTACAACCCTGAGACTTTACAGTGCCGTTCCCTCTACCTACCACGCCCTTCCCTTTAAAGCATGATCAACTCCTGCCACATCTACAAAACCTGTACAAAACCTGTAGAAACACCTGTTGGGTGTTTCTCAGACTACCCATGACAGCATGAATGCTCATGGCTTCCTTCATAAGACTCCCTTTTCTAGCATGTTGTTTAAGAGGCCTGAATTTAGAGTTTTGTGAAGGGCTGGGCTAAAAATTATCAGCTTTGCAACTGTGAGACCCTGGGCAAATTAAGACTATTATGAGTGCCAGGTTCTTTGCCTGTCGGCTACACCAATATCAACTACCACTGGAAGTTGCTGCAGGAATGACTTCATTCGTTGACAACAAAGCCTATGACACATGCTTAATCAAAGGTTGAGTGGGGATGGAAGAATGAGAGGAAAAGGGGAGAAAACCCCTATACTTACAAAAACTGTGTTAGGGTTCAAAAATGGGTTGATGCCTCCTGTGACAGGACCTGTCTGGATTAGCATTCACTCACTTACATGTATACCTCCATGACACCCTAGGCGGCCCCAACAGGTTTTCAATTGCTTCTTTTCCTTGGCAAGTAGCACACTAAATGCCACATCATAGGCACTGCATGCCTCCTGGAAGAATTTTTGTGTGCAGTTATCAATGAGTGATCCTGAGCTGTTTGACTCCCTAGAGTGCCCAGGAGGATGGCGGTCTCCCTGCAGTGGCCGGGGCACCTGTGCTGAAGGCATGGACGGGAGTGGGACGTGCTCCTGCCAGGTAAGCTCTGTCTATCCATCACCCCCGCTCCCCTTCTCCCCTGCTGAATCTCTTAAACCCACGCATGCCATGGGGGATATCTAAAAGGTCGTTTACAAACATAAGATGCGATCTGAGCAGTCGCCACCGGTAGCCTACTGCCCCTCAGCCTCTCCTCGGCATCCTTTGTGAACCCCTGGTCTGTCAATGGAAGAGTTTCTTCTTTGCTATCTTCTGAAAGTGGCTGTCGGCAAGTTTCAAGTCTTGGAGAGTTTAAATACAAAGAATTCCTTCTGAATGGGATTGAGCTCCCCTTTCTACAGAAATGCAAAGCTGAGAGTTTTCATGTCACCCTTGGGTGACACTGGGATGTAACTGGGTGCACCTGCTGTCTGTTTATAACTGGCTTTCCAAGCAGCCTTCTTCTGCACGGCTACAAAGCCTTCATGGGAAAGAGCGCAAAACCAGCAGGGACAAAGGAAGGCGGGGCGCGGGGGAGGATTGGCCCCGGGCACAGAGCAGTGTGTTTGAGAAAGACACATACTGTTCAGAGTATTGGTGGGAAGTTCAAGGGCTCCTTGAGTCACACAGATCCTGTTGGGTCTAACGTCACATTCCTGCGTGTTTTACAGCAAGGATTTGGTGGGACAGCCTGTGAAACCTGTGCTAATGACAACTTATATGGACTGAACTGTTCACAAGGTAGATGCGATTTCCATGTGATTAATACCTTTTTAAGGGGATGGGAAAACTTTTTAGCAGGGGGAGAAGGAAAGAGTCATTGAAAAGTTATATGTAATCAAGTCTACGCGGGGAATACAAAAGGTTGGACATTTGATGAAATGCGGTCAGTGGAGAGAGTCGGCGTGTGCTGTGGCTCTCAAACTCGCAGCCCAGCCCTCCCCCAGCAAGCCCTTCTGGCATGGGCAAGTTGGCATACTTGCCCAAGAGAAGGTTTCTTCTCTTGGGGTTTCAGGCCAGGGAATGAGTGGATGAAGGAAGGAATGGGTGAGTGGGTCAGTAATGGCTATTCATGTTTGCAAAAGAACCCAGAAACCTCTTCAGCCAGTTGTCCTCTAGGTGGCAGTGTTGTTTCATCCAACGTGATGGTAGCCCTAGCACAAGGCAGTTCTGCCTGCAAGTGGGACAGCTCTATTAGGTGTGGTTTGTTTCTAACAATAACTGCCCTGCCACAGGAGCAAGCTCCTCCCAGACTGTTTATTGGTTTGGAGACGACTGAGAGGTGCACCAGCCAATGCCAACACTCTATCCTAGCCCGTGCCCAGCTCCCAGTCAACACAGTCTGCAAAGCCCATTTTCTTTGACATGGCTCCCAAATCGGTCCCATAAAGGCACTGCTCATCCGAAGAGCTAGCATCTGCTGGATGCCTAGTGGTATACATAACCCCCTTGGGTGCTCATTATATCCTAAGTGAAGGATCCCATTCTCCAGACAAAGCAGAGGTCGCTCAAGGCTATGTGGCAGAAATGAGTGCAGAATCAGGATTGGCCCTCCAGGGGTCTGACTCCAGCTCTTAGGACCCCAACAACTGCCCTAGATGGCCTCTCATCGCGTGTCTGCCCTCAGACTGGTGATAGGAATCCTCCCATGGAGAGAGTAAGTCCTCATCACTGAGCAGTTAGACGTGTAGTCAATAATTACGCTACAAAGTCACAGACGGACCAGCAGCTCCCACGGTCACGAGACCCATCTCAGGGCTGCATGGTCCAGCCCTCTCATTAACATGACCATGACTCTAAGCATTTCAGTGTCACACATGTCTCTAGAGGTTTGCAGAGGCCAGCTCACAAAGTGCCAAGGGCCCTTTCAAGGAGACTCCGAGACTCTTTCTGCCGTTCTCCTGCCCAAGGACACGTTCTTGGCAGTGGCTGGCAGCCCTGCAATGCAGTGTAGTGGCACAAGCTCCCCAAAGCAGCCTGTGCCAGGTCAGCTAATCTGGTACAGAGGGTTTCCTGGAATGAAAAGGGGACACAGGCAGAGGTTTCTGCCAGAGTCTCTCAGCCTGGAGTGCGACTGTGCACTCCAGGTAACAGGTGCAGTCAGCATCCCAGCTAGGAGCAGAGCCCAAGTCACCTGGCAAGTCCCTATGGTACCACTCGCCCTCTTCCAATAGCTGTGGGACCGTATGTACTTAAGGCATCAAATGTCATTGTGTCTCTGAGGCTAGCCTCACCCCTACACTGTGGACTACTTTCATTTAAATATTGTGAGTATGTGTGTGTTCCTAAAACCTAAAACATTGTCTGCTGCTAGGAGGATCTAGGCAAGCACTTTAATATTTTATTTTCATTTGCTTGACTAGGAGAGAGAGACAAAGAAGGAAAGACTGTCTCCCATCCACTGTCCATTCTCAAAATGTTCACAAAGGCCTGGGCTGAGCCAGACAAAAGCCCAGAGCTCAGAACATCCAGGATGCACACACTGCAGGCAGGATCCATGTGTCCCAGGATGCAGTAGCAGGCAGCTGCAGGAGAGGAACCAGGACGGTGACCAGCATCCCAATATGGAATTTGGGGATCCCTAGTGGTGGCTTCACCGACTTGCCACAAAACCCATCCCTGCATTTTTAGTTGAATTGAATCTTGTCTGTTGAATCCATTCAGTGTGTCCCACTCCATAACCAACTTCTCTCAAAAATTTGTCATTTCCAAAAAGTTAGAGCTGTAGGTGGACCTCATAGTGTTTTACCATAATGGAAACCGTGGCAGTGGAGTTAGGAGAAAGAATGACAGTTAAAGAAAGGCTGACAAGTGCAAATGCAAGTTCATTATTGAAATACTTCCCTCATGGGGGTTGCGATCATTGAAGTAGGCCATACACGTGCAGCACCTGGTGAGAGGCCTGGGGGGTAGTAAATGTTGACCCTAAGGGAAGGGCCACTTCTGGAAAGAGGGCAGTGAGAGGCACACCTCAGGCGCAAAACTTAAGAAGAATCCAAAAGCCTCGATGAAGATAATTGTATGAGCTTCGTAGGATGGTTATAACAAAATATAGCAAACTGGGTATCTCAAAAATCTTATTATCTCACTTCTGGAGCTAGAACCTCAAAGTCAGCATTGCCTCTCGAAGCCTCTGGAAGGGAATCCTTCCTCTGGAAGGGAATCTGCCCTTTCCTCTCCAGCTGCTGGCAGCTCCAAGCGCTCCTTGGCTGTGGCGACATCACCCCGTCTGTCTCTGTGTCACATGGCCTCATTTCCCTTCAGTGGTTTTGAAATCTTTAGAGTTTTTTTCTTTTCATAGTGCATGTTTTCTATGAATCTGCAAAGACTTGTTATTTTAAAGGCAGAGTGAACAGAAACTGAGATCTACTAACGGCCAGAGCTAAGCCAAACCAAACCAAAACCCAGCACTCCATCTGGGCCTCTCGCATGAAGGGCGGGATCCAAGCACCTGAGCCATCTTCTGCTACCAGGCCCGCCTATGGGCTGCTGGCAGTTTAGGCAATGGCTCAGTCTGTTGTGCCATAATTCCAGCTCCTTTCATGACCTTTTTAAGACTCCTTCCAGTGGGTTTCAATCTAACAGGGATGAAAAGCATAAATTGAGAAAGTGCAACCACTGGTAGTTGATCTAGTTGCTGCCAGATGGAGCACAGTGTCACCCAGCTGAAGACAACCTCACAGAACATCACCAGGAGGCAAGCTCACAGCATCCGGGATGCCAAGAGCCAAAACCAGGCCACTGCTTAAGTGTGGCCACTGCTTAAGTGTGCCTGAATAGAGAAGAGATATGACAATGGAAAGCCATAAGCATAAAGTGTAATGCAGTCATGTGGCACTTAACAATGAGGGTCTGTTCTGAGCCATGCCCACATACACAGTTTCATTGTATGAATGTCAGAATGTGAATGTAGAGATGTGGCAGATGGGTTATTAGCATCCTGAAGTTATATCTAAAATACATTTAAAAACAAAGTGAAAGTGATAATGGACCAGTGTAGTGGCTCAACAGGCTAACCCTCTACCTACATGCTGGCATTCCATATGGATGCTGGTTCTACTGTAGTTGCTCAGTGTCTGAAATAGCTACATGCTTATGGCCTGAAAAGCAGTAGAGCATGGCTCAGGTCCTTGAGTCCCAGCACCCACGGCAGGGACCCAGAAGGGGCTTCAGGCTCCTAGCTTTGGATCAACTCCCGTCACTGTGGCTGTTTGGAGAGTAAAACAGTGAATGGAAGATCTTTCTGTCTCTCCTTCTCTCTGTAAACCTGTCTTTCAAATAAAAATAAATACATCTTTAGAAAAATTTGAGACTGATACAAGGATAAGCCTGAGTCTCCAAGGCTTCCAGCCTGTGATTGCCTCCAGCTCAGTAAGGGCATTGGAAAATGTTGCCCTTGCAGAAGCCTTAGAAGCAGACTCTAGCGGCTAACGAGTGCTCTCCATCCTCTGCCTGCAGTGTGCAACTGTGTGCATGGCGTGTGCGACAGTGGACTCCATGGCAACGGGACCTGCCAGTGTTACTCGGCATACACTGGCCCCAGCTGTGACAAGCGTAAGTACCATGGGTTCCTTAACACTGCACTAAGGACAGGTGCGCACATTTCAACCCTGTATGCATTGCTGGAGCTCTTCGGGGTCACGGCACTTTGGATCCACTGAAGGAAAAACAAAAGTCAAAGAGAAGGGGTGGGCTGAGCCCTTTGGTAAAGTGGTTAAGATGCCTCTTGAATCCCCATGTCCTATGTTGAGTCCCAGCTCCAATTTCAGTCCACGTCCCTGCTAATATATGCCCTGGGAGGCAGAGTGTGATGGATCAAGTTGTTGGAGTGGGGTGGAGAAGGGACAGCAATAAACATAGTGATGTGACCACAGCTGTGAAACTGTGACAGTGTGAAGGGTAACATGGAGAGACACTGGGGCTGAGGAGTCCCAGAAAAAGACACGATGGGTTACCACCTAGTGGATTAGACAAGGGATGTTCTTATGAGTCCCAGAGGCAGAACACATGAATAGCCCCTAGGAAGGTGGGCTTTGCATCAACAGATGTTCTTTCAGCAATGTATTACACTGGGTCCATGTACCAGATACCAGACACACTCAACAGAGAAATGTAGGTGACTGTGATAGAAGGGCAAATGTAAAGACGTAGATGGAAGACAGGTGTGATGGAGTGTGAACAAATGTTGAAGAAGCTGTGCTCAGGCCTTTCTGGGGCAGGTGTAGCGGCAGCTGAAGAGGCAGCAGAGAAGTTGGCTGTTTTTCCCAGCCCAGTACTGGACTACAGTCACCAAGCAAGGACAGGGCACTGCTGAGTGGAAGTTAGGGACTTTCCAAATGCATAACCTGTGGTATGCAATGATTGTGCAAGGAAGTTGGCAGGAAAGTGATGGGTAGTTCTGGGCCAAGGATTCTAAGTCATCCAGGGACGATAGGGCACCCTGGGTGCACAGCTGGGCAGAACATTCCTGGGCGTGTTATACAAGAACAGCAGTAATAACAGAACTGCCTTCTGGTTCCAGGAAGAGCCCTACCTCCTGCCATGGCCCTCTGGAGCCCTCTACTGGCAAGGTTTAATATCAGCCTCGTGGCAGAGAGCATCTGAAGGGTTAGGTTGGTGCTGGAAAGGTAGAGAAAATCATCATTCTGACCATAAGCATAGCCTCATTTAACTTGACCTCTAGATTTTAGTATAGGTAAGAAATTGATCCACTTTCTCTGTAATAATACCAGCGTCAGTCAATCCTTTTGGTTTTTGTCTCCTATAAAATAGAGAGGAGTAGTGGCTGAAGTTGTCATCTTGCATGTGCCAGGATCTCATGTGATTGCTGGTTTGTGTGCCAGCTACTCCACTTCTCAGCCAGTTCCCCGTTTGTGGCCTGGCAAATCAGTGGAGGATGGCCCAAAGCCTTGGGACCCTGCACCTGTGTGGGAGACCCAGAGAAGCTCCTGGCTTTGGATTGGCTCAGCTCTAGCTGTTGTGGCCACTTGGGGAGTGAACCAATGAAAGGAAGATCTTTCTCTCTCTTTCTCTCTGTAAATTTGCCTTTCCAATAAAAATAGATAAATTCTTAAGAGAAAGAAAGATACTGCCATGCTACGACCAGTTCAAATGCAGAGCGAGGAGGGTTTAGCCACTGATCCATCACACTGGGTCCCTCCACTCTTATTTCTTTATAATAACACTTGTCCTGTTCAAGTAATTCTCTCTCTTATCTTAGTTGTTAACAAACCTTTGCCCATTATAAAACATTAAAGTTCCTCCTCTAATAAAACCCCCTTCATGATCAGGAGTCTGCTTGGCTCTCTGCCTGGCTCTGCAGAAACTGGGCTTGGAAAAACAGGTAGCTAGACACTGACTGGCTGGCTACCACTCCTGATGTAATATCTGTCCTCCCCCCCGACCCAGGAGTTTCATCTCTCCCATCAATCCAACTGCTTAGCTTTGCAAGTTGGCTCTTTATAAACTTTTGAAAACTGCGTATGCCACACGTGTATCATGAAATGTCATGTAGTTCTTGGCCATTACGGAAGATGAAATTTTCTCTACTATTTTGTTAATTTAAAAAATCAGTTTAATAAAAGTTTTTACAGGATCCTATTGCATTACAGTATCATAAAAATTCATAAAAGATTTTCTATTGGTTGCCGACATGGTTACTTTGGGAATGCTATGAGCATGAGGATAAAAAGATAATTTTGCCTTACATACTATGTATTTTTGAAATCCTAATGAGTCTGTACTACTTGTATTAGAGTTAGTTATTCAAAAGGTAAAGTGACAGAGAAAGAGAAAGCAATCTTGCACCTGCTGATTTATTCTCCCAATGGCTGCAGCACCTGCGACAGGGCCAGGCTAAAGCCAGTCGCCAGAAACTCCATGGCAGCCTTCCATGTGTGTAGCGGGGACTCATGTACGTAGGCTACTTCTCATTGCATTAGCACGGACCTGAATCAGAGGCAGACTCGCTGGGACTCGAATAGGCATGGGATGAGACTCTCACTGCTCAACACCCACCCCTTGTATTTTAATAAAGGAGAATATTACAATTTGGTGGTGGTTTTGTAAAGAATTGGTTATTTTACTCATACAAGCACTTTGATGATATTCCTGTACAGCCATCCCCGAATGTGCCGCCTTGCTCTGCCCAGAAAATTCCAGATGTTCACCTTCCAGCAAAGATGCAAGCAAACTGGAATGCAAATGCCTTCCCAATTACAAAAGCAATGGCAAAGTCTGCGAGCGTGAGTAGAATGGAGAGCCTGCTGGGTTAGCTCAGTGAGACACAGCATTATGCAAGAGGAGGAAAAATACCTCATAACCTCCTTAGTATTAACACAATGATCATTTCTATTTCTCTCTATGTAGCTGAACAAAATACATGGTAATACTCACTAATTAACAGTTTGTCCTTCTGTAATCAATGCACATATGTAAGCTTTTAACATGTGCTTTTATAGCATCTTAACGTTCATTTCCTTTCCAAAATCTGAATTGTGTATTGATTAAGAAAATGAACTCTACATCCAGACCATCTGGATTTAAACCCAAATATGTCTTTTACTAACTTTATAGTCTTCATCGTGTCTATGCCTCCATTTTCTTATCTATCAAATGGGAATAAAAAGGAAAAGTACCTACCTTTGGGGATTGGGATGGTTATAAGGATTAGATTAGTTAATATATGGTGAATGCTTAGAACAGAACAGTATACATATAAGGAATCTTCATAATATTGATGTTTCATAGAATATGGTATTTATTTTCTTGGCCACGTGTGGATCTCTTTTGTAAAGGAAGTGGTCAAATGCAATGAGCTGAATAGTTCCTTTCTCTATTCCAACTGTTGACCTGCCTTGCCAGTTGTGATGAGCTGTGGCCACACAGATTTCCTTCTCCAGCCCTGAAGGTCCTAAAAGCCTCTGCTCTTGTCATTGTCCTTCCAGCCATCAACCCATGTCTGCAGAATGTCTGCCACCCTCATGCTCACTGCACATACCTGGGACCAAATCGGCACAGTTGCACCTGCCAAAAAGGATACCATGGGGATGGCCAAGTGTGCCTAGTATTAGACCCTTGTCAAGTTAACTTTGGAAACTGCCCTAAACAGTCTACAGTGTGCAGATATGACAGACCTGGACAGGTGAGCTAATGCATGATGCCTGCGTGCCTAGAACAGTGCATAGGAGGTAAGCTTGTACTGTTGTTACCATTCATCCTCTTTCTGGTCTCTCATGTAAGTGTAGAGGCAAAGCACTTGAGCCATTGTCTGCTGCTTAACCAGGTGCTCTGGCAAGGAGCTAGAGGAGAAGTAGAGCAGCCAGGATTCAGACTAGCTAGTGCCCAGTGGGATGCCAGTGATGGTTTTACTTGCTATGCCACATCGCTGGCCCCAAATTCTTCTCTGAAGCACCAGTTCAGACAGACTAGCAATATGGATCAAGAATTCCCACTGAAGGACTAACTGGGATGGTTTTTTATTTCTCTCCCTGCCTTGCCAAGTCTTTCTGTGAGTGTAAGGAACACTACCACAAGTTTGTGCCAGGAGTCGGGTGCAGTATGATCAACCTCTGTGAAATCGATAACCCATGTCACAAGAGTGCAAACTGTACCACCACCGCGCCAGGCAAAACTGAGTAAGTCCTTCTCAATTCTGCCCCTTTGTTCTCCGAGTGATGAAAGCAATAGCTGGTATATGCACAGCGTTCCTCAAGGAGCAGGGATTGGGGGAGGGAATGAGTACTAGTCTTTGTCCACTGCCATTCCATAAAATAGGAGTAAAGGGCACAGTAGGTATTTAATATGTCTGTATGTAATTGGTAACTCACTCAGCTACTATTTCCTTTATAATGATCCTTAGAACATTCTAGAATATTGATCTGGCCTCCACCTTGCTAAGAAGGGGTCAAAACATGGGAGAAGGAAACCAATATGACTGAGAAGCCAAATGGCTGCTGACACTCCACAATGTGCCTGTTCACGTTTTGTTACTGGTGAACTACTACTGCGTGTTGTTGGCACAAGCTAGATTTGGAAAAGAGGATTAAGCATAAATGCTGTTTCTTGGGCTCCAGGTTTCAGAGCAGGCGTCCCTCAAAGAGAATACATTCGTATGTGAAGATTCCTGAAGCAGACAGAGGCAGCTGATGTGATGGGAGGGGATCGTACTCAGAGCCTGGCTTGGTTAAGTGACAGTGGAGAAGTGGTGGCATCCTCTCCATGATCTTAGGCATGGATGGTCCGTTCCACAAGGCAGTGGTGGCTATTCCAAGGTAGAATGGTTCTGAAAACTGCTGTACAGGTGAATGTAGGTTTTGTAGTGATGAGACTAAGAACATGATTCTTTTGACTCCCAGGCTGATGTTTCTCTCGATGCCTTCCTCTGTCCTCACTGCCTTCAGTGCCTGCACAGGACTGAACCTGCCACTGTGAGCACAATTCCCTAGCAGACACCAAGCCAAGCAAACAGAACACCATTTCTGTGCTTCCACAGCCCCTTTCTACCTTCCATTTATGGCTGGTTTTCTGTGGGTGTGTTAGCTCCGTGGGTAATCATGGGGTGCCTGAACAAATGAGTTCATCTGCCACAGGTGGAGGAGGAAGAAAGTCTCAGAACCCCTGGGTTCAAATCCCAGCTCTGGCATTGACCTTGTGTTTCTTCAACCATTAGGGGGGGGATCATATCTCCTACCAAAACTCTGATGACAATCAGTAAGATTATATTCACTGATCCCTAGGCAGAATCGGGCATGCTGACCACTCCTTACCTGCTGAGTATACACGTGGTACACCTTGGCTTGCAGAGATGCTCAAACACCCATCACACGTGCACATACAGGCACATCTTCTCCCTACCCATACATTCTGGCAGAGCAAATGACTAAACAAGCCAGTGCACACATATTTTGCCATCCTCACAAAGAGTATGAAACATTCAACAATTTATCTTGACAAGATGAAAAAAATCAGAATAGTGTGAACTGCATCCAAATGTGTTAAAATATCATTGGGAATACTACTGGATTATAGAGATATAGCTATAAGCCTACAAACTTTCTTCCTTAGCTGGGAAGAGACCTAAGTAAAAATATTTGGAGCAGGCAAATGCCCTGGCAGTTAAAAATACCTATGACTGTATCCCATGTTGGAATGTTTGAGTATAAACCCTGGCTCCCCCTGTAAATCAACTTTGCAACTAACCCACACTCTGGGAGACGTTAAGTGGCGCCTCAAGCATTCGAGTCTCTGCCACCCGTATGGGAGACCTAGACTAAGATCAGGCTACTGGCTTCAGCCTGGGACTGCCCTGGCTTGTTTTTGTTGTTTTTGCTTTATGGGCATCTGGGGAGTAAGCAAGGAAAAGAGTAGTAATTTTGTGCATGTGTGTTTCTCTCCAGGTCCCTCTGACTTGATTTTTTTAAATAAGTTATCATGATAAACAGTGAAGCTGTCAAGCCTAGCCCATGGGAGATAGATCCTCCAGATGGCAAGTAGTGTGTGCAGAATCTTCAAACACATGCTGTGTTGGTCACTCCAGGCCACCCAATCAAGTACAAGTTCAAGTGTGCATGCCACATACCACTAGGGAGACCTTAGACAAGTCTAAACTTTTCAAAATCACAGTAACAACCCCTGACAAGTGGGACCAGAGAACAAACTGTGCCCTGGTAAGATCTGATAAGTTGCTGTATGTCAGCATGCATTGTGTGTAACTCCCTTCCACTTTGATAAAAAAAAAAATCTTTATGCTTTTACCAACTATACCCCATCTTTTTAGATTTATTTTCTTTTTATTTGAAATGCATATTTGCAGTGAAAGTTGGATAAACAGTAAGAATCTTCTTCCACCCACTCTTTCACTCTCCAAATGACCCCATCAGCTGAAGCTGAGCAGATCCACAGTCAGGAACAGGAACTTCTTCCAGGTCTCCCACATAGGTGCAGGGGCTCAGGTACTTGGGCCATCTTCCATTGCTTTCCAAAACCTTTAGCAGGGAGCTAGATCAGAAGTGGAGCACCCAGGACATGAATCAGTGCCCACATGGAATGCCAGTGCTGCAGGCAGCAACTTAGCCTACTACCTGCCATGGCTGTAGCCCCCCAGTTATAACTTTTCTGTGGGTTTAGCAAAAATATGAAGTACAGAGCAATATGAGGACACTTATAAAACCCCATTAGGAAAAAATGGAATGTAAAAATAAGTTCATGTGGGCGCAGAAGATTTTGATATATATGTAACTCCAGGATGCCTCTGAGCCAGGGTAGTTCACGGGTCCTTCAATGCTCAGCGCGCGCGCGCGCACACACACACACACACACACACACACACACACACACACACCCCCACCCCACCCACCCGGATGCCTCTCCAGTTCTCCAAGTCTACTGCTCTCCCTGTGAGTTCCTAGAAGATTCTAAAAATGCTTCCATATTAGCATTTATGGCTTAGAACTTGATGAGTACATTGTACAGGGTTGAGGGGAACAGGCACAGCCATTGACAGGCTCTCTGATCTGGAGTGAGACACTTCTTTGTGCCTTATCTAAAATGTTTCCTCATTGAAAATGTGTCAGAATTGACCACATAGGGTTCTTTTTTTTATTATTATTATTCTTAAACATACAATGATGAGGATCTTGGGAGAGTACCTCACCTGGGAACTATTGGTAAATGCTGGTTATTATACTCATCACTATTGTCAAAATAAAACTTCTGTGTGGTTCATATCATGATGGTCTTTGTGCCGACACCTGCTATCACAATTCAGACAAAAATTAGGTGAGAGTGTAGAGGGGCAAATGACTCAGTGAAGGAATGATGTGTACTATCTTATACTATTGAAGAAATGAAGGACACCAGGAACACTCTACATTTCATTGAGCATTAAATGCAGCGAATGCCAAATCACAACAAAATGGCTTTCCAGGGATTGTTAAAGTCTCCAGACAGCAGGAGACATTTATTCATGGTGTTTTTGTGTTTTTAATTTACACAAAAAGGCAAGACTACATGTGTGCCCAGGAACAATTGAAAATATTTTGGGGGTCAGGATTTGAAATAAAAATATTCTCATACATTCCACGTAGCTCTAACACCACTAAGATTTACTTCTCTCAGTACACAGAACAGATCATCGACCTTGTAACAACTTAAGGAACTTTAGTTTGTAAGGTTACTTGTTTGGCTATCAGCAGTTGCTTTCCAGGGAAACTTCTGTCATTCATACCAGGATATCTATTCAGTAATGACTACTGTATCACCTTTTTAAAAAGATTTATTTACTTTAAACACAAAGCAAGAGGGGGGAGATCTTCTACCTGCTAATTCACTCCCTAAATGACCACAATGGCTGAAGCCACGAGCCAGGAGCTTCCTCCAAGTCTGGGCACAAGTGTTCAAAAGATTGGACCATCTTCCTTGCTTTTCGGGCACAGTAGCAGGGAGTTAAATCAGAAGTAGGAGAAACAAGACTCAAACCAGTGTCTGCATGAGATGCCAACATTGCAGACGGCGAGTTAACCCTCTTTGTCATGATGCTGGCCATGTACCAGTTTTCAGTACTGCCGACCTTCTTAAATCATCAGGCACAGTACTTGCAGAGGAAGTTGAAGTAGGGAGCTGATTTCATTATTTTCATGTACTGTGGTTTCATCCTTAGGGCTATGTTAACATTTCCTTATCACAAGGTCTCTTGATGTTACCCTACTGATATTTGGGAGAAGAAGGGGCGGTTCTTTGTTCTTTTCTTGGGTCGGAAGCTATTGGGTGCAGGCTATAGGGTGTTTAGTAGCATTCTCAGCTTCTACGTACTAGAGACCAGGAATCCCCTGCTCCAGTCGTGACAACCAAAAATTACCCCCAGACGTTGTCAGATACTCTCTAGGGGGCAGAATTGTCCCTGCTCGAGAGCCACCACTTTATAAAATCCCCCAATTCTCCATAAGTAAATGTTCTTCCCATCATTTGTGCCACGAGGAGGGTTACCTTCTAGAATTAGCTTTAATGCTGACTTCCCTGGAAGCCACCCTTTGCTTCTCCAGGAGAATCACCCACCTTCTCTCCCACAGTGTACAACATCCTCTTCTGTCTTCTACTCTGGCTTGCTGGGTCCGCCCTGCTGTATCCCAGCACCTCCTTGTATCCATTGCCCTCAGACGCTCCACTGCCATCATTGCGGTATTCCTTGACGTGGTTGCCATTGTCAACTGAGTGCTGAACTCTTTTCCATGGCCTGGTAGCTGTGCTGTCTGTCTTCATTGTCTCTTCTATCACTGAAGTACTATTAAACCCATTTTATCAATAAGAAAACTGGGACTAGGATGATTAAGTGATCTCAGCCAGCTATAATTATTTGTTTTTAGATCTTCCTCAGCATATGAGAATATGAAAGGACAAGATTAACATTATCTTCACATTCCTCTTATCAAGCAAGTTTCCTTGGATTAAGTAGATTATTAGTAACCGTGGTAGCCACGAAGTGCTGTTCCAGCTGCTGGATGTGATGAAGAATAGGAGTTATCTGTGTTGTAGGACAGTTTCCTGTCTAGCAAAGGAGTAGGTGGGTGAGTTTTGCAAGGAAGGGTTGTAATGGTGGCAGCATCTACAGGAGACTCCAACAATGCTCAGCCCAGCCAGGGAGAAGGAGGCTAGATGACGCTGCCCCGATCAGGCCACCCGTGAGCCACCAGGTGAGGTTAGAGGGACAACCACAATAGGACAGACAACCAGGGAAAGCCTCAGAGTCTTCACAAGAAGGCAGCTTGGGGTGGCTGGAACTGGCAGTGGGCAGGAGGAAGAAGGCAAGGTACAAGCCCTCCACTTGCACCTTGTCCTGCACAGGAGAAGTCTTGAAGCACGCAGGTGAAGCTTTCTCCTTCAGAGACACCACTCAGCAACTGAGCAGTGCATCAGGCTGAGGGAAGAAAGATCTGTGAGGAGGCCAGGGCAGCAAGCCGGTGGCCAAGGGGAATTTGTTCAACAAACTGGCTGAAAAGACCATATTTGGAAACCTTGCCAGGTTAACCGTCCTTTGAAAAGCTCTCCTAACATGAGTCATAGCTGTGGTATTGTATGACCACAATAAAATTGTAATGTAGTCACAACCCATCATTGGTTCCCTGCATCCCTCCCCCTTCTGGAATGTTCTTCCCCTAACTCCCATTTGGTTCCTCACTCATCCTCAGGATCCTGGTGAGGATCACTTTCCTGGGTACCGTGTCAGCTTCAGCCAGCTGTCAGTCCCTTTCCTAGGTAGCGGTAGGATGCTGCCGCCAGGGGTTACTGTCTCACAAGAGGACAGTGTTGCATTTTAGGAATTTTACAAGCTCCCTGGAATCGTATGGGTAGTTTGAAATTGGCCAGGATTAGAGTTAGAAATTGGCAAAGCTTTCAAATTGGCTTTTGATCCCTCCAGGACAATTGGCTGTTAAATGTTGGCTCACACACCACTGATAGTAGACCTTTCACTATTTGTCTCTTACAAAAAGCTCACTGCTGTATAAACGTCTTATGACTTTGCTTTATGGTTTCCATATATTGAGATTTCGTTGTTTGATTTTTTTTTTAAGCTCAGTTTCTTCTTATTGTATAAGCAGCAATTCAGTGCCTGCTATGGACATAGGCCTGTATTCGAATTAGCTTCTATACTAATGAACTCACACAGCTTTTTCCTTCATTTACTTCTGAAATGAGATAGGGAAGCCAGGACAGAGCAAGTAGTCACACGCATCATGACAATTACAGCCGTGATGGCAGCTGCAGAAAAGGGCTTGCTCTCCCAGAGGAGTGTAGAGAGCCAACTTTCCTGACAGCCTTTGTTGTAGGGCTGTCCTTTCTCTAGAGAATGGTTTTGGCTCATTTGTCAAAGATTAGTTGGTTATAGATGTGGGGATTCATTTGTGGGTTCCCTAGTCTATTTCATTGATTGGTATGTGTATTCTTGTGCCAATACCAAGTTACTTTTTATTATAACTGCCCTGTAATATGTCTTAAAATATGGTATTATGATGCCTCCAGCTTTCTACTGTTTAGCATTACTTCAACTACTTGGGGTCTCTTGTGACTTGATATGAAATTTAGAGTCATTTTTTTTTCCTGAGATCTGTACATCACTTGGGGAATTGTGAACATTTTGAAATGAGACTTACAATCCGTGAACATAACGGTTTTTTTCTTATGTTTCATTTCTATTTCCTTCCTTAATGTTTTGCAATTTTCATTTTAAACATCTTTTGTATTCTTCATTACATGTATCCCAATGTATTAACTTTTTTTTTCAGTTATTGTAAATGGGACTGATTTTTTTGGAGAGGAACTTAGCTGAGTTTTTACTTTTTTGTAAAGATTTATTTATTTTTATTGCACAGTCAGATATACAGAGAGGAATAGAGATAGAGAGGAAGATCTTCCGTCCAATGATTCACTCCCCCAAGTGACCACAATGGCCAGAGCTGCGCCAATACGAAGCCAAGGACCAGGAGCTCTTCTGGGTCTTCCACACGGGTGCAGGGTCCCAAGGTTTTGGGCTGTCCTTGACTGCTTTTCCAGGTCACAAGCAGGGAGCTGGATGTTATCATCTCAACATTTGATGGCTTCAAGACTCTGACAATGTGTTTTCATGATCTCTATAGATGTACTTGCCAGAAAGGCTACGTGGGTGATGGCTTAGCATGTTATGGAAATATCATGGAACGACTCAGAGAATTAAATACGGAACCCAGAGGAAAATGGCAAGGAAGTCTGACCTCTTTCATTGCACTCCTAGGTATGTAGCTGTGGGTATAAATTCCCACACAGAAATCAGCCCTCCCAGAGATGAAGGCATCTACAAGACAGTCATTCAGAAATGAATAGACATGTGTTGTCTGTGGGGATCAGGTCTTCTAGAGAGAGGCTATACAGATCAGAAGGGAAGGTGTTCAACAGCTGTTTCCAAGGAGATGAGCAGGAATTCGCACCAGTGCAGTAACTGGTGGACAATGTCCTGGGATCACCATGGACTAACCAGATCTGCAAAAGCCGTAAGATAAGAAGAGCTACTAATGTAAGGATGGGTGCCATCTCCTTCAAGTGTGACTATTTAGTACCTTCAAGTGTGAACAAAGAATAGCTAGTGAAATTGGGAATGGGAAGTGACTGTGACCCTGGGGGCATTCTCCATGTTTCTCAGTGGAGGAATTATTTGAACTTAAGGACAAAGGACAGGCTTGCACACGTGTAGCCGTCTCAACACCCTTGTTGCCCAAACACTGATTGTCTATGCTGCTGCTGCTTCCTCCAGGCCACCTAGTAGGGAACAGCCTAAAACATGCTTGGGTGTGAGTCCTGAAGAAGAAAATATTATTCACCACAGCCTTAGCCAAGACTTCCAACTAAGCACAAATGTTTCCAGTGAACAGATAATAAAATATTGACTTGGTCAATCAATACTAGCCTTAAAATGTCAGCAACTATATTAAAATTTACCAGACACCAAAGTTGATGCCACAGAAAGAATACATGCAATGAAGCATATTGATGAGTTCTGGAAGCTCTGTTTCTTGCGTAAATGTTCTCCTCTTTCCAATGCATCTTACAGAGTTAAGCTGGCATTGCTGGGCTCAGGGCAATGTGAGCTCAGCAGTCTTCCTCTAAGGACTCTTAGACTACCAAAAAGGAAGCAACAGCAATGATGGATTGTCCTTTGCAAACCGGGACTTCAACTGAACAATCTTTTTTTGACTCTGCTTTTTGACTTTTTTAACTATCCTCATTGCAAGGTGCTAGTATGCACCACTTCCTGTGTAAGAGTACAGTGTGTCTTGCTGTCCCAGCTGCCCTGGGACTACGTAAAAAGCTCTGGCTGTGTAACCCATAGGACCTAGCACAAAATGAAAATGGGGGCTTTTTGCTAAAAAACAATTCAACATTTCGAGGTGGCAGCCACAAAGCCTTCTATGTGGTAGGGAGCCCTGCTGAGATGGTGTGGATGGAAATCAGGATTATGTCTTTTCTCACCAAAATGGTGACTGCTTGGAAAGTCAGACATAGAGACTGGGACCTTGGGGTTGTCAGAGGATGTTGTCCTGTGTGAACTACTCATCCCAGCATGTCCTTGAGATCAAGGCAGTGTCTTCATGGAAACTTCTAGAAGTATGTGGAATATATTGAGGCCCTGCATTCACAGGGTCTTTTCAGAGAGTTTCAATATTTCCAAAAGCCTGTATGCAGCAATTGCAGCAAAGAACACTTACAGGAGGCAACCATGACATAACACCACGGCCTGGTTTTGTTCCTTATATACTGATGACCATTTGGTGTTTTCTTTCTTTTTGTATTTTGACTCCTAAGACAAAGTTTATGCCTGGCCACTAAGTAACCTGGGACCATTTACTGTGCTGCTGCCCACAGACAAGGGACTAAAAGGATTCAACGTGAGTACTTGAAAGAACCCTCTACTGAGCGGTGAATGTAGCAAGTTTTAATTGGTGGCACCCTCTTTAAAGTGGGAAACTAGGGGTGAGCATTTGGCAAAGCAGCTAAGGTGCCACTTAAAGCACATGCATCCCACGTGGATGCCTCTGTCTCAGTCTGGTCTCCACTCCTGACTTCTACCTTGCTGCTAATGTGCACCCTGGGAGAAAGCAGGTCATGGCTCAAGTACTTGGGCTTCTGACAGTCGCATGGGAGACCTGGATGGAATTTCCAACTGCTGTCTCTTCAACACAGGCCCGGCTATTTCAGAGGATGAAGCATAGAATTCGAGATCTCTGACTCTCTCTCTCTCTTCCTCCCCCTTCTCTCCTTTCTCCCCTCTTCCTCCTCACTCTCCCTTTAGTGGTCTTCTCACTTGCCCTCTCTCTCACCCTGTTGCTCTCTTTGCCTCCCAAGTCTACCTTTGAAATAAATGCATTTTTAAGAATGTGGGTTATCTTAATCCAGGATATTTTGTGATAAATTTCCCAGCACTGAGTCAAAACCCAGTAAGTTTCATACTCTTTCACCCAGCATACCCATCCCACTAATTTGTCAGAGATGAGTGACAGCTAGTTCTCTGATCTGCCAGAGCTCATCCTGCCTACTGTACACCAACAGAGATGATCTTACAGGTGTCCTGCTGGGAAACAGAGCTAGCCAACACAGCTTGCCTTCAGGCTAGGCATTTTACTGTGGCCTCTTGTCTAATGTGTCAATGAAGGGTATGTCAAGTTTGAATGTTTATTAAGTTCTTCCAAGTTTAATAAAACATGGCTATTATCAGTGACTCTGGAGTTGTGTTAAAATGCAGTTTTGACAAAATCTGGCTTTACTAATTCAAAGTGCTGGCAGTCACTCTATCTGCTCTCTGCTCAAAGCTCCATATTTCCTTTCAGCCTTCTTGCTGGACTTTAGTTCAACTCCTGGGTGGCACTCCCTCCTCTCCCCACAGCATCAGGACCATTTCCCCCACTGAGCTGACTTCAGTGTATGAGCAACTTCCCATGATCCGAGAGTATGTCATGCGTCACTTCCCAAACTCCCCATTTCTGCTCCCTTTATGGCCTGCCCCAAAGAGGTGGTGCCAGGGAAAAGTTATCTGCAAAAAGCCCCAAACCAATGTAGGTCACACAGATTTGGATATGTCTGATGTGAAACAAGGCACAGCCTGCACTACAAAACTCATTTTCTCCTTTAAGCAACAGTCACACCAGTTCTCTTTCCTTAGATGAAAGCACTCCTGCTGGATAAGGAAGCTGCTGAATACTTTGTGAAACTCCACATCATTGCTGGGCAGATGAGCACCACAAGGATGAACGCCACAGACACATTCTACACCTTGACCGGGAAGTCAGGGGAAATCTTCATCGATGATACGGTGAGGGGTTGGATTTTTCACTCCCAGAACTGCACCATCCCCAAGCCAAGCTGTAGCCTCCTCTTTCTTTGTATTTGGGGTTTTTGAAAGGCTCCAAAGAACTTATTTTTCACTCTTTGTTTGCCAAAACTTTCCAACATAGGAAGAAGCAAATGAAACATGAGACAGGGTATTGCCAGGTGTTTAATTTGAGTCCAGTCTGATTTCATTTTCAGGGCAGCCATCACTCAGCTGCCAGCAGTAAGAGCAACTGCTGTAACCCATTTCCTGGAAATATCAGCACAAAACCACATCAGCATTCCTTTTAGTGAGGGAAATGGATGATGTTTGTTTTAGATTGCTTGAGGTAATCCATCTTCTCCGACTTAACATTCTCTCCCAGTGCCTCTCGTTCTGTTTGCTTTTTAAAACAGTCCTCTGCTCTCCTTGTGTGACTTTAGCTGGAGGCAAGTGATTAATTTCAGAATGTGTGTGGGGGGACTGTGACCTACACCGCTGTCTCAACAGATAGCCATAGTTCAAAACAAAGTCCTGAGATAACGGTTTGTGTTGTATAAGATGACAAACAATCGTGTGAAGGAAGTCCTATCAGCGGTCCCATTTTTCCCATGGGAAAATGGAGAGCTCGCACAGTAAATACCACAGCCAGGATTGAACTATGAATCTACCGAACTCCAAAGGCTGAGTTCTTAATCAGGGCTATTTGTATGTTTGAGGATGAATGTGTGGATGAAGAGGTGAGCTTTTGCAGAGGTGGGTGGATGAATGGGTCGATGGATAGGTAGAAAATCAGCAAATGAGAGGATTATATTGGATGAGTGTACTCATTCTGTGAATGAGTACACAGAAAAGATGATGAAAAGATGGGAATGAATATTTGGCCTCCTCTTTTAAAAGGATATACATGCATTTGCACATTCATTCAACAGATACTAAGTCTATAATTTACAGGAAATACTTGGGAAGAAGAGATTAGTTTTAACTATTCATTCAACAACTGTGTTTTTAGTTTTAATTATTCATTCAACAACTATGTTTTTGTCGTTTGCCCCTCTGTGCAAGGCACATGATGAATTCACAGCAAATTGAAGGGTTTCGTCCTCACAGATTCTGCAATCTACTGAAGGATAGTTTTGTACAACCTTGCGCACAATTAGATATGATACTCATTGATAACTTTCATCTGACCTTGATGAAAACCTATGAGGCCAAGCAAGCAAATATAACCCTTTTGTTAGATTAAATCACTTATCCAGAACCACATTGTCTTTAAGTAACAGGACCTAAAGACTCAGGACTTCTGACTTCGAGCTCAGTGCCTGCTCTTTCCAGGATATCACATGAGTTTTATTATTGTTTGGTGTTTTAGGGGAATCAACTAAAACTTTATGAGGCCAAGAATAGGGTAAAAATTATACAAGGAAATATAATTGCTTCCAATGGACTCTTGCACATCCTGGATAGAGCCATGGATGAGCTAGCACCCACACTGAAGAGCAACACTGAGGTAAGACACTCCAGACACAAGTATCTGGACCCATCTTCCATTTGCTCCCTGGAGAGTCACATTGTGCTTGCCCTTCCCCAGGAACAGGCTATCAAGCATTAAGGGATGGCATGAATGGCCTGCTTCCCATAGAATTCTCAGTATTTCTGTCTATTAAAAAAAAAAAAAGATACATAGTACTAATGTAACAAAGTGCTGGATTTGTTTTAACCTCTCTATGCTCTAGTAGACAACTCTGCCCAATAATCAATTGTCATGATAATGTGTTCTCTCCTGATTTATGGAGAAGGGCAGTCTTGATGAGATAAAATTTGTTCCTTCTGACCACATGGTGATGACCAAAAGCTCCGTCAGAACCCACAGGTCTGAACAGCACCAAACCTTTGTATAACACAACGCTGTAAAGCCTGATTCTTTAATACATGCCCTTCACTGACAAAACTCTGTCATCAGGATTTTAATGTTAGAGGATGTGTTTCCTAAACTACATTTTTTAACCTGTGCTTAAGCAATACATCTTTTTTTTTAAGCAAACCATAATGGAAATGCTACAACCAAGATATAGCAAATTCAGATCTTTATTGGAGGTATGTAATGTTCAAACATTCCTAGAAAATATCTGTGTCACATTCTTTGTAAGACAGGGAAATTAATTCTAAATATTCTGTGGGGAATGATTGCATTTGTCAAAAACAAGTTGGAGATGTGAAATTTTATTTCTCAAATGCAGGAAACCAGTGTGGGACATGCCTTAGATGAGGACAGATTTGGTGAAGCATACACCATTTTTGTTCCAAGTAATGAAGCCCTGGAAAACATGAAGGACGGCACTCTTGATTATCTCCGTTCCCCAGAGGTATTGTGGATCCCAATGTCTGTGATGATAGTGAGTCAGCATGGCTGCCCCAGTCTGTGGCTGCCCCAGTGTGTGTCCTTATAGGCTTTTCGTAAGCTGGGGACAGAAAATAAACAGCACACGTACCACTACCACACTCCCACTACCAAGGCAGACATCACTAACCAATCCCAGTATTCTAGCACTCATCCTAGATATGGCTTCAATCTCCTCAGAGTTCCAAGTGACTACTGTCAGTGTTGGCACAACAAATAAAAGCTACTTGCTAGTCCAGATCCATGCAGTTGATTTGATTTCCAATGTTCCCCCATAGTGAAACTAACATTTTAAGTTTTCTACATCTAAAACCACCTAGGAAATGAAACCTAAACTGGACCATCCAAAGCCAGGTCTTAGCTTAATTGTAAAGGTAATAAGTGATGTTTTTAAATGTTCTGAACTTTTCTTTCTGTGCTTCGGTCTGTCTCCATGATAACTCTCTCCTTATGTTCCGTGGGATTTCAGTTCCCACAGTTCCACTCTAAAAGATGATTGACTGCTTCACTCTAGGGTATAAATGACCGAAACCATTGAAAGGGCTTCTGCTCCAGGGAATAACGGCGCTTACACTCCTAGCTAATATTTCCTATACCAACCATCCCAGGGCCATGTTGCAGGCAATCCGAGCCTGCTGAAATTATTTAAGTTAGCCAATTGCAAACCTGCTTACCCTGCCACATCCATTCCTTCTTAAGGAAAACAAAATTAAGATCTAAGCAGAAGGATTTCCAATTAATGAACTATGTCGTTAGACCATACAACAAACAGTGAGATTATGTGAAGGGCTTAGGTTTATTAGGAATAAACCGTGGAGCATGTCCAATAGACAAATTCTAGACTTTTAGGCTTCCAGTTAAGTAGTGCTAGCAGCAGGCCCAGAAATAGATTTGCTCACCAGCACTGACCATCTAGGTCAACTAGCTTCAGGCCAAACTGGGGTATCTTGGCATTATTGCCTATTTCGTTTAGAGCTCACATATATATGTACCTTCCCAGAACACTTCTAAGTATCTACAAGAATATCTTGCTTTTGAAAATCTTTGAATTAAAAGAAACTTATCAAGGAGATAAATCAGAAGGTATTTCTTTTATAGCAAACAGATGTTCATTTTGTGAAAACATTCGCTATCAGTTTCTATTGAAAATTGAAAACTCCCAAGCTGTTCCAAATTAGGTGTGATTTTAAAGAAGTTTTCTGAAACATTGAGGAAAACCATTAAACTTCAGCTTAGAACTCACATTTAAGTTACCTAAGAAAATGATGTTGTTCTCTGGGTACTAATTAAAATCCTGAGCTGGTATGGCTTTCTTGGAAGCAAGCATTCAATTTGATAGAAATGATTTTAAAACAATAATACCAGAGTTTGGGGGCAACTCTTCCATATTTGAGGTTAAAATGAAACATTTTTATTTGAAAATTTTTACTCACATAAGGTGAACAAATTTTATGCATTTCGTACATATAGCTTTAAGAGCATAATGATATTTCCCATGCACCCACACTCCCTCTCCGCTCCTTTCCTATCTCCTTTGAAGTTTAACATCTTAAATTTTGACATCTTAAAATTAGCCACCTCCTTTTTCTGTCATGTGTCTTTGCATTCTTGTGCCCAGAGACTTGCTCTCCTGCTACAAAACTGCTTTTCTAGCTCAACATTGCTACTGGCTCTGTTTTGTTTCTCTCAAAAGGCTTATCTTTCTACCAGCAAAGACTCTGTAATTTGAAATCTCTGGTTCTGAGTCCAAACCTGCTTTCCACTTCAATTTCTAGAAGAGCAGTAGAGGGATCATTTCTGCCTTTCTGCCTGTTCAGAGCCTGTGAGAGTTAAAGCTTCCCAACCAGAATCAGCAGGCAGTTCCCTTCCCCCTCCATCTCCTACCATCACCCTTTAGTGCAATCTCTAGGAAAGAAAGGATCTCAATTAGAGGCTGTGGGTTCTCCAAGGAACATGCCTAGGAGTTGGGGAAGAAACTGGTTTCACTGGAAGGAAACCTTCCCCTTCTGCTTTCAGAACACCACGTTTCCTTCCAACGGTGACTTTGCCTGAGGTCAACATTCTAGTCTAGAAACCCGCTGGTCCCTGTAGAGACCACAAGCCCCAGAGTATGTCTTCATTACCAATCCATATAGAAATGCAAACAATGGGAGCAGCAGACCTCACTTTGCCAATTCACAGATAGCATGCCACTTAAATACGATGAGGGGATGTGGTTTTACACAATTTAAAGTCATTTTCACAATATGGCAAGAAAGCTCTCTTGTACTACCTTTTTGCTCAAGCTACAAGGGCAGGGAGAGATACATGTCCCCATAAGGAAAAGAATGCACTACACGAAAGGCTCTTCTGCAACGACAGCACCTACAAGTACATCATGTTGATGTGAGCCAGTCTGGGGTAAATTCTAACTGAATGACAGAGCCATGGCTCTTGGCCAGCCGAGGCTGTGGGCATGCACAGTGGCAGGGGGGATGGATTCCTTGTCCTTTCCATTTCCTCTTGTTGGAGTTGGGGGAGGGAGGAACCCAACACCAATTATTTTCGTAGGCTTTAGAAATATATTATTCAATGAATAAATGATTTGCTATTGGGCTTGAGGGCTAGAAGAGATCCATATCACAGCCTCTATGTGGCAGACCAAATGTGGTTCGGAGGTAGGTGACTTGCTCTGGATCACACAGAAATAGAACCAGAATTAGAACTCAGGCTCCTGACATCCAGCCCAGTGGTCCCCCCAGGATCCCCTCCTTCCTCCTCTTGACTCAGATAGGCCAGGAGGACCCACTCTGTGCTCGCTGGAGATAGTGATTAATAAGCCAGAAAGACCCAGAACCTGCCTTTAAGGATTTGTAGTCCAGTTTTTTTGTTTTGTTTTGTTTTTTGTTAGAAAGTCAGATATATAGAGAGGAGGAGAGACAGAGAGGAACTTCCATCCACCCTAGCAGCCAGAGCTGAACCATTCTGAAGCCAGTAGCCTTTTCCGGGTCTCTGACATGGATGCAGAGTCCCAAGGCTTTGGGCCATCCTTGCCTGTCCTCCCAGGCCACAAGCAGGGAGCCAGATGGAAAGCAGGGCCACTGACTAGATCCTAGATCCTGCTGCATGCAAGACAAGGACTTTAGCCACTAGACTACCACCCCAGACCCTTATGGTTCAATTTGATCTGACATGTCTCAGGAGTGCCCGCTTTGTTGCTCAGTGGTCCTGCATCTCAGAGCATATCCTAGCATTGCTTCTGTCTGCAGATCCCCGCTCTGGATGCCATAAAATTAGCATAGAGGCCAAGAACCTTATTCAAGGTCACATGATAACAGAACCACGGTTGCAGAAACAGCACTTGCAGAGCAGGCTGGTCAGTGTCAGCATTCTTTGAGAGAACTCTGTCCTGTACATAATTTTGTTGTTGTATAGATATGGTGGCAATAGAGTTAATCATCTACACCAGGATACTTTCAAAAGTGAGTATAATAGTCAAGACAATAGGTGTATACCAAGGTAGTGCCAGATATCTCAGCATATGTGTTTACCCTTCTTACTTGTGACTGGCAAAATGACCAAGGTCAGGTAGACAGGAGACTGAGAGAGGAAAGTTCAAGTTCAGCAGGGCTTTCTTTCAGTCCTAGAATGACCAGCCTACTGGCAGTTAACCAGCTGTGTCACTTAGGTAGCATTGTTCCAAATCTAAGTTCAGGCTCAGCTGGGAAAAGACTGCAAGTGTCTCCCACTGCCAATACCATTTTTCTCCAAGAGGGGACATCCACCTGTTTATTCTGTAGGATCCCTCCATACTCCAATGAGGTGTAGCCATGCCATATGCTCCAGAACCCTCATTCTCCCCCTTTTTGCTACTTCAGTTTTCTGCGCATGAGAAACTTAGAAATGGTATTGAAGGAACAATGACCTTGGAAAGGTTGTCAGGGTCCCTATAGCCATGTATCCAAAAATGACCAGTGTGTGCTTGACCAGCAAGTATTTATTTATGGAACAAGTGAAACTTAGACCACCTTTGAACACAGGTAACATTAGACACTCAGTAACATAATGAGCGCAATGGGCAAAATTTAAGGCACATATACATCATGCTTTTGGACATGAATTTGAAATTCAGTGTCACCATGCACAAAATAGGTTGATAGTACCCCCTATCCCACAAAGCCTTTGGGAGACTAGACAAGGTATGCATGTTGGGTTTTTATAAGAGCTTCTGCACACAGTAGGAATTTTGTGAAGGCTTGGCAATAGGATTTTACTCACTCTAGATTTCCCAATTAATATATTCTGAGTCATTTTTTTATTAATTGCCCAAGTTACTTGAAGAGACTCTGAAAGAAGGGATTGCTATGTTTTCTTCATTGACTAAAAGTCTTTTGGTTCCTTTGCAGGGAGCTCGGAAGCTTCTGGAACTTGTCCGATATCACATTGTCCCATTTACCCAGGTTAGCCCAACTTTTCCTGCTGTTACATTCCCCTGCTTTAAGGAAATCTGACCTAGTCTTCAATCCCACTGTTTTATACTAGGAAACTTGCGACACTTATTCTCTTCTGTAGCTTGGAGGCAAACTTTCAGCCATGACTCATAAGAAAACTGTGAGAAAGACTGTGACCTCCAAAACTGTGACCTCAGAGCTCCCATTATTTATTTTGTATATTTGTAAGGACAGTTTTTTTCTGTGAGGATTACAGGAAAACATTACTCTGAATGTCTCTGTTCTCTCCTTGTTACAGCTTAAAGTGGTTACTCTCATTGCAACCCCTCACATCAAGAGCATGGCCAACCAGATGATCCAGTTTAACACGATGGAAAATGTAAGAAAGAACCTTGCTATGGAAGTCATCACCCATGTGCACCCAGGGTGGCTAATCAGTTTAATCTGCCAGTCCACAAATGCAGACTTCAAATGCTTGAGGTCACTGCATTCATTCTCTACCTGTCCCAGCAGACATCTGCTGAGCAACCACTTAGGCAAGAGTCTGAGCTCCGGGCCAGGGTTAACAGTGAACAAGACAGACTTAAGTTCCAACAGGGAAAACCAGCTTTGAACAATTCATTAGGCATCAGTTAGGATCATAACAGCAGTGAATCCCATCAAGAAGTTCAGGGGTCTGGGTGAAAATGCAGATGGAGTCTCGGTAAGTCTGTGGGTGACCTAGGATTGAATTCCATGCTTTCAAAGACACAGATAAACTTGGGCAGAGATGAGTAAAAGAGAGTTGAGCGCAGAAGGGATAGTATGTTTGAATGACTGAAGTATGACTGACTTTTAAAAATGCATAGAAAACAGGGTTATTTAGTTAAGTCCCTGTGACTGTGATATAAGCAAAAGTTGGTGGTGTCAAGATTGTTTCCTGTTGAGTTGCTTTTGAAGCTTTTGATGCTGATGGTCTTATCCTCTCAACAGAGAGATACTGGGTCCCAGATACCAGTATATATCTTAAAAAGAGATCCATGAACAAACAGGTGGAAATCCTTGGTTGTGGGGAGTTTTTGTTCTAGTAGGCAGGGATATGGACAAAAAGCAATTTAAGTAAGTATGCACTCAGTAAATATTATTAACATATGATTTAGTATACAAGTACTAATATGACAGAATACCCAGAAGAAAAGCAGCAAAACTGGGAAGGGAAGTGGGAGCAAAGGTAGGGCTGGTCATCTAGCACAGCAGTTGGAAAACCACTTGGGACACCCACATCTCACACTGGATACCTTGATTCACAGCTTGGCTCCATTTCAGGTCCATCTTCCTTCTAATGCACTTCATGGGAGGCAGTGATAATAGGCCAAGTACTTAGATTTCTTCCATCAATGTAGGAAAATCAGATTGGGCTCCAGGTTCCTGTCTTTAGCCTGTGGCTGTTGTGGGCATTTGGGGAGAGGACTAAGAGATGGAATTCTGTTCCTTTTGTTTAAGATTGATTTTTGTTTTTATTTGAAATGCAGAGCTAGAGAATGAGAAGATTCAGGAAGAGAGCTCTTCCACCTGCTGGTTCATTCCCTTAATGGCTGCAATGGCCAGATCTGAGACAATCTGAAGCCAGGATCCAGGAGCTTCCTCTAGGTCTCCCCCATGAACGTAGGGGCCCAAGGACTTGAGCCATCCTCTGCTCTTTTCCTTGACCATAAGCAGGGAGCTGGATCAGAAGTGGAGCAGGACACAAACTGGTGACAATATGGGATGCTGGCACTATAGGAGGAGACTTTAGCCTACCACTCTGGCACCAACCCCAGATGGAATATTTTTTTACAGAAGGAAAGTGGGATAGGGCTCATATTTTAGATAATGTGCCCAGGAAGTCCTCACAGAGAAGAGAACATTTGAAGAAACTTGGAGAAACTGGGAGAACGAGCAGTGTGAGCATCCAAGGAAAGATCATGCTGGGGAGGGGGAAACAGCAAGAGCAAAGGCATGGAGCAAGCAGCAGAGATGTGAGAGACACAGCCAGGTCTGTGTGGCTGGCCTAGAGGTGACAAAAGATGGAGAGAGCAGGCAGATGAAGGAGGGGCGGGCCCACACAGCCCAAGACATCGAGGTAAGGAGACAGGCTCTGTCCTCGGATGAAATGAGAAGCTGTGGGAGCATTTTGAACAGAGGTGTGACGTGGTCAAGAGTAAGCCTTGGGAGAGCAGTCAGGAGTTTTGACTGCAATCATCTAGAGGAGATCATTTCTTATGTGGGGCTGTGCTGGGATGGTGACAGAGATGTGATCAGAGGTCACTGGAGGTATTTTAAAGGTAACCCAACAGCATTTGCTAATGAATTTGATGAGTGGTAATCACCGAGGCAGCCCGGAATGAACCCTGGACTTTCCATTTGAGCAATCAAAGATGACTATGCCATTCATGCTTTGGGGAGCAAATCTGAGGAAAGGGGCAGATTATAAATGCTTCTAGTGTAAATTCCTACTCCCTCCACGAGAACACAGGATCTTGCCTAATTCAAGGTCAATGAACGTGTTGAGTGTACCCCTGTTTTGTCACAGAAACATAAAACAAGTGGCCCAAAGTCACCTAGAAAATACATTGTGAAGTTCACATGGTTATGCGTTTGCCCCTGCCCAGCTCCTGCAAGGGCATCCTTGAGTGATGTCCACCAGGAAGTTCTTGAGCAGATTCAATCTTCTCCCGGCAGCCAACTCTTCTAACAGCAATCTTCCACTCAATAACAGGCCAAATGGCAGTGAGGACCTTGAGAGAGGTTGCCCTGGGAACCACTGGAGCTCCTGTAGGACAAAATAAAAAATGTTGTCACTTCTTTCCAGGGACAGATTCTAGCAAATGGAGTGGCAATTGAAGAAACTGAGATCTCTGCCAAAAATGGCCTGATTTACACACTGAGCGGAGTTCTCATTCCTCCTTCCATCATCCCGATTCTGCCCCATCGATGTGATGAGACGAAAAGAGAGATGACACTGGTAAGATGACTAGGAAAGTAAGGTGCCCCTGCAGCCCACTGCAGCACACAGCGTTCCAGTACTCCAGATTCTGAGAAAGCCAACAAGGAATGTCTGACTCCATGATTCTCATCCGTGAGGGAGGAGAAGAGACAGAGGACTGGAGGTCCTGGCTCCTAAGTTGTGAGCCAAGATTCCTTGGGGGAATTTCCAATGATAGGAGCTTTCCATGCTTCTCAGGAGCTTCTAGGAGTCTGTTTTCACCAGGCAGAGTCCAAAGATGCCTGTGGGTGTGTGTATTTGGATTTTTAACGGTTTAGTGCTAGTCCTGTGGGAAAATATTTACCCACAGTGGTTCAAAGGAAGAGACTTCAGTGAAGAAGCCAACTTGGAGGTCTAGGCAGGGCCAGGGAAACAAACAATTCATGCTGAATTTCGCATGGGGGTGCCACAGTAAGAAACCATTACTAAAAAGGACCATAGGAATCCCATGGCAGGGTTCAGACTTATTTGAAATCAGTAAAAGCCAGCGAACAGGGAGCAATGACACTACAGACCTGCAGAGTATAGTGTTGGAGCAGGGAGGAAATGGTGGGGGTAGTAATCCTGATGGTGCTTTGAGTTAGCAAAAATCAATCAGAAGCTGCAAGAAAGTCCAAAAGATGGACCAGAGGAAATGGGTCAGAGGAAATTTAGAGGCACAGATACCACTGAATTTCTTCCTGAACTTAAAACCAATGGAAGAAAACCCAAGAGATGGAAAGGCAGATACTCAACATTCAGCATTGTTACCACTGAGCTCGTGGGAGAACATAGCCTTCAGTCTATAGCCAGTGCTAATACATCACACCTGACACAGAGAAAGTGCCTCCCAGCAGAAAGCCAAGGCCTATAGACAGGCTCTGTTGAGAAAGACAGAAAGCAGTGCTCTGAGCAGGTTCCTCTCCTCCCACCTACCCCTGTCTGCCCGACACTAGCTTCATTCCTTCTCCCTGTAGAACAGTAGAGCAGCCAGGAGTGACACCATGGGGCAAACCTCAGGCCAGCAAGGAGCTGACTGCCCTGCTCTTCTTCACAGGAACACTGGTACTGACTGCTGCCTTTCCTTCCAGGGCTCCTGTGTGAGCTGTCACACGATGTATCAAAGCCAATGTCCCGCAGACTCGGAGCCCACAGTGAGTACAACACTTTCAGGGAACCAGAGATCACCCGAGCAGTCAACCGGTGTGATCTCTCACTAGTTCTATTTTCCTTCTTGAAAAGATAATTCACTGCAACTTGTTCAACATAGGATTAGCTCTTAGCCTACTGTGTGGGAGAATGGTAAAAAGAGAACTCAGAGGGGCTTGGTTTGAATCCTTGCTCGTTGATCCTGGACAAGTTATTTCACCTTGAAACTCCAAGTTTCTTCATATGTAAGTAAGAATAGCAGCAACAGAATTAGCATTGATTAAAAAACCCAACCACAATTCCAAAATCAAGCAGTCACTCAGAATACTTCTCTCCCACTTTTCCCTCTTCAGTAAAATCCAGTGTTTGTGTCTGTTCTTCCCAAGGGATACTCTGGAGAACGCAGAATGTGTCAGGAAAATGACACTGGGATAATGAAAAGCTCTTCAGTTTCACTGGATTCTGTACATGTGTGCCAGAGATTGGTCCTATGTTAGACATACTGTTTGATCTGGGGGACAGAGATTAATTCAATGTTTTGTTTGTCTTGGGAAGGTCAGTCTTATAAGGAAAATATTTTTTAAAAAGTGCAACGAGAATGGTCCTGGCCAGTAGACAGCCCACGCAGGTAATGTGGTATAGCAGTGGTACCCCTTTGCAAAGAAGTCACTGGAGACAGTTACAGTGAACATGTCTGATTACTGGTCATCAAGGACAAGCTTATATAGGGTGGGGTGAGAAAAATAAACCTCAGGGTAATAGCAACATTCCTCTGGGGTACAAATACACACCACTTATAATAAACCTAGCCAATAGCCTTAAGGTTGTATATTCCTCTGGGTGGCATAATGTGACCTGCCCACATCCTGAAGCGATTTTTGACAGGACAGGAAAAGGTAGTTGGGGGAGGGAGGTATATTGGGGGCTCTGGTCTCCTGCCAACTACACAGGCCAAGGCCATGGGGGCCTCTAGGCATGCACCCAGGCCTGAGCCAGGACCTGTAGCGCTTCATGTAGGCCAGGTAGGCAGAGACCCATCTGGGAACCAACTCACCAACAGCACAAGAGTCTATAACATCTCAGGTACGCAATTGGCAGCAAAACCTCTTAACCAGAAGTTTCACTTAAAAAAAAAAAGCCGGCAAGCTCTATAACACAATCCTGTTTTGAAGTATCTAACAAAGCAATACGTTGACATTAAATAGATGTTTGCAGGGGTTCAGAGCAATACTGTGCTTCATGAAGCTGTCCTTTACCGACTGTGAATGAGGAATTGGATAGGGAGGAAGGCATGTTGACTGGTCTCACAATGATTGCTGCATGTCACATTGTCATCACGACCACTGTGCAATCAGGGAACTGAGGCTAGGAAACATGGACCACCTTGCACAAGGTGCAAGAGCTGTGCTTTGATCCCTTGTCCACTGTGTTGGACTCTCACAGCACAGAAAATTGAAAGGCAAATGAGATGTAGGCAAGAGCCAGAGAGCCTCCAAATTACCCCTTCACCATCACGTAAGTCACAGCTGGGTCATTTTCTTGAGACCCAGCAAGAGAATGTTCTATACAAGGACACTTTGAAAAGTTCATGGGAAAGCGGAATTGAAAGCTAGTTTAGTATACCATGTCTGGCCCAGAGTTGAATTTTTGAACAATGATAGTTCTGGATAGTGATGAGTGTGAATCAGGGGGTTAACACGTTGAAGTCTACCCCAGCTCCTAGCAGAACACCTTCCAATGACTGCTATTTTCAATGGTGAATTTTTCCACAAAGTAGGGTAGCTTCTTAATGGGTTCCAAAGTTTCTATGTAAAAGGAGTTTAAGGATAGCTACAGATGGGAGGAGTATGGCAGGCCACAACCAGGACAGAAAAGGAAGTGTTCTCTGCACCACTGGAGAAGTCTGCCGTGGCGTGGGAGTGGACCACAGATAGCTGTACCTCAGCTCCTGCAAGTCCTGCTCTGTTTCTTGGATGCAGGTGTGCTGGCATGGCCTCTTGCTCTTTCCTGCCACCAGAGTTGAAAACAAAAGTGGGATGGCAGCAAGGTGAAGAGTCTGGGTGATGCCCCAAGGACCAGGACAGCAGGCTGAAACTATGTCTCGTTGGCTTTCCTGCAGTCACTCTTCAAACACAGATGTGTCTACAGCAGAATGAGGATCTTGAAGCTCGGCTGTGCCCGGTTCTGTAATGCCACCAGGAAGGTGAGGAGTGTGTGGCTGAGCCCTAGGCTGGGTCACAGCATAAGGCACCTGCAGGGTCTTGCTCTGCATTGGAGGCTCTGAAGGGTCACAGGTGGCCAGGGGTGGGCAGCTCTGATGGTGTCTTCGTACAAGGGAATCTCATGATAGAGCTGCCTTGATGGCTGCACCTTCATCTGTAAAAGAAAGGGGCAAACTCCTGAGGAATGGCTAAAGCTGTTAGTCCCAATGGGGAGAGTCAAGTCTGTTTCCTGAGGCAGGTGCTTGGCACAGGGGATAAACTACCATCTGAAAGGCCCATATGCCACATCAGAGTACCTGGGCCCTCATCTCGCCTCTGCTTCCAATTCTAGCTTTCTACTAAGGTGCACCCTGAGATGCAGAAATCACATAGCAAAAAGGTAGTTGGGGCCCTGTCACCCATGTGGGAGACCCACACTGAGTTGTCAGCTCCTAGCTGCAGCCTGGCCCAGCCCAGCTGTTACAGACATTTAGAGGTAAATCAGTAGATAGCATCAGTCCCCAGTCCCTCTCTCTCTCTCTTTATCTTCCCTCCAACTCTCGAACCCCCCAACAACCTTCCTTCTGCTCTCTGGTCCTGTACCCTGTATCTATCTTCAAAATAGATAAATAAGTAAAATGTAAGTATATAGACAGATTGCTTTGAGGAATGGGTGCTCAGTGTGGGACAATAAAGAACAATGTGCATTGTGCTCCTCAGGTGCTGAAGTGCTGCAAAGGCTTCTATGGACCTGACTGCAGCCAGTGCCCAGGAGGCTTCTTGAATCCGTGCTCAGGAAATGGACAGGTGAGCGGGACAATCCCTGATGCATGCTTTCTTGTGAATGCTGAAGGTTGACCTGTCATGAGCCAAGTCACACAGCCCTGTTTAAGACTGTTAAGCCCAAAACCAATATGCTGCCCATCGCTATCCTCAGGAATAGACCATGGGCATTTGGGGCAGCACTTAAGCCATCACTTGGGACACCCACTGCCCATGCCCGGGAACCTGGGATTTTTAGTCCTGATTCCACTCCCCAACCCAGCTTCTTGCTTGTGCACAGCATGGGAGGCAGCAGGTGATGGCTCAAGTGCTTGGGTCTCTGCCACCCACAAATGAGACTTTAATAGAGTTCCCAGCTCCTGGCTTTGGCATGGCCCAATCCTACCGACTGTGGACATTTAGGGAGTAAACCACCAAATGGGAAATCACTCCCTGTCTCTCTGCCTTACAAAAAAAAATAATAAATTCCTAATTATTTTTTTGAAAAGAGAAAGACCATTTGCTGAAAGCCAAAGGCAGAAGATCTCCACAGTAGGAAAAACCGTGGTCTAGGACCAGGCCAGGGCAAGCCCATGACTTCTGGTCTTTGCTCTCTAGATGCTGGAGCAGATCATGGGCATCTTGAGACTTTCTGAGCTCACTGTCCTGTGTGAGACATGAGAAGTGGCCTGCACACACCTCCAAGACCCCCTCCAGGGCAAGATTTTAATCACATGTAAAAAAAAAATGATTGCTTGTTTTTAAATCCATCTGTGAAACTTGGTGGAATGTAGATGCCGACATTGATTCACCTGGCTTGGAGGTCACAGCCATGCATTGGAGGCAAACATAGTCATGATTCTTCTGGGGAAATCATAGGCCTGGGCATTGGATAAACCCAAAGCTGTAACTGGGTTTTTCAAAAGGGACAGGAAACTACACAACCATGAGTAAGTGATACCACTTACTCGAATGGGGAGCAGCCAGCACTAATGCCTATGGCCAAGCAGCTGGAGGGACAGCCTTGCCAAACTCTGATGCCCACTAAATTACAGAAAACTGGCCTTGCTGCTTCCTGCTGCAGGAGTCATAGAGCATGTGGTAATACAGAGTGACAAGTGCAGACATTCGTTGTGCAGGTCCATGTCTGATCACCTGACATCCCACTGTGACTCTTAAACCATCTCCCTTTGAGGTCCAAATCCTGGCTTGGAATACCCAAGCTCCTCCCTATTCAGCATCCTACTTGGTACAATGACAAGGCCACTTGCTCCAAGGAATCTTTTTAAGGGATGTTTTCAAGTGGGATTGGGTCTGTGTTCTGGGACCCCTTTGCTGGTGCATGCGTGCTAATAGCCCACAGGGCCCGCCTTGGTTCCCAGTGTGCAGACGGCCTTGATGGCAATGGAACATGTAGCTGCAAGAATGGCTTCAAAGGCTCCCATTGTCAGTTCTGCTCTGACCCCAACCGATACGGACCTCGCTGTGACAAAAGTAAGTGGTGCCTCCAGAGCTTCTTCCCCTGGGGTCCTTCTCACCCTGCATCTGTGAGCTAGTTACCTAGGCAATGCCATTCTAACAGGGTTCTTGTGGACAGCTGCTCTCAGCAGCAGTCCACACCAGATGACTCTGCCCCATCCGAGTCAGGTGGCAGTGATGGGCCTAAGAATGCACATATCTGACAAGTTCCCTGGGGATGCAAATATTACTGGTTCTGGAATCACAATTTGAAAGCCTTCCTCTCCAAGCATCTACTTCTACCTGAAGTGACTGGGTTCTAATTCAAGATACAGACTCACTCCCTACATATTAAATAGTCTTGTTTCATCCCCTGCTGCATTTGCAAGATGTGTGACCTTGGGCAAGTTACTTCTGTAGACCTTGGTTGCTTCATCTGTAGTGTGGGTGTGACAATAATAACTACTTTGCAAAATTAGTTCACGTTAGACATGGAGAGCATTTGCCAGAGAACAGTGTCCAACACAGCATTTGCTCCAAGAAGCATGTAGATATGCAGAACGTTCCACAACATTTCAAACATGCAATTATAGACTCATTGGAAATGTATTATGTTCTCTCTCTTTCTGCTTTATTTATTCACTTGAGAGACAATTGTGTACAGAGGAGGAGATACAGAGAGGAAGATCTTCCAACCGTTAGTTCACTTCCTAAATAGCCACAATTGCTAGAGCTGGGCTTGGATGAAGCCAGAATCCTGGGACTCCATCCAGGTCTCCCACATGAAATCAGGGATCCAAGCATTTGTACCATGTTCTGCTGGTTTCTCAGGAGTATTAGCAGGGAGCTGGATTGGAAATGGAGCTGACCAGGATTCAAACTGGTACCTGATGGAATGCTGATTTCTCAGACAGTAGCTTAACCAGCCATACCAAAATGCCAGGCCCAGCCCCCACATTATGTTCTCTAGAATGACACTCTCTCTATATATATTTTTTTCCATTTTCTTGTGTCCTCTTTTTTTTTTAATTGTTAATAACATTGTATTATGTGATACAGTTTTATAGGCACTGGGATTCCCCCCACACCTCCCACATCTATATTTAAATATATGTATTATGTATATATGTGTGTGGTGAGTATATATATATATATATATGTATTATATGTGTGTTATGTGTTGAGTAAATCTATGTATTATATATGTATTATATGTGTGTGTGCTAAGTATATGTATGGATATATATGTGTGTGTATATATATATCAGATTACCTGCAGTTGAATTCCCACTCTGCAACTTCCTGTCTGTGCAACTTTAGACATAGTCTTCCATTTCTCCCTCTACAAAGGAAAGGTAACCCTGTTGCAATTTTCTTTAGGATGGGGGACATTTCCACCAGCCCACCCTCTCCACCACCAAAATCCACTGATATTTCAGTTCCTTATGTGGAAGGGTGCAGCATTCTCGTGTAACCTACACACATCCTCCCATATGTATTGTCACCTGTAGATTCTCTACTGTGTCTAATACAATGTTAAGGTTCTATTAATTGTTGTTATACTGTATTCTTTATGTAATAATGACCCTCACGGTATACACATGTTCAGCAATGATACAATGTTTTTCCAGATGTTTTTGATCCATCATTCATACCTGGAGCTGACTGTACCTACCCCACAGCTTGTTGACAGCATTAAATTAGATTGTAACTGGGTGCTTGCACCTAGCAAGTCATCAGTAAGAACCCATCACTGGGGTCTGGTGTGGTGGCCTAGCAGCTAAAAATCCTCACCTTGAATATGCCAGAATCCCATATGGGCAACAGTCCTAATCCTGAAAGCCCCGCTTCCCATCCAGCTCCCTGCTTGTGGCCTGGAAAAACAGCTGAAAACAGCCCAAAACCTTGGGACCCTGCACCCACATGGGAGACCCAGAAGAAACCCCTGGCTCCTAGCTTTGGATCAGTTCAGCTCCAGCCATTGCAGTCACTTGGGGAGTAAATCACTGGACAGAAGATCTTCCTCTCTGTCTCTCCTCCTCTCTGTATATCTGACTTTCCAATAAAAATAAAATAAGAACCCATCACTGTCACCACTCACTGCATGTACTTGTCACAAACACTTACCTTGTTTACTCCTCTCAAGAGACAGCAAAGTAGGGCACAGCAGTGACTTGTCTGCTGCATCCTGTTGTATTGTCCTTTTCCACCAAAGATTTCTGAGAGCTGTGGGTGTCTGACCCACATTGGAAGCACCCACATCCCACATCAGAGAGCTGTGTTTAGTTCCCACCTTACTGCCTGTAAAGACCCTTGTAGGCAGCAAGTGAAGGCTTAAGTATGTGGGTCCCTGCCACCCACATGGGAGACCTGGACTGAGTTCATGGCTCCTGGTTCCAGACGGACCCAAACCCTATTGCTGCCATGGTAGACATTTGGGAAGTGAACGAGCCAACAGGAGCTTAATCATCTCAGTGTGTCTGTCCACAGCCCCCTTTGCCAATAACTAAATTTTGAATAAATAAGATCTCTGAGACAAAAATAAAGCTTTATTCCATGGTTTCTCACATTTTATGCCCAGACTATGGGCAGGGATACTCTTCTGTTTCTAATGGCCTTTGTTCCTCACCTGTGGAACCCCATGAGCTCACACTGCAGCCTTGTCTCTTGAAACTTCTGTCCTGACCTACTCAATATTTTATGAAAATCTCTTGTGTTTAATCCAGCAGTGATCTTTCAGCCCCTTCACTGTGCCCGTCTTCTCTGTCCTGGACTTGGCGCCCAACCACCCGAATCAGTTCCTCTCCCATGATCAGCCCCAGCTGAAGCAATCCCAGAGTCCTTCGTTTCTGATCATTTTTCAAACCCTCAAGTCCTGACCCACCTTCCTTTGAGAATCTCCGTGTCCTTCCTACTCCTAGAGGTGTAAGAGCCTAAGTCTGACAAGCTGGCTATTGCAGTTGCCAAGTACCTGTAAACAGAGGCAAATCCCGCACCTGAAGTTCATGATGATGTTGAGGTGTGGAAATACCAGTTAATGGAAAGACCTATTATGTTTACATATGGCCACTGACAGAAATGGACTTTGAAGGTTCAAGTCCCTGCTTGGGACTCAGATAGTAAATTAGCTAGTTAACTTTACCTCCCTGGCACTCTTTTTCCTCATCTGGAAAGAGGGCATTATAAAGGTCTCTACCTCTGAAAAGCAGTGATTGTTACTGAGATGGCTGACCCAGTGGCTTAAATGAAGTCAGGGCCCAAATACAGGTCATTGGTTGTCATTGTGATTGAAAACAAAGAGCAAACACATTAGCTATACAGCAGGGTTCTGTTAGCATGAGAAGTAGCTTCTATTTATTCCAGCATGTCTTCATGAACACGTGAACTCTCCCCCCACAGAGTGTTAGAGCATTGAGTTCCTTAGCCTCTTTCACATATCACAACTCATTCCATTTTCATACATACAAAGCAACCCTGAGACCAGGTGCTCCCCCTGAGTGGGAAATCAAGCTTGCCAAAGGCTGTCCCAGGCCCTCAGAGGAAAGCTTGAGACCCTAAGAAGTTAGCAGCCCAAGACATATCATAGCCTGTTTTCCCAAGTGTGGAATTGGGGATGCCCAGAGGTGGCCATTCCCCTAACCCCGAACGGCCCTTTTCCTTGTCTTCCAGGATGCCTGTGTGTTAAAGGAACATGCAATAACAGGGTAGACAGTGATGGGTCCTGCCACTCCGGCACATGCAGGGACGGCTCTGCTGGGAGGTTCTGTGACAAGCAAACCTCAGTCTGTGGGCCCTATGTGCATTTCTGTCACATCCACGCCACCTGTGAAAACAGCAACGGCACAGTCAGGTAGGTCTGTGAGGAGAAGGCTTGTCACAGCCATGGCTCGACCAGGGCCTTAGGTCGAGCCAGTCCATACCTGGAGCCTGTAATTAGCAAGGATCTGGCGTTTTTCTGTGTCTGATTTTATGCACTCTCTTTGGCAGCTGTGTGTGCAAGGCAGGCTATGAAGGAGATGGATTTGTCTGTTCTGAAATAGACCCCTGCATGAGATCAACCCCAGGAGGCTGCAGCCCTAATGTGAGTGTTGACCTTTGTTTCTAAGTTGATTGGTGTTTCTGAACAAAGCCAGATACCAGGAGCCTACTGCGAGCTTCAGCTTCCTATATCCAGACAGGCAGGGGACTAGGAGTTCTTAAAAACCATATAGTTTGGGCCCAGTGCAGTAGCCTAATGCCTAAGGGTCTTCGCCTTGCATGCACCAGGATCCCATATGGGCACAGGTTCTAATCCCAGTGTCCCTACTGTCCATCCAGCTCCCTTCTTCTGGCCTGAGAAAGCAGTCGAGGACTTTCCAAGTCCTTGGGATCCTGTACCCACGAGGGACCCAGAAGAAGCTCCTGGCTCCAGATCAGCACAACTCTGGCCATTGTAGCAGCTTAGGGAGTGAATCAATGAATGGGAGGTCTTCCTCTCTCTCTCCTCCTCTCTGCTCCAATAGAAAAATAAAATTAATGTTTAAAAAAAGGAGTTCTTAAAAAAAAAAAACAGCCTGAGAACCAGAGCTAGGGACTAATGGCAACAACTCATTCCACCCGACAGCTGTTGAGAGACTCCAAGGCTTCAAGGTGCCTGATGCCATTGGCTGAAGTGGCTATTGTTGACCCATTTTACAGATTAGGAAATGGACTCGGTGAAGGTTAATTGCTTTGTCCTGAGTTCTGTATTTACCAGGAGTACAGCCAAAATTCACCACTGCTTTTGCTTATAATAGCTTTTAAATATTTGCACCACCACCTGAGCCTGTTCATCCTCATTCTTTTTTTTATTATTATTATTAATTGTATTGCATTATGTGACGCAGTGTTATGGGCACTGTAATTCCCCCCACCCCTCCCCGAAACCTCTCCCCATGGTGGATTTCTCCACCTTGTTGCATTACTACAGTTCTAATTCAGTTGTGGTTCTTTCATTGGAAATATTTACCAAGCATAAAGTCCAGTGTCTTATTGTCCTAGTGGGTTCAACGATTTCTTGGTGAGACCATCTCTGGTCTGAAGGTAAGTCCAGCTAAGCTTCATCCCAAATGATTAAAGGCCCCAACATGCCCTCAACAGCCATTTACAACCTCATGGCATCAATTGACATGACATTGATTAATAGTATGTTGATGGGGAAGATGTGGTTTCTTAACTACATCCTGTGACTTCTTCATAGACATTTCAATTTTGGTTTGTATTCAACCTGTTTCCATACAGTTATCAGTTTAGGTACAATACTTTTTTTTTAAATTTAGGATGGATGTGCAGAGAAATCCCCAATATCCCTCACTCTTAACCTGCAGTTCCCTTTGACTCCTCTCTTGCCTTTGCTACAGTGTGTTGCCCATCCCTAGCCAGGACAACATGAAATAAATCAGAGTCTGTGTCTGTCGGGTTTCAACCCCTTTGGAATTCAGACTAAAATCTAGACACAAGTTTGCTCAGCCCAGCCCAAGAGATTCACCTGGGGACAGGTGAATTTCAATAGCTTCATTTCAACCATGGACCTTGTGTCTTGCTTGCCTTCTGCCCCATCCTTCAGCCTCCTGTGTTGTCGCCCTGAGAGTTCTGGAGGTTGGTATAGTGGTTAGGAGCCTGTGTGTTGACTTTTTAAAGAAATACCTGGATTCCTGCCACTTTGTAGTGATGTGATCTTGAACAACCCCTTATTCTTACCTGTAAAAGTGGAGATGATAATAATGCCTTTCCTGAGATGATTATTTATAGCTGCAAAACAAAAGTGGTGCCTGGTTTTCAATGACACCGATGTGTGTGGTAATGGTTATCACCTGCACAGTTCCAAGCAATTTGGCTCTTTCAGAGATTGACCTTTTCATGGATCTCCATGCAAATGTGTTTCTACAAGACGCTCCAGGAAGTCCTCTTGACTTTTTAAATTGTGTGGCTAGATGGAGGTATCAGGAATCTCGTTTTTGCTTTTTCTCCTGCAGGCAGAATGCGTGCAAACTAGCTCCGGGACACACAGCTGTGTGTGCCAGCAGGGGTGGACAGGTAATGGAAGAGACTGCGTGGAGATCAACAACTGCCTGCTTCCTGGTGCAGGTGGCTGCCACAGCAATGCAACCTGTCTGTATGTTGGCCCTGGGCAGGTAGGTGGCTGTGTGGAGAACAAAGAGGAAGTGACTTTTTCTAGTACTCCAGTGCTAGACTTTGACTAGATCTTACTGCAGATTTTTTTAATTATCTGTGATAACAAGAATGGGCAATTGTCATGGCAGACTGTGACAAGCTATTCTCCCATCTTACAGACAGAGGAAATTGAGGCACTTTGAGGGCAATCATCTCCCATCGCAGAAAATCAATCATGGTGTGAGATTTGCACCAAGACACTCTGACTCAAGAGCTTTCTGCTTAGTCTACACTCTAGAACTCGCTGTATGAGAGTCTTCACAAAGTTTCATAGAAAATACACATTATAAAAATAAGCTCTTATTGGATTGCAAAAATGTTGGCACCAAAGTAAGCGTATCTTTTAATCCCATTTTTCACATGTCCCTTGGATGTGTCTGCAATACTCTACAGCTTATTTTTTTTATTTATATAAGCTGAACAAGCTCTGTAGTTTACTAAAGGCAAAGTGATCAGCTCTAGGAAAACGGATTCCAGCAGTTCTAGGACTGTGGCCATATGAAAGAAGAGGTGGTTAGTAAGGACCCCACACCCCATCTGTCCTTCCTGCTCACACCCCTTCTCAGAGAGAAGACCAACAGATGTTCTCTGTGAGTTTGAGGCATCAGAAAACACGGAAGATGAGAACTAGGCCATATAAATTCCTGTCTTTTGAGTCTGACTATAGCTTCTCATACATATACTTTAAGGGTGAGCTTATTTCAAAAAGCTCCAAGTTATTTTTTACCTGTTGGTGTTTCTTCCCATGGTGATGGATACTGTCCATGGCAAAGCCTAGCCTTGCTCACCCTGAACCTCTTGGTCTCCCCTCCCTGGGTCTCTTTGTTCTTTGACCTCTCATTTCCGTGCACATGCTGTTATCAGAGAGACACAGAGCTTGTGTGATGGCACATCAGAGCCCACCTGATGATGCCTTCAGAGGGGACTTCACCCAGAGCGACATAAAGCCCACTTAAGGGTGTCAGGGCTTGAGGTCTCCAGCACCACCCCACCACCACAGGTCTCCTCTGCTGCTTCAGCAGCAAGTGATTAAGCATCTGAGAGGCGAGATAGGCTGGCCTTGTGCAGCTGTCCATGGATGGCCGGAGTGTAGGGGCAGCTCAGGAACTATAATCACCAAACCCGGGGCTCTCCTTGGAGATCTTTCTAAGGAGCGCCCACAGGAAGGTCTATAGTAGTAAACATTAGGAGAAAGAATCAAAGGAAACGGGACCACTGACCAAGAACACAGTGTGATATCACCACAATCCCTCCCACTGCTAAAACTTAGGGGAGACTGAAGTACTTTCTTCTCTCCCGCAACCAAAGTCTCAAGTTTGAAGTGTATATACAGCTAAAGAATAATTGTCTTGGTATACCATAGAGGCATAATAAGTATATATGAAGTATATTGTTTGGGAAGTTACAATGGTCTTGAGGCAGGGATTGGAGAGAGGGTGAAATCTTTTATGTGCAGCAGGAAATCCAATTCTTATGCACAGTAGATTGTGGCAAAGCGGTATGGCCACTGTGGGAACCAGTCTGGAGGTTTCCCACAAATAAAGTTTAAAAATAAAATTATGCTATGATTCATCATACTGGATATACAGATATGCCAAAGTATTAATGAGAAATGGAATCAAAGTGTAAGGATTTCATGCAAAAAAATTTAATAGATGTAAATAAGAGAGCAATAAAATGTTTATGAGAACATAATTATTGAAAAAATTGTAGATTTCACTTTTCATGCCGAAATAAGCTATCCGTTAATCCCATTCCTCAACAAGCATTTTGAATATCGTTGAACATTCAAAAGACTAGAAAATGGGTACTCAAAACAAGTGTGTATGCCTTTAAGTGCACGGCAGCATTATTCACAGTAATCAAAAAATGGAAGCAACTTAAGTCCCTATAAACAGCTGTGTGGATAAGCAAGGTGTGGTTGATTCATGCAATGACATATTAATCAGCCCTGAAAAGGAAGTTCTGACATGTGGCATGCCATGAATAAACTTGAAGACGTCATGCCAAGGGAAATAAGATGATGATGGGAGGACAGATATTATGTAGCTCCACTTCTATGAGATCCCAGATATGGACCATTCACAGAAAACAAAAATAGCGCGGCGGGTTGAGAGAGAGGAGGGGTTACTGTTTGTTGAGTTTTAATTTGAGAAAATGAAGAGCATCTGGAAATACAGGGGATAGTTGTGGAGCCATATGAGTGTCCTTAATACTATCAATGTGCATCCTTAAAATGATGAGCATGACAAATGTGCCTGTGACTGTAAAACCCCCTTTTCATAAAAATCTCATCCATATTCGATTGATACATCAAGTGCCAACGTAACCTCATTCTGACTGACGGCTTAATAGCTTTCTTTCCAAATAAGGTCACAGTCTGGAGTACTGTGGGACACCATTTCAACCCAGGAATTTGAAGGAACACAATCCAGCCTAGGCAGTTGTGGTTGCTTCTCTGCTCTGTCTTCCTTTCTGCAAACAAGTTAGGACTGCGTATTGGGGAGATGAAGGAAGAGGAGCATCTCCTTATGGCACTGTGCATGAAACAGACTGGTCACATCTAGGATTGCCCTCATTACATAGGCTTGCAAACTTCTGGACACTCCACTAGGTGCAAATCCTGGTTACCATGTATGTTGCTTTAAGAAATTGTGGGGGAGAGAAGAGAGACTTTAGCCTAGTGATTAAGATACCTATTATATCTGCTCTCATTGCAGAGTACTTTCACTGGGTTCCCAGCTCAGACTCCCAACTCCAGCCTTCTGCTCTTACAGATCCTGGGAGAAGAAAGTTGATGTCTCAAGTACTTGGGTTCCCACCACACCCATGTGAGAGAGACAGATGGAATCCCTGGCCTCTAACCTTGGTCTAGCCTGTCCTTTGCAGTTACATGCATTTATGGGGTGAACCAGTGAATGAGAGCATTTGCCCTCACTCTAAAATAAACAAATATATTTAATAGTTAAGAACAAGGCAAAACAAGTTTAGGCTAAATGGGAGAGGAGATTGTCAAGGTGGGAGGTGCATGGCAGAACTACCCAACACCAGGTGAAGATGACTAGGCACCATTGTCAATAGGATCTCATCCTGTCGTGTTCAGCCATGTATGCCTGTTCCAGTGTAAAACACCCGTGCTTGTCCAAAACACACAAAGGCAACCTTATAAGATAAAAAAAAAAAAATCCCAAATAGAAATTCTGCTGAATTCTTCCCATAACTTAATGGGTTTGTTACAAGTCACCCCTGGGGTATCTGCATCTTGTTTTCAGACCAGCTCCTAAACAGCTCTAATCAAATACACATGCTTTCCCCACTCTGTGCCTTTATCCCAACATCCATCTTCAGCATAAATGCCTTCCCCACCTCTCCTGTCCTCAACCAGAGTCCATCTGCATCCCTTGCCCCTTGTCCAGAAGAACCTGCTCTGAGCAACCATGGCCCTCATTGCATAAGCACCACATGTGCCAGCTGATCCATAAAACTCAGGACATTGCTTGTTTCCTGGAGTTTGCTAAGGTCGGATCTTTTCTTGTTTACTTTATACTTCACATGTCTTGAGATTTATTATTAGTTCCATAGTAGTCCTTTTATTTAATTCATTTTATTTAATCCACTGGAGGAATTATTCCTTTTTAAATTTTCAAATTTCAAAATACTCAAAACTTTTAGAAAACACAGGAAGATGAAAATCACAGTGCCCCCACAATCACCATTTATTTTGTGTTAGGTTTTTTCCATCTCACCTTTTTGTTTCCTTTCCATTGCTGTAACCTGCTATATATTTCTTGGTTCCAAGATTGCACCCAATACAGACCTCCCACTGTTTTGTCATAGCATCATCATACTGCATAACTGCGTGGTCAGGGCCACTGCTGCCATGATTTAGTTTGTGATCAGCCTATGTAGAACGGGACTGACCTGCAGCCTGCTCAGTGTGGGCCTCACCCTTCACAGAGCAAGGGGCTGTGACGATCATGCATTCATCTGCTGAGCCATGTGCCTGTGCGTTGTCTGGTAAGGTGAACCCTGACCCAAGGTTCCCTGTTCAGAGGGGATACTTTTCTAAATTGAACCCTGTGCTTTCTAGAATAACAGTGAACTTGTGATTGGGTCTCCACCAAGTAGCTGCAACTTGGCTTGCTTGACTTTTTCTAGGGCAGAAAGATCAGCCTTTCCAAAGTCAAGGTTTTTAGGTCTAAGATCTCTGAGAATCCATCTCCTTAGGCTCTTCTGGGGTAAAGAATTAAAAGGAGCTGTCAGGTTGGAGAGCTTTATGTGGGACATGAAGACTAACAGCTCTGGATTCTAAATTGTAACAGACAAAAGACATTAACACTGCTTTCTGGGTAGGCTGAACAGGCCCACTCTTGACGGTCACATCAGAGGGCAAGGGGAATAAGGTGCTTGTTGTCAAGATTGCCCTCTGACTCTACTCTTGACATTTCCAGAATGCCTGTGAGTGCAAGAAAGGGTTTCGAGGAAGTGGCATCAACTGTGAACCGATCATTTCTTGCTTGGAACAAACTGGGACGTGTCATCCGTTGGTGAGTTCCCTCACTACTCTTTCATTACTTCTTTTTTGAAGTTGAGAAAATGAATTAGATTATTCCTAGCTAATTTGGGCTAGGCCATGAACAAAATCTCTCTTATCCCTAAAGGGAGTCTCCGAGCAGAATGTGAGAACTTCCCTCTGCTTCTACGCCAGGGTCTGCATCAACCATCCTATGATTACCCAATAAGACACAGCATATGATAACCCAATAAGATACAGTTAGATTTGACTGTGAAATAAAAATATTCCAGCATAAGTCAGTCCCAGATATCTCATGAGACTAAATATTATTCACCTGAAACTCAAATGTTCCTATGTGCCCTGTGTTTTTTTAATTTACCAAGTCATGCACAAATGAGAAGTGTTTCAATGTGATTAAATAAGAGTGCGCTGAGCACGCACACAGCAGAAGCCTATGGTTGCTGCACCTGGGCTCCAAGCTGCTCCCACCATCTTCCAGCCCTAAATTTGCAGCTCACACTGTGGAGGGAGCCCATGGCTGCAGGGTCGTGACAGCAGGAAAACAAACTGCATCTTCTCCCTTGGTCTGATCAGGCGACCTGTCAGTCTACTGCGTCAGGTGTCTGGAGCTGCGTGTGTCGGGAGGGCTATGAAGGCAACGGGCTCCTGTGCTATGGGAACGCAGCAGTGGTAAGTCGTCAGCCACAGCAGAAACAGGTGATGCTTGAAGGGAACAGGAACCGCTGAGCTGAGACGCTTGTCAAGTGTGTCTCAACAGAGCATTTGCTCTGAGCGGTGAGGGACTCTTCCCAGGGGGACTGGCACACTCTGTGGGCTGAAGGGGGCATACTTGGATCTGGAACCTTCTGTGTGCCAAGTCATTCTGACATCTCTTTCTAGGCACTGTACCTAACTAGCTCTGGGCTCTCCTATCCAGGTTTGGTGCCTGGATTCCCAATGTACCTTGTGCTTGCACCCACCTTTGAGAACATGTGTACACATGAAAGCGTGACCCAGACACACAATCGTATGTGTGCATGTGTGAACAGCTTTCTGTATGAGGAACACATACATGCATGTGTCCTTGTGTGAGGACTTTCTATACACCAAACACATGTTCGCATGAGAATGGCATTTGTGAACCAGGCACATGCATATGTGCATGTATGAGCACCTACTGTGTACAAAGCACAAACTGCATGCAAAGATGTATTTACAAACTCTCTGCACCAAGCACCTTCCATGCAACACAATTCGATTTAAACCTCACGACAGCCCTGTAATAGTGAACAAAGTGAGAAACCAAGTGAACTGACACACTTTCTCATCACTCACTCTGTCCAGTCCCCTGCAATTGGTTCCTGCCCCCCTTTCCTCTTGAAAGCACTGACCCAGTGATACCCCAGGATCCTAGCCCTGGTCCAGTTGAGAGCCTCATCCCCCCAACTGCCCGCAGCCTCCTTGGACGTCGTCATCTTGCCCATTCAGGCTCTCCTGCTCTCAGTTTTCACTGTTAACTGGTGTTTCTCACCACATCAGGCCAAGGAGCCACCATCTCCTCACACTAGAGCAAGGCAAACAGGATTGCCCCTTAATGCCTCCTAACACCCCCTAACACCTGCCTGCCCATCACCGTCTCCTAACACCAGATCAGGGCACACAGACTCCAGAATTGCTTCCCACCACCTGTGGGCCACATTTTCAGAAACACTAAAATTGCTGTGATAAACAAGATGGAATCCAAATGCTCAGCCTGGAACCTCACCTGCCTGCCCATCATATTCAATTCACTTTTCCAAACACCTTCCTCCTACATTAACTGTCACTGTCCCAGCTCCACACCTGGACCCAGTCTCCAGCCTTGCCCAGCTCAGTTCACACCCAACACAGGCCTCCACTCCCTAACCCGCCCCCTGCAAAGAGTTTCTCCACCATCTTGGCTATTGTACTTACTCGTTTATATAGAACTTGACCTCATAACTTGCAAGTACTAACTTATTTGATCATTTCAAGAACTTTCTGAAGGAATTAGATTGGTTCTCTGTGTTACTGTCTTTACGTATGGTTGCATGTAATTGTTATTGCCATTTATTGAGGCATTTCTTATAGCTTTAACATAATTTCACATACACTAATGGCCCTCATTTCCATAGCCCCAGGAGGAAAGCCTTATCTATTAACTTTTTAGACAAGGTTCTGGAGTTCTCAGAGAGGTTATGTCACCCAAGATCACACAGCCGGTAGCTGGCAGACCCAGGAACCCAACATTTTTTTACTCCAAGAACATCTTTATTCATTATTTCAACTCAATCAATCTTCAAATGCCATTAGTCCACTGGCAATGTTATCTTTTCAAATGGTGGGATGGTAATGGGAACCCAAGAGGTTGAGTCCACATCCCAGATTGCCACTCACCCTTGGCACTGAGAGGGATTGTTGGGTGGCCTGAACCCTGGTTTGGAGGGACTCAAGTCTTTGCTTCAGTTGAACTTTCTAGAATTAGTTCTTTGAATATAAGAGATACTTGAGCCACTTGCAAATGAAAGCATGTGAAGCTCCAGCAACACAGAAATTTGGTGCACTGGGCCTATGTACCCATGGGCTGATTCAGCAAGGCTGGCAGGAAGCACACCCAGCCTCAGGTCAGCAAGGTGCAGGTCACTCCGAAGGCACTACAATTCCGCTCCTCACTGTTCCTTCTCTCATATTTCTCTTGTCTCTCCACCTGCCGGCATGAATAAGGAATTGTCATCTCTCTCTGAAGCAGCTGCGTTTAACCAGTGGATATATGTGAGTATCTTCACAGGGATATATGATTGGGGATGCATAGCATATTTTAGAAATTTGTAATGCATATAATAGAAAGTGACACTGCATCTGGAAAGAGAGAGAGAGAGAGAGACTGTTCTCAACCCTGGCCATGTGTTGCAATCACAGAGGACATGTTTTTTATGAGTATCAGGCATAAGCTCCCACTCTGACACTCTGCTGGATTGGCAAGACATACGCCTGGACACTAGCATGTTTTGATAAGTTTCTCAGATAATTCATACCTGCATCAGGGCTGAGAATGTCTGGTTTAGGGTACGATGAGCAGTCAGCTTTCCAATCAATCAGATACATATATAGGATGCCATTTATCCCAGAAGTCTTAAGTCACATGATCCAAACTGTGATTCACTAAGTTCGATTTGAATGTATCATGGCCATCTGGGTGTGTGCTTAGCTCTCAGCCAGTGTGCCCAGTGCTTATGCTTAGCCCCTGGAAGTACAACAAAAAAATCCAAACCCTACATCACCCAGTTGTTTGAACCTCTGTCTTCTATGAATGATCCAAGGTGTCAGGCCCATGCAAACATGACAAATAATTTCCCCTTTCAATTAGCTTGTGCCAACTTAGGACAGACCTGCTCAGCTCCCACTCCAGCACTGCTCCCCTTCTTGACCCCTGGCATAAAGAAGGACCAAAGCTTAAGCCTGCCCACCTGGTAGTGGGTGGGACCGGGTTCCTGTTGGCTCAGTGGGGCCGATTGCATGTTCTTTTCTCCATTTCATTGTGCTCATCATGTTGGTGGTACAAGTATTTAGACCAGAGAAATCAGCAAATACTCACAGCCAAAGCTTTTTTTTTTTTCCTTCTGAAAAATCTTAAACGGAAGTATGTGTCTGCTTCTACACAGAATTGGCTTTCTCAACAAAAGCGAAATGTGGCTAGAGTTTGGTTTCTGGCGTCCAGTTTCTCCATGCTGCAGTTGTTAACTGTGGTCTCCCCAGAAAGCTACCCCAAAGTCATTCTTTGCACATCTCTCCCACACACATCCATCTCTCCCTTCTCTCTCTCTGTCTGTCTGTCTCTCTCTCCCTCTCTCTCTCTCATTACTCTGTTTTTCAAATACAAAGTAGGTGCAGCACCATGGTATAATAGGCTAAACCTCCACCTACAGTGCTGGCATCTCATATGGGTGCTGGTTCAAGCCCTGACTGCTCCCCTTCTAATCCATCTCCCTGCTCATGGCCTGGGGAAGCAGTAGGAAATTGCTCAAGTCCTTGGGCCCCTGAACCCACATGGGAGACCCTGAAGCTCTTGGATCCTGACTTTGGATCGGCTCAGCTGCAGCCATTGTAACCATTTGGGAGTGAACCTCCAGTGGATGGAGGATACTTCTCTTTGTCTCTCTCTCTCTCTTTCTCTTTATTCCCCTTCTCTCTTAACTATGCCTTTTCAAATAAAAAAATAAGTATTTAATTTTTGAAAACCTTCCTTGTAGCCATGAAATCATATCACAGGGAAAACTGAACTCTCCCACACCCATTTGCCCGGTTTGTCATCTAACACGGGCCAGACCACTTTGTCTTCCCTCTGTGTGTGATCCAGAATGCTTCTCTACAACCCATGCTGTCAACCACCTTGAACCTCACTCTTCTGGTGCCATCCCATCAAGCAATTGAGGACATGGACCAAGGTGCAAAGAGCTTTTGGCTGTCACAGAGCAATATTCCGGCCCTAATAAAGTAGGTATTATGTATTCTATTATTCATAGTATCTGACTGGCATCAGTGGGGCCATTCTGCAGAAGTTCAGGGGAGGAAAGTGAAAATGGACCTCTAGGCCATGGAATTGAAAAATGTCCTGGGATCCACCCCCTCCCACCACTGCCTCCTTGCTGCAGAACAGTACCCATCAACAATTACTGGCAGTACTGTTCCATCTGCTTTATATATATATATATACATACATACATTTTTAACAGATCTGTTTATTTGAAAGACAGAGTTATAGAGAGTCAGGGAGTGAAAGAAAGAGATCTTCCATTCACTAAATCACTCCCCACATAGCCACAGTGGCCAGAGCCAGGAGTTTATTCCTGTCTCCCATGTGGATGCAGAAACCCAAGTATTTTGGTCATCTGCTACTCTCCCAAGCCATTAGCAAAGACCTCGCTCAGAAGTGAAGCTGTTGGGTCATATACCAGCACCCATAGAGGATGCCAGCATCACAGATGGCAGCTTTTCCCATGATGCCACAATGCCAGCCCCTATACATGTAACTTATTTAATCCTCCGACCGCCAGAACCCCAGAGAACAATACTGTAATCATTCCCATATTACGGATGTAGAAACTGAAGCAAGGGTAGTGAAGTAGCTAACTCAAGTCAAGCTAACAGCTGCATGGGGAATTTGAGTTTTGAATATGGCTGACTGACCCTGAAGCCTATTCTCTAAGCTACTTCAGGGCACTGCCTCATGCATGGTATTTGCTTACAACCCTTGTGATGTGTCATATCAGGTACCACACACTTCTTGGCACATATGGAGTGGAAGACTTGCAGACCTTGTCGGCTTCTGAACAACTTGCCACATCCTTACAGGGCCACTTTCTGCGCCTGGAGAAGGTGGATGGGGTAAGAGAGCTCATGGTTTGCATGTTGCTGAATCATGACACGTTTTCTCACACTGCAAATTCCTAAATGTTTTCATCATGGATGCTTCCAAACAGGTACAAAAATAGAATGAAACCTTCATCTGAGGATTATACAGCTGCAACAATGCTCAATATATATACATGGAATCACATACACACATATTAATCTACAGAACTAATCGTATCAAATGTGACCTCTTCCCAAGGACTGGCTTCTCCCAATAGAAACTGACTGATCGAAAAAGGCTGAAGTTTGTGCACGTTCACAGCTTTTGTTCTGATACATAACAAACTAAGAAATTGTGTCTAGTAACCTATCAATTGAATCATCACAGATAACTTAAATTTTCTATTCCCTAAAGGTCATTCAAGTTTTTATTGGACACATATTATGAGGCAGGCATAAATGTGGGTGCTAAAAGCAAGGCAGTGCCCAAGAAAAAGTCCAGCCCTAGAAAAGATTCCATCCTCCTCTGGAACCTTCTATACTGAGTCAAATTTAAAATTCTATGCAGAAGTCCTGACTCAGTATAGAAGGTTCCAGGCTGAAGCCAAATCCTAGAACTTCATCCAGGTCTCCAATGTGGGTGGCAGTGACTCAAATGATTGGGCTATCTTCTGCTTTCCTAGGCACATTAGCAGGGAGCTGGATCTGAAATGGAGCTACTGGGACTTGAACCAGCACTCTAATACAGCATTGCAGGCTGTGGCTTGGTGTGCTGCACCCCAGCCAGTCCCATGTGTCTGAATTGCACAAGTTGAGAATGAAGCGTGCACTGGAAAGTGAGAACTGCTATGTCCATGGACCATGGGCCACAGTCAAAAATGAGAATTACACTTCTGTTCCCTTGGAATGAGCATTGTAGGAAAGATCGTGGATCATGTTGCTAGTCCCTATCTAAATGTGCTTCCTCAGACGATTTGCTTTAGAAAACAGAACAGTTACATATGCTCCCATGGGTTTTTTTTAAATCACATTATGATAATTATAGTGACATTGAGTTTCTTTTAAAATATACATATACATGTGTATATATAAATGTAAAGCATGTAACGTGGTTTTCATATGGGTGTTTGTAATGAGTACATTTCTACAATCATGCTAATCCACTGGTGTTTTACAACATTGATTCTCTTAGAATCAATTAACTGAATCATGAACTGAACACTCACCCCGAGAAGGTGTATCCCAGGTGCTATTGATTCAAAGCTAAATCAGATTCCTGATCGATATGAACTCACCAGGAAAGACCTCTTTTGTTAATCATTTCATTTGAAACACAGGCAGATGGCTCTCCCCTCCACTAGTTCAGTGCCAGAAGGCCCACAAGAGCTGGAGCTGGGCCAGGCCAAAGATAGGCACCAGGAACTCAATCCAGATCTCCCACATTGAGTAGCAGCGACCTGAGTACTTGAGCTGTCCTTGCTGCCTCACAAGGCACACATTAACAGGAATCTGGAATTCAGAGCAGAGCCAGGTCCTGAACTCAGGCACACTGACATCCCAGACAGTATCTTAACCTCTCCACCAAACACCTGCTCCCAGTGGTGCAAATTTTTTTTTTTTTTTGCATTTTGTTCTTCCTCTAATGCAAATATTTCCCATGAATCCAAAGCAATGTGCAAGCAGGCCAGGGATACTCTCAAGAGAGGCTCTAGAGCTGTGATTCAGGACTTGTTCAGAATGATACAACTGGCTTCTTCACTTAGGGTTCCTGATAGGAATTTCAAAAAAGTAGAGGTCATGCTGTGGAGAAGAGAAGGAAAGAAACCAGAGGGAGTGGAGGCCCATTGTTGTCAGGGTGGTTTGGTGACTGGGTGGGTACTGGGGCTTATTTAACCCCAATCCTTATCTAACAGTCTTGAAAGTGACTGAATTCTGACCAGAAAAGTCAGTAACTGTCTGTACTAGTTTGCTGAGCCCACCAAAACCAAGGACCACACACTCGGTGGCTTAAACAACAGAAATGTGTTGTCTTACTGCTCTGGAAGTTTGAAGTTCAAAGCAAGGTGTCGGCAAGGTTGGCTCCTTCTGACACCTATGCCAGAAAGAGAGGCTCCTGGCCTTTCTCCTTGGCTGGCACTTGATCTTCAAGATCCATGGTCTTCTTCTATTGCTGCCTCTGATAATATCCCTGGTGACCTCACTCATTGCTTCAATTTGACCACCTTTGAAAGGGTGTGGTTTCCAAAGAAAGTCACAGAGTGAAGTCCTAGGAGTTGGGGTACATGACTAATAGGCACCAGGGGACACACATTTGCACCACAGCCCTGACTCTGGGGGGCTTTTCATGCTGCAGGGGCACTTGAATGAACATCCGTCAGCACTTTTAGCAAAATAGAGTAGAATTGAAGATCAGAGGACCTCCCACATAGTAAGCGAGAGTTCTCTCTCTGTATCCCTGTCTCTCTCTCTGTGCATGAGAGACAGATCTAATGGAACACATGTAAAGATATTTCTCATGGTGAGTTGTGACCAAAAACTGTACAGACCAGTGCCACTCAAAATGAATCAGTCTCCGGTGCACTCCCCAGAGACTCACTTTCCCTTGTGGTCTACATTTACAGAATATCACAATTGAAGGAGCATCCATTGTGGATGGTGACAACGCAGCTACAAATGGCGTGATTCACATCATCAACAAGGTACGAACTCCACCTTCCGCCCTGGTGACAGCTCGGCTATGTTATTTACCCTGCTCAATAGAAAAGCATTGCGTATCCTTCCATTTATTTTTAAACCATTTAGAAATTCTATTATTTCTGTAAAATTCAGCAACCGTTTACCTGTCATATATTCTCCAACAGTCGGAATGTGGGGCTACCATTATCCATCATATCACTATTCAGTTCTCTGCATTAGTACACACTAAAAGCATGAGCTAGTGAAAGCCCTAAGGGAAAAAATGGAAAAATAGAAAAGTATGAGTTTCATTTTCTTGTATGTTCTAATTCTACATTGTCCAAAGGTAAAATATAGGCAGAATAAGAAGCAGGGTTGTCAGCTATCCTGTAATTTGCAGTTACTATGTTAGAATCTTTAGTTTAAAAGGATAGAATTTAGGAACTTTAGGAATGTCAAAGATTGGGAAAAGCAATTAGCTAATTGCATTTTAACTAAACATATCCTCACTTGGCACTTACATGTTCCCTTTTTTATTTTAAGCCTTCAAAAGGTCAACTGCTTCCTTTCAGAGAAAAGAGGGTATTTGTAAGACTCCTGTGTACCTGCTTTTGCAAGGGTTTACAATTCTCCTGCAGCACCAAGAGGCACTGAGAAACACAACATGTCTGAGTGAGCGATTGTCTCGCAGAGAGCCATGTCAGATTTATGACATCACATTATGTGACATCACATTGAATGTCATGGGCTCTTTTCCAATCCTGGATTTCCAACAAAAAATAAAAATAAAATTAACTCTTCTGCTCCTAGATTTTGAGGAACATGCTCTTCTTAGTAGAAAAGCACTTCGACCCATCTCTTACACTGAACATTATTTTTCCGTACATAAAGAAGTGTCGTAGATTCTATATATACAATTCAAAGAACATATTACTCCTCACCTCCCTCCCTCCTTCATGCACTCCCACCCTCTGTTCTGTTTTCTTCCTTCCTTATTTTTTCTTTTAATTTTTATGATAACATACATGCTTTCAGTTTATCACCACAAGCTTATCCTGCCACAAAATAAAGAATTCAACAATTACTAAGTAGAACACGTTATGTTCCACGGGAGCAGAGACAAGGGCCTATAAAAATAATCACCTCAGAAAGTCAACTTTGTTCATATACATTACATTTGTAGACTCTGTATATTATCACAAATCAGGGGAAATATGTATTTGTTGGGAACTGCCTTGTTTCACTAAGCATAATGGTCTACAACTGCAGCCATGTTATTGTTAAACACAGGATTTCATTCTTTTTATAACTGAGTAAAATACAGTGTTGCATCGTGTATATATACCATAATTCCTTTTTTCAGTCAATCATTTGGACATCCAGTTGATTCCATATCTTAGTTATTGTGAGTTGAGCTGCAATATATATAAGTGCACAGATAACTCTTTTATATACTGATTTTATTTCCTTTGGGCAATTTCCCAAGAATGGAATGACTGGGTCATGTGGTCAATCTATTTGAAGATCTCTGGGGGATAGCCATACTGCCTTCCATGACGACTGTACTAATTACATTCCCACTAAGACTGGATCAGGGTAACTTTTTCCAACACATTATTACCAGCATTTGTTTAATTTCAGGATGATAGCCATTGCAGCCAGGGTAACGTGAAACCTAATTGCGTTTTTTGGAGGTTTTGTTTGTTTGTTTGTTTGTTGCATTTCCCTAATGGCTAGTGATCTAGAACATCTTTTATGTTGGCTGTTTGTATTTCATTCTTTTTTTAAAAATGCCTGCTCATATCCTCACTCCTTTTCTTAACTGAATTGCTTATTTTGTTATTCCTTTACCTCCTTATTCACGCTGGATATTGATCTTTAATCAGGTGTATAGTTTGTAAATATTTTCTCCCATTCTGTTTGTTGTCTCTTAGTTGAGCATTTCCTTTGCCGTTCAGAAGATTCTTAGTTTAATGTAATCCCATTTATCTATTTTTGCCTCTGTTGCCTGGACATCTAGGAACTTATCCAAGAAGCCTTTCCCTGCACTAATGTCTTGCCCTGTTTTCCTCTAATGATCTGATGGTTTCAGGCCTTAGGTTTAGATTCCTGATCTATTTGTATTAAGCATTGTTATCATGGGGGTCTATTCAAGTCCTACTTCCTGTGTGGCAACTTCCCTGTCCTGAGCAGCCCACATCAGCATAAATGACAGAGGCAGGAAGGTGCAGTCTAGCAACAGGCATCCTGTGTAGCCAATGAGACAGAGTGGCTGGGTCTAAGCCTCTGTTCTGCACCCAGCCTCCTGCTAATGCACACCCAGGGAGGCAAAAATGGCAGCTCACACACTGTGTCTCTGCCACCCGTGTGAGAGCCCCTGATTGAATTTCTGGCTCCTACATTGATTTGGCCCATTCCTGGCTGTTGCAGCCGTTTATGGATTGAATAGCAGATAGCATATCTCAAAGTCTCTATCTCCCCATCCCTCTTTCTTTTCTCCTCCTTCTCTCTCTTCCCTCTCCCCCCTCCCCTTCCTCTTGACTTTTAAATAAACTTCTCCAGAAAAAAAAGAAAGAAAAGAGGCATTTTAGAGTTGCAGAAAATTTTGGATTAGACATTTAGTTATCTGTGTGACCTTGGGCAGGTCACCTAACTTCAACTTCTCTCTGCCTCATTTGTCTTCATCTGTAAAGAGCAAGCATCTCCTGTCTCAATGCCTGCTCTCTAGTGAACTTCCAATAAATGGCTTCATTCTCAATTCCTTGGGTTTTCTCTAAGTGAAACTTGTTTGATGTACTGTGCTCTCTTTTAATTTTTTAAAGATGTATTTTTATTTGAAAGGTAGAGAGGAGAGAGAGGTGGATCTTCCATCTACTAATTCACTTCTCAGATTGCCTCAAGAGCTGAGCAGGTCCAAAGCCAGGAGCCAGGAGCTTTTCTTCCAGGTCTCCCCTGTGGGTGCAGAGGACCAAGTACCTGAGCCAGCTTATGCTGCTTTCCCAGGCCATAAGCAAGGATCTAGATCAGAAGTGGAAGAGCAGGGACACGAACCAGCAACCATTGGAATGCTGGTGTTGCATGCAGAGGCTTGGCGTTATACACCACGGCACTGGCCCCAGATCCTTTCAATGCTGTCAATCCTATGCCACTCTAGAATGAATGACCTGGAAGCATGGGGCCGCATCTCTCTGTATCCCTCAAAAACATGAGTACCTCAACAATCATTGAGATGTTTGAGCATTCACCAGGAGCCAGAGTATACCAAGAATTATTAACTGAATTTTTCATTTGGTATTTGCAACACCCCTAAGTGTTTTCTGTTAGTTCTTTGAACTGTCCACAGGAAATAATGTGATTTCTGTGTGTATTGGGAAGCAGCAAATTGCAGCACCATGTGCTAACAGAATTTGGGGGCTCCCTTTCCTAGGTGCTGATCCCCCAAAGAGGTCTCAGCAGTTCCTTACCAAACCTGCTCACCCGGCTGGAGCAGATGCCGGACTACACCATCTTCAGAGGATACCTCATGGCAAGTAGCTCACGCTCTGCCTGCTGGCCTGGCTGGGCTGCCTGGAGCAGGAATCCCTCACCTGCTCTCCTCTCTTTCCACCACAGCATTACAATCTGGTGAATGCAATTGAGGCCGCCAGCACTTACACTGTGTTTGCACCCAACAACAACGCCATCGAGAATTACATCAGGGAGAAAAAAGTCACAGCTCTAGTAGGTATTGGGAAAGCCAGCCCGGGAAAGTTCAGACGCTCAGCATTTTCAATGTGTCAGTCATGTTCCTTTCCACCCTTTCATCTAACCCCTTTGTTCATATCCACATAGTTAACATAGCCTCCCACGGGAGTACCACCCCCACACTTGTACAACTCTCCCATGCCAGAGCTAGTGCGTCCTGAGTGGCATACTTGAACCCCCATGCACAAGTGTTCAGGCATGCTAGGAACCAGGAAGGATCCTTGGAGCCACTGCTCTTTCTGGTCCAAAGCAGCTGGTTCGGTGTCAGCAGCAGGGACCTAATAGGGATGGACTGTTAGTGCTGGTGGGAAGCTAGAGAGTCTAGTCCCTGAGTCAATTGTGGTCCATCAGGAGGCACAAACCACACCAGTTTCCAGAGCAGAGAGGTCTTAGGTGTATGAATTATTAATTGAGTACAAAGCTGTATGGGAGAGAGGTGGGGGAGGTAGCAATTGCAGGAAGGCATGTAAGATCTGAAGGCTAAATGAGCAAAGATTATAAGCAGTAAAACAATAACTTAGAGGAATGTTGAGCCACCCCAAGAGAAAGGGGGCTGGTGACTGAGTTTGGAGGAGGAGCCAGTATGCCCAAAACTCAGACATCTAAGGAGCTGGAACTGCCCAACTTGTGTCCCAACGGTTGGAGGGCATGACAAGGCTACTTCTGCTAGTGATAGGAAACTGCTCTACAACCCAGCTGCCAGTGCAAACAAGAGGGGCCAAGATAGCTGGAAGCAGCAGCCCCTGGTTAGACTGCTTATGCCCCAGTCAGACCCCAATCCTATAGGTCGCCCCAGTCAGACCCCAATCCTATAGGTCACCCCAGCAGAGGGTGGTGGAGCACAGCGGAAAGTCTTTGACACATCCTTTTGACACGTCCTGAGGAGGACCTCTCCTCAGGATCCCTAAAAAACTGGGTCATAGGGACACTCTATTCACAGCAGGTCCACTCAAAGAAATCATCTTCACAGCCCACCCCAACTTTCATACCCTCTATCTAGGTTTGAGAATCACCAAACAGGTTCTTGACCAAACTGCTTGGAAAGTCTGCAAGTTCTCAAAGTGATGTTTCACAGCTCCCTTTAGTGGTTAATAGCTATCGGTCTTGTCACCTCCATCAGAACTTCCACCCCAACGAGCCATTGATCCTCATCGTAATCCCCCAGTGCAGCCAGCGTAAAGCAGATCCCTAACAAACTGGCTCATCTCTTGATTGACTTTCAATTCTCTGTGTGGCCCAGGGGGAAGACATCATCCAATATCACGTGGTCCTGGACAAGAAACTCCTCAAGAATGACCTGCACCCGGGCATGCACCGGGAGACCATGCTGGGCTTCTCCTACCTCCTTGGCTTCTTTTCCCACAATAATCAGGTGTGATCCTTTTTCTTAAAAACCAGGAACCAATATCATAACTCATGTCAATCCTTGCCACTTCCATGCTGGAGAATCTCATCAGTGTTTCCCAAACCTTGCCAACACAAAAGAATTATCTGTTTTAACTATAATGCAATGACTGAACCATGTTGTCCTGCTATCAGTGTGTGTATGCATATACATATACATATACACACCCAAGCAACAAACCCAGGGAACTCACCCTAATCCCCAAGGAGTGGCACTGGCTCCAGGACATACAGAAGGATCCTAATGACAAACGTAACAGCCACATGAATTAGCCTTGTAATTGCATAACTGTAATGCTAGCGACCAAGTGAACACCATGCTGGCATCCCAGTTTTTATCTCAGATAATACCTAATATTTGTAATTCATTAAAAAATTAGTGAAACTCAATCATGAACTTAAGTATAAATTTATACTCAAATATTTTAAATATTAAGTTAAAATGCAATCTAAAAATTCAACATAGTAGTCAAAAAGTAATTCTAATAAAAATTCTCACAGGAAAACAAGTATTATTTGACACCAAGTACTATAGTGAAGTGAAACTTCAATCATAGAACTTTTTGAAACAATTTTATTTGGAGTTTTCTAAAAAGCGTAATCTTCTTTACTTGATATCATTTATTTCATAATACAGTTCCAAGATGATAACCACATTTTCCCCCATGCCCTCTCTCTCAGCCCTCATTTCTTTCTTTTTCTCTTATGTACACATATTTAATTTGCTGCCAACCATAATTTTCAGCAAGTAAAAATTAGGACGTCTACAGTTCCACAGTAATATAAGTGAAATGAAAACAATAATCATATCTTTATATAACCTTTTTTCTTTTTTATTTTACTTATTATTATTATCATTTTATGATACAGTTCCATAGGCCCTGGAACTTCCCTTACCCTCTCCCCAAGTCTCCCCACATATACTGAGTTCCCCTATATTATTACTATAGTATAATTCTTCATAAACAGTCATATGTCCATCATTGCGGACATGGACAATGGCAGGTTCCAGCATCCTATTGTCAAGATATAGTAAACAGTTTCATTGGGAGTCCATCATTAATCTGGAAGTACAGATGCATACTGTTATATCCTCACATCTGGATTTGATAGTCTCCCGTACACAGTTACTCTACATCCCCTTAAATGAAAAGCCACAATACAAAATCAACAACAGGAAGAAAAATAGAAATTTACAACGCCATGAATTTAAATAACATGCTACTAGATATGACAGTCCCCATTATACAGTTATGGTAAAATCCTGACTTAGTTCTGGGTCTTGAATGCTTCCTGATGCTCTAAGCAAAAACAAATCCATACACATCATTCTTTGAAATTCTTACCTAACTACTTCTATTCTTGTTAACTGTCATGTGGCCTTTTTTAAGGGTTGCTTAGAAATTAACCATGATGTAGAGATAAGCTGAAAAGGCAAGTTGCTTTTCCAGTGTCCTAGTTATGCCCGGCACCCATCCCTCCTGGCCTGCCAGTCAACAGCACACTGAGCATGTCTGTGGAGCCAGGTTGCTGATGGGAACTAACACAAAGACACAGTATTTTTCAAACAGAAATTAACTCATTTGAGAGATGGAGAAAGACCCTAGAGATGATCTAGATCAATTTTTGTTTTACAAAGGGGGAAAAAAATAATTCAGGAAGAAGCAATTAACTGCAGGTCACATGGCTAGGCAGTGCCAAGTATACTACTGTTACCTGGAGTCTGCCTTCCTGGGTTGAGTTCTTTCCACTGCGATGTGCTGCCCTCCAGATGGGTATGAGAGGATCTCCTAGGCAGTGACCACGTTGGTAGTCTCCAGTCTCACCTTCCTATATTCTTTCAAACCACCATGATAAAAGGTCACATTTAACCCTCTTGTTCACAGCTATATGTAAATGAAGCTCCAATCAATTACACCAATGTAGCCACTGACAAGGGAGTGATCCATGGCTTGGGGAAGGTTCTGGAAATTCAGAAGAATAGATGCGATAATAATAACACGACTATTACACGAGTAAGTTATATCCCACATTGATGATGGATGTTGGCATGTTTTTTTTTTTTCAATCATTATTTTTAACAATAAGACTTCTCTTTCAGGGTATTTCAGTTTACTTAAAAAAAAAAAAAAAAACAGTGTGTGAGCCAGGGAGTATGTCAGGCTGTGATTCTACAAAGACAAAACTAATCCCTGCACTCGAAGGATTCATGAGTTATGTAATATATTGCACCGTGATGAGTCCCTGGGAGAGCTGTGTTGAAATCCTGAAGCCATGACTTTTCCCAGAGAGAAAAGAAGCTTTGTCTAGCACGGGCTCAGCAAGAGGACTGTGGTACACCTGTGGCAGCTATTGGCCAAAACTCATCCGCTAGAAATAAAAATGGACAATTTCAGTGTAACATGTCATGCAATAATGGAGAAATTTCACTCTGGTCCATAGAATCTTTCAGTGAAAGTAATAACCATCCATTTATTGGGTACTGTGTGCACGGGACCACTGTAGACATTTTACATGTGTTAATTCAAGTAATCCTCACTGCACCTTACAAAGCAGGTACTATCACTATACTCTTCTTACGTATGGGCAAAATGAGCCAGTGAACCACAGAGAGAATAAGTAATTCACATGTTAGCAAGTGGCAGAGAAAGGGTTCAAATCTGAGCAATCAGCTAGAAACCTATATCATCTATAACATTGTCCAATAGTACCAAGTTCAGAACAGACTCCTTGGCCACCTCCTATTCTAGGGAGAATTTGTGCCATCCTTAGCATTTGCAGTGGTATTGTTATTCCTGTTGAGCACCTCTCCTCCATACGCTCCAGCTGGGCCAAGCGCCTTCCGGGGTGGAACACTGTATGTGGTTCAGTCATTTCTGAACTCTGTTCCAATTCATTAAATAGTTTCAATAAATGAGGGTTGTTGATAATGGAATTATGATTTAAATAATATAACACTTTCACACACTTTAAACGGTTAGTAGAGGCAGAAGAGTGTTATGGAGAAAAGTAATGTTCGAACATATACCACCCAAGGTGTTTCAAGGGTTTCTCTCTAAGAGCATGGACGTGGCTGAGCAGCTGACTAACTCTGCGTTCTGAAACCACTTGCTCTGAGTGCTTTAAAAAAAAAAGCTTTAAATTCTACACTAGAATTAATGTTAGGATGTTCTCTTTGTGTATTTCACCAAGGGCAAGTGTGGAACATGTTCTCAGAAACCCGTCTGCCCACTTGGAACGACACCACTTGTAAGTTTTGTCTGCTTTGGTGAAATTTTCTAGATCTGAGGGAATCCAAACTAGAAAAATGAGTCCCAAGCATATCTTATTTTCTTTGCCTTCATGGCTTCACTTCATTTAATTTTGCCATGTGACACAAATGCATCTTTGTGTAAGGTCTTATATCTGTTTGGACTCAAGTAAAATTTTATCCACAAATAGAAGTGGGTTTTCATCAGAGAGCACAGAAAAGATGTCTCACTCCTGTATTTCCAAATCCCAGTTGCCAGCTGGGAGCAGCAGCAAGAAATTTTATCAAAGAAGACACAGTCAAAAACACATCCAGCCTGGATACATCCCACCTGCCTGATTTCCTTTTATAGTTCAACTGGCAACTAACTTCCCCATGGAAGCAGGTGGCATATGTGGAGGAGGTAGACATATTAGAATTATTTGCAGTCCATATTTCTTGTACTTGTGTATTTGAAATGATAACCATTGCAAAAAATAAATATTTCTGCACCTTTCATAGCATGATAATTTATGATGATAACAAATGACAATTTTCTCACTTGATTTGTTATTTAATTTTACATATTATGAGTCTTTGCAAGTAGCCTTAATCATTTCCCAGACCAAGGTAGACCATAATCCAGTAAATACTTTAAATAGATATCAAGGTTTAGAACAACCCATGTTTATGGCTGAGAAGCAATATGATCTGGTTTATTCTGATTCTTCTAAATTTGAAGAATTCTTATCTTTCTACAGTATTTTTAAAGGATATTACTTTAATGTATAATCTTTCATATTTTGCCACCTGGATTTCTGACAGCCAACATTGTGATTTTTTTGGTTTGCATATGATGTAGCAGGAAGAAGCCATCAAACTCCCTTTCCAGAACATTCTAACCAGAAAGACCACTATGTGTCACCCAACTACTCACTTTTAGAGACTGGAGAACTTTTTTCTTGACTACAAAGCTGACAAAATCATTCTTCTGTCACAGGGTAACGAGACAAAGAGATGTATCTATACACTGTATTTCATGGGAAAACGTTCCATATTCATTGGGTGCCAGGCAAAGTGTGTGAAAACTGTCATTGTGAGTATATGAATCAGTCAGTTGGACATTAGACCCTTCAATTCCTTTGCTTGTGACCTTCACACCACCTTCTCTTCCCCATCATTATTTAAAAATGCAGCGTTAGCAGTAAAGCTCGGAAACTCCCTGTGAGTCAGAAATGGGTAAAGCTGCAATACTCAATTGTAGGATATAGAAATCAGGGGCCTGAAAAATGGGTGTTAAACTATACAGCTTGCCAGTGCACCATGTTGGAGTACCTGGCTTCCATTCTTGGCTCTGAGTGCAGACCCTGAGGAGTAATGGCCTGAGTGGTCGGGACCCTGCCACCTAAACTGAGCGCTCTGCTCTTGGCTTCAGGTCCATCTGTGGCCATTACACACATCTGGGGAATGAACCAATACATGGGAGGGATGGGGGAGGAAAGAAGGAAAAAGGGAAGGAGGGAGGGAGAGAATGCATGAAGAAATTGAGATCAGAGAGGCTAATAGGACCTCATGTTCTGACAACAAGACAGCTCTATGGCTGCTTATCAGCACAAGGGACAGAGGACGTGGCCCCCATTGAGGGAGCATCCCCTAGAAAGAAGCTCTGCAGAGCTAAGCACTTCTGGCCATTGCGTTGGCACCTTGAAGACCATGCTGTAACTTCCATTCTGCTTCTTCCCCGGAGGATTTACATGACATCTGCCTATCCTAAGAGAGCTGGGGTGGTGCAGCACTTCAGCTGGAGAGGATTGCATGCCTCCATGCATTCAAGAGTAGGAGCAGGCTAAAACACAGGCAGATGTTCAGGGTTCCCTTCACCAACTATGAGATAGATGTATATATATGACCACACTGTAGAGTAGTCAATGAAATATGATTCAGTGGTAAGTGGCTTTGCTTAGGCATGCTGAGGGTCCGCATCTCCCACACTGAAGCATCACTCTTCTTACTCGGTGTTTTGTCTGTATGTCCCTCTGCCTTTCTTTTTTTCTTCATCTACTTTTCTTACTTGCCTTTTTCATTTCTCTCTTTCCTGCCTTCTTGGTGGAGACCTCAATCTGTTCCTAGTAGCCCCAGAAGCTGCCTAGCCTCACACCATCCTCAGGGCAGGTTGCCACCATACCTGCCTACCAACCCCTAGGGATCAAAGACACAGGCACACACCTGTTCCCACCAGCAGTCTCTACACTGAGGCTGGACAAAACAGGAGAGTAGAGACCCATGTCTAACTCTGACCTTGTGTTTCAGACCAGGGCCTGCTGCGCTGGGTACTTTGGACCCCAGTGCCAGGCCTGCCCTGGGAAAGGACAGAATGTCTGCTTTGGAAATGGAATCTGCTTGGATGGCATAAATGGCACAGGTACCTGTGAGTGTGGAGAGGGCTTCGGTGGGACAGCCTGCGAGAACTGCGCCGAGGGCAAGTATGGTATCCACTGTGATCAAGGTATGGGCCCAACCACCTCCCCAGCTAGCCAGCCCCCCAACCTGCAGAAGTTGAGCTGGAATGCACAGAAACACTGTAATGAGGCATACACTCTCACACCAGCCTCTCTCCCACCTGCTGTGATCCTCATGGATTAGAAAAATATCTGTCATTTGCATAGGGCAGGGTTCCCAAACATTGTCAGTCACCAACCTGTACCTGCTTTATTCACTGACATTCCAACCCAACTAGGTTTCAATGCTCATATTTGTATATACTAGTCATCACAGTTAAAAGTACCCTTACAGGTGTTGTTCAATTATCTCCTTTAAGCTACACACGAGCCTTGTATCTGCTGGTATTACTACGTTCATTCTACAGAGGATGATACTGAGGAAGAAATGATAACTGACTCCCCCAGGGTCACACCGGAGAGGCACACCTGGGACTTTAATGCAACCAACTCAGCACTTTGAGTTTGTGCCATCCTTCCTATTGGCTTGTCATCGGCAAGCCATAGGCTTTTAAGTCATTTTTGTGAAGATTGTGACTTGTGTGAGCCAAGTCATCTGCATTTGCACACCCTCCCACCCTGCCCTCCTTGTGTCCAGAGACATTCCTGGGAGCAGGCAAACTTGGGAGAAGAGGCTTCCCAATCCATGGTGAGAAAACAAAATTTTGTCTTACCTAGTCCTAAAACCTGGTACAGAAACTTGACCTGGTTAATACCACTTTCTCACCAGCTGGTCAAGCCAGACAATTTTAATATACTAAAAAAATACTATAATTGGGCCATACATGATGGAATCCTATTGTCCTTTGCCCTGTGTTTTCTGGAGGAATTATATGCTTACATTTGTCCAGGAATTCCTAACACAGGAACCAAAGAAAGCTCCCTGGGATCCAGCTAACTCACAAAATGAATGCTGCAGAGGAAGGCTGGGGTCATCCTTTGCTTTCATCCTGTTATCAGCGTGACTCATAACCCTACTGTGAAGCAAAGAACCAACACTGCCATGCTACTGAAGCAGTGGTGACACACACAGTTGCAGAAATCCAGTGCCATGTGGGCCTCTTGAGAGTCCACTTAAACACCCGATCATTTCCAAAGGACCACATAACCCTCCTCTAACCCTGCCTGAGGTCACTCTTCTGCTTCGTGGGTCACACCCACAGTGGGTCACACCCATTGTTGCAGTGGGATCTGGTTTACCTGTTAGCCTGCTAGACTGTCTTCTGCACTCCTCCCCTCCCTGTGGCTCCAGCCCAAAGGTAGTGAGCCTACAACCAGGCTGCAGCATGAGATGCAATCACACAAACCCAGAAAATGAAAAATGACATGTAGACCTGAGTCAGGGTCTGATAACTTGTGGGGGTCTCTTCACTCAGCATGTTCTTGCGTCCACGGAAGATGCAACCAAGGCCTGTCAGGTGACGGCTCCTGTGAATGTGATGTTGGCTGGCGGGGGGTGAGATGCGACAGTGGTAAGAGCCAACCTTTTGTATTTAAGATCTGTTCTTGACCTTAATTCTCAGCAGCTACATATTTGTCCTTCTAAAATAAAACAGGTTAGAAACATAATTCATTTTTGCAGCAAAAAAGTATGCAGAACAAAGAAAATCATAAAAGAGGAAATAAAAATCATTAATGCTCCCAAGGCAGGAAAGAACTATTACTGATATTTTGTGCTAGCCTCCCAATACTTTTCTAAGAATACATATGTATATGTTGGTGGTCATAGTCAGTATACTATGTGTAACCACTTCACAATATGCAATGGATAATGGATAATAGTAGATAAAAGTAAGTAAAAAATAGATAATAGTAGGCAAAAAGATGTTTTAATTCCAAACTAATATTCCATTAGATAACTGTAGCCACCAGTTTTCTGCTTTTATAATATCATTTTTGATATTTTACCCCAAAGACATTTTACCCCATGTCTTTGTTGCATTTGTCTTATTAATTTATTTGATTAAATGTCTAGAGATGGGGTTTCTGAATCAGGCTGGTTGGTACTCCTGGAGAAAATTTGCTACTTGTAGCCAAAGTGGACCTTCAGAAGAAACATCAATTTATTCTCCAACCTTCAGGGTCTGTTAGCTGGACTTCTAATTGGAAGAGCCTACTGCTATATGAAAATCAAAGTCATTCAAGATGCTTCCTACCATGAGCCATTTCTAAACAGCAACAAAAATTTAAATGTTACATGTTTGCTTGCTTATAAAAGAATCAAAAACTGGACAGATTAACTAGAATTAATTGGATGGCATACATAAATAAAAGTGGAGAATCAAACCCAGCCAAGGGCCACGCACAACAAACCATTAAGGCTGACAGTCACATTTGAAGGAGGACACTTCTATCAATATATTTGGCCTTGAAATTTAGTTCTAACCTCACTAGAAGCCAAGTACAGAAGGACTTCCATGATCATGTAGTTTAACATATTGTTTAATCTATGGTGTATACCAGTTACTTCCAAGGGAGTCAATCTTCTCTGAGCACAAGTACTAAAAGGAAGCTCTGAAGTGAGATGTAGTGAAAGAGACTGACACAACAACTGCTTCTCTTTTTCAGCCATCACAAAAGACAGCTGCAATGGGACCTGTCACACCAGTGCCAAGTAGGTGCCCCTGGGCCCTTTTTGGGAATGTTGGGAAGAGGATCCTTTCCCCAAAGTGTCCCTTCCAGGCCCACATTTAGACTAGTTTTCTGATATTGTTCCTAGGAATTTGCAATGAATTTAAGTGAGAAACTAAAAATATCTCTGGAGAGGCCTCCATTGGCTGGCAAGATCCAGCCTTGTCAACAAGCTACTGTCTGACTCACCGGGCACGTTGACAAAAATGCCAGTTGTCACTTTCCATACACGCCTGGAGACTTTCACAGAGGCCAAGGCATCAGTGGACTCAACTTCAGCGAGCCTTGCTCACCACCTTAATCGAGTCTTACATCAAGTCTTCGAGAGATGCTTAGTGAATCAATAAACAAGCCACAGTTGGAGTTAGTCCTGCATTCTAAGTCAACTTCAGTCACTTCCACTGAAGCATGCACCTTGAGTCAATTGAGGAGGAGGGAGAGGGAGGGAGGAATCTCATTATAAGAATTATAACTATAAACTATGTTACTTAAAACGAAAGTGTAAATAAAAAATCCTGCTATGCCTCAGTTTATTCATCAATAAATAGGACTCATAGTAAGACTGCCTTGCTATAGCTGTTGAACAGGTTGCTAATGACAGGGAGTAATGTTGAAGGCTCTAGCCTGCTGGCAGCTCCTCTCCTTGGTCCTGAGCTGATGCTGTAGACGCCACTCTGTGGTCATGGCTGCAGGAAACACTGTGGTGGGGTTGCATCAACCATGTGCTGGGCTCCCAAGCCTAACACAGGCCCCCTGGGTGGCTGGTGAGAGCAAGATGCTGAAGATGAAGAAGTGTTGGGAGTCCCATGGAGAGGGGTTGACTGCTTTTCTGTTAACACCATTTGTCCTTCCTCCTCGAAGCTGCCTTCTTAATCCAGATGGCACGGGCTCGTGTAAATGTGCGGCAGGATTCCAAGGAAACGGAACAGTCTGCACAGGCAAGTGAGGAGCGAATTGGCGGGGCTGGGGGATGGGGGGGACATCCAGACTTTGCCTGACTGCTGAGAGAACTGTGCTCTGGATACCTGGTGCCCACAATGGACAGTGACATGTCCTGTCTTGGAGCCAGCGGGGATAGGAATAGCAAGGTGTTTGTGTATGACACATGTTGTTTTGGGGAGGGGCTGGACAATTGCACCTGTTTTTGAGGTACAATCACACTGCAGTCCGAGCAGATTCATAGCATTGACTGCGATGAGCATCATCCAGGCAGCTTCGAAAGCTCCAAACGTGATTGGCCTAGAGCACAGCTGAGGCATCAGAGCTCTGGGGTGGAACAGAGAAGAGTTTGAACCTTAGTCTATCCTCCCTGACCTGCCTGGCTCTCAGGAGGAGTCTTTTCACTTCTCTAAGACACATTAGCTCATTCATAATGAGCTCTCCATACATAACAACAGAGTGACGCACCTGCTACACAGATTCATGGTCATACTCCTCCCTCTTGAATCTAAGCTCTTGTCATTTTTGTTAGCTCAAGTATTTGCACTGGGCACCTTTTTTTTAAATTAAATTTCATTTATTTGAACATCAGAGTGTGTGTGCTATCATCTGCTGGCATACAGAGATATCACTGAAACCATCCCTCCCTCTTCCTCTGCTCCATGATCATCTCTCTTCTGCAGCAATTGATGCCTGTGAGATCAGCAACGGGGGTTGCTCTGCCAAGGCCTACTGTAAAAGGACCACCCCAGGAAGCCGAGTATGCATGTGCAAGGCGGGCTATACGGGTGATGGCATCGTGTGCCTGGGTAAGTGGCTGTTCCCTGACAGTGCAGTGGAAATGGTGGTCAGGTCAGAACCTGTGAACCAACTGTGACATGTAGGCTCCTGTTGCTAGGATCCAACCACCAGGCTCCTTGGCAGTTCACTGGGCAGGAATGCAGGAAGCTATGGGGATGTCCCCCAGGGAGGAAACAGGACTGCAGACAGTCATAATGAAGATGATGGGACTGAAGTTGATTTTGGTGTTTAAAAAAAAAAAAGCTGCATCGTAGTGCATTTTCAGGAATATTTAGAAGACCTCTCATGTATGAAGGCACATAATATCCCAGACTCACTTTGGAAGGGGAGCTGAGGTTGGATGTCGCAGTTCATTGTTGTGTGTCTTTTGTTCCCTTTTTTCTGGGGCAAATTTCAGCCTGAATCTGATCCCTATAACCTTGATGTTGGAGACTATAATTACTTCTCCCACTGGGTTTTTTTTTTTCTTTTCCTTAAAAGATTTACTTGAAAGACCAAGTTACAGAGACAGAGAAGCACAGAGAGATTGGTTTTCCATCTACCAGTTCACCTTCTCTGAATGGCTGCAGTAGCTAGCACTAAGCCATCCAGGACTCCCACGCGAGTGGAGGGGCCTAAGCACTTGGGCCACCTCCTGTTGCTGCCACCGATGCATTAGCAAGGAGCTGGATCAGAAATGGAGCTTCTGGGACATGACCCAGCACCCATATAGCATAGAGGAGGTGATTTTACCCACTATGCTGTAGACCCTGTTCCTGCCAACTGTTTTTCCCTTGGGTGGCTTGCCCTCTCCTAGGGGTTGGCATGGGGAGGCATCTGCTGTTTGGTTTTTTGTTTGTTTGTTTGTTTATTTCATAAGCAAGTTCAGTTTGTGCACTCCCATCCTGACAGCACAAGAAATGTTGCCACATTCAAACCTGAGACCTGGATTTCCATACCTCTCACTCGCACCCATTTGGGGTGTAACTTTTGTCCACTCAGTCAAGGCATTATCTCATTTTTCTCCTGTGTCCTTGCTTTTTCCATGCTGGCTACTAATGGGCAATGAGTGAGGAGACCCTTCAGCACCGAGCAACAGTCACGTCTTCCCCCAAATGTCTCCTAGATGTAGTGTCTGTTGCTGACCCTTCTCTGAGCCCTTCTGTGATGCAATGGTTGTTCACATTCCCAAACCTCTTCACCTGCAGTGCTAGTGGGAAAGGACTCCAAGATGCTCTTACTTCCTGGCCTGGGCTGTGCACACTGCTGTTCACCACCTGCCTGCCCCAGAGGGTCAGGTTTAAACCCCCAGGGGTCAATTTTAAGAATTCACCTCTATTGCCCTCCACTGCTGGGTTCAGTTTGTCATGGAGTTCTGTGAACCTGCCCTCCATGGTCACCTGGCCCTCCCCACTTCCCCACCCCCCACCCTGGAAACTGCCACTAGCAAACAAAGCTTGGCTCTTATACGAGGTTCCTGGCTGTTTGTTTTTAAAGAAATCAACCCGTGTTTGGAGAACAATGGTGGCTGTGACAAGAATGCGGAATGCACTCAGACAGGACCCAACCAGGTGAGCCAGCTGCACTGAGACCCACTAAGAGGACACTCCTGGGGTCTGGACACAGGCCGATGGGAGAGAGGCTGAGAACAGAGCTCTGAGGGGCTGTGACCACAAATAAACACTGCAGGGCAAATAAGAAAAGGAATAGAAAAGCAAGAGTGGCTTTCTGTTCTTTTAAAAAAAATATTTGTTCGAAAGAGAGTTTGAGAAGGATGTGGAGGAACAGATCTTCCGTCTGCTGGTTCACTCCCCCAAATAGCTACAGTGTCTAGAACTGGACCAGGCCAAAATCAGGAGTCAGGAGCTTCTTCCAGGTCTCCCACCTGGGGCATGGGCACAGGGACTTCAGCCATCTTCCTCTGCTTTCCAAGGGGCTCTAGCGGGGAGCTGGATTGGAAGCAGAGCAGCCCAGACTCAAGCATGTGCTCCTATGGGATGTCAGTGTTGCAGGCAGTAGATTAACCTGATATTCCATGATGTTGGGCCCTGGATGCCACTGAGGGTTCCGGGTGGGAAAGGGATGAGAAACAAATACCACAGGCTCTAAGAAGCACCTCGCTTGTCTACAGAATGCTCCCCTTCCTCAAATCGTCCACACACCCCAGGATCCCACACTGTTGTTCTCTGACTTGTGGCTCTTTCAGACATCTGTTAGGTTGCCAGTCAGTCATGTCCTCCCAAGCGCAGCAGCCTTGTAGGCCCCTCTGGAGAGCTGCTTTAGGAAGCGGAAAACATGTGAGATCATCAGTATCGGACAGTGGGGCTCACAGGAGATAGACACAGGCCAGGTAGCTGATGGCTTAAGACCCAAGGTCGGTCTCCCCCAGTCTCAGACACAGTGAACACACCAGGGGGCCAGGCAGGAATCCATGTACCCAAAGCTGGAGGCCACAATTCCATCTCCAGGGAAGGCTCTGTTGGCTTTGTTGAGCTGTTCAGGGACCTCAGTCCCAGGTCCTTCGAAGGGCACATCACACAGGTTCCTGAAGTACCCGAGTGTGGGTGTGTGTGCATGCACATATCATCAGGAAAAACCGCACAGCTCATGGCTGGCTGTCTTAGATGTATTGGGCTTCAGTAGCAGTTTTGTTTCAAACCACCTACGGAGTAGGAGTTGACTCTAAAAGAGTTTATGCCCTGAAGACCTTCAGACATGCACCTGCTGACCTACATGGCAATGATCTCTGACAGCAAGATTTTGGTTGGCAAGGGACAGCAGGTGAGTATCTTGGAGAAGATTTGGGCAGAAGATGGGGACTGTTGTAAAGGAGGAGAAAGAGGAACAGTGAGAATATGTCCCTGCAGCCCAGACTGGCCCAACCAATGAACTCAAGTTCTGAGTAGACATCCCAGCAGGGGCTCCGCTGCTACTCAGCACGCTCTAATGAGAATTAGAAAAACTGCCCCCTGGGAGCAGGTGCACCTTCCTCAGGATACAGAGCCAGTAAACAAAGGGTGGGCTGAACCAGCTGCTCCCAGAGCTGCTCAGAGAGACCCTTCAGACAGTGCACCCTCCCTCCCCCTGAAGCCCCACCTGCTTCCTTAGCTAACCCATGGCCTTGACTGGGCCCTCTTCTTTGCATCTCCTAGTGCTGGTGCCTTTGGGCTCAGCCTGGGCAAAGATAAGCAAGAAATGAGTGTAACTGGGAGTGGGATGAGGCTTCACTTGCTTGCTTCCTTCCTCTCTGAAGCTTCACCTGTCCAAGAGAAGAAGGGAGCACCTAATGGTGAGAAAAGCAAATAATAAATCAGAACACCTTCTTTTTCATAAAAGGAGGTTGTCTTGGCAGCAAAGACAAGACAGTTATGTGGGAGATCCCAGCGCTCGAAGGCAGTGTGCCCAAAGTGCTTAAGAGGACAGTTAATTGTCAGAAAATAGAGATGTCCTTGACACACACACGCTTTTGATATGACCATGACTGTTACAGAGCTCAAGTCAGCGAGCACAGAACTTTCGTGGGAAATGACTATGTTGCCTCTGCTCCTGGCAGGCTGCCTGTAACTGTTTGCCGACATACACAGGAGATGGGAGGGTCTGCACACCCATCAACATCTGCCTAATTGTGAGTATAGCCCTGGTCACACCCTCAGGGCTTCTGGCTGGGGGCCTCCAAGCCCCTCCTGGGGGATGCTTTCTCAGGGCTTCTGGGCTGCAAACATATTTTTTTCTTCATGATCAAATGTAAATGTTGGAGGAAGAAAGGGAATAGACAGTCCCCTAGGCTGCAGGCACCCCAGGGGAGCCAAGGAAGTGCCCTGAAAGCAAGGGTCCTAAGCCAGCTTGGGGGAGTCCCCCAGAGCAGGCCACACAGTCAGAGACGGAAGCAGCCCTGGGAGACTGCTAACCTGAACATCCAGTCTGAAATCTGGTTCCCTAGCCATGATGATTGGATGGTTGAATGCCCATGGCAATTGCCTGTGAATGCTTATTTGTTTTATTTACTTTCAGTGTACCTAATATAGAGGAAGAGAAAGCCCATGAAAAGCTAGCTTTGCAGAATGTCAGTTTTTACCCTCTGGAAGACAGAATGAGCACAGCCAGAAGATGAGTGAGGATGGGGGTCGGGGCGGACGTGGAGAAGGAACTCTGAGGGCTTTAGGAGAGCAAAGGCACTCTGCTGACACTGTGATGGGATAACATGTCATCAAAGATTTGACCCGCAGGACACACAGCATGGCCAGCCTGGGGCTGGAACAACCACACTGACCCATCAGCTCTGACCACGGTACAACACAAAAGGCAAGATGCTAATCAGAAGGGAACCTGGAGGACCTTACAGAGGAGTTTCTATAAACCCAAACTGCTCTAAAAACCAAGTCCTGGCTCATAAATGGTGCCTTTTCCCCATGTCCTCACTTGCAGGAGAGGATGACCAGTCCCTGGGCCTACTTTATCACAAGGGCACTAATACATTTCTGAATCACTTCCAAAAGTTCTACCTCCTAATACCATCACCTTAGGGATTTAGATGGCTCTTAAAACCATAGAGAGTTGGAAGACAAGTTTCAGAACACAGCAAATAACTCAGGCTAGTTGGAGCTAGAGAGTAGGACCAAAAATACATCTCAACACAAACTTGCTTGGCCAATTAACCGCTCTGGTCTCTGATTCCCTCAAACTTTTACCAGAAAAATGGAGGCTGTAGTGAATTTGCGATCTGCAATCAGACCGGAAAAGACAAAAGGACTTGCACTTGCAAGATAAATTACACAGGCGATGGATTTACCTGCCGTGGCAATATCTATCAGGTAAGACAAGATGTGTCTCCACAAAGCAAGCTCTACTTCCCGCTCCAAGCTGAGGATTGAGGTCACTCAGAGAGGTTCGAGATGTTTACTGCACAGCTCTGTTAACCTGTGAGTGGCTGTTTCTACAAAAACTAGCAACGGAAAAAAAAAATCGTGTCTACTCACGGGAATCCATTTGACCTGTGATGGAATGATAAAGATTGACAGAAAGTTCTGGAGCCAGGACCTTCTGCGATTGGATTCATTTTTGCCAGGCAGTGTATTGTGACTTGACGCCTATTATATTAACTCTGTGTGCCTCATATTTAATTTCTCTGAAAGAAAATAATGAAACTGAGGCTATCAATTTGTTATAAGCATTAAATGTGATCATGTATTCAAAAGGACACAGAATACATAGTAAGTCAAAAGTTTTACCATGCTATGGACTGATGTTCATATGAGTGTGTGTGTGCATACATACCTCACTCAGATACCTGCAATGGATATGGAGAACAAGGCAGTAAATACCTTCAGGTTCTTTTTTTGTTTGTTTGTTTGTTTTAGATTTTATTGGAAAGGCAAATATAGAGTGAAGGAGATACAGATCCATCTACTGGCTCACTCCCCCAGATGGCCACAATAGCCAAAGTTAAGCCAAGCTGATCTGAAAACAGGAGACAGGACACTTCTCCAGGTCTCCCACACAGGTGCAGGATCCCAAGTCTTTGGGCCATCCTCCCCTCCTTTCCCAGGCCACAAAGAGAGAGCTTGATGGGAAGTGGAGCAGCCAGGACAGGAACCAGTGCCCATATAGGATGCCAGCACTTACAGGAAGAGAATTCATGCATTTGAGCCATCATGCCAGGCTCTTCCAGGTTCATTATTAAGCCAGAATTTGGTTATTTGGTTTAAAGTAATCCTAGAGCAAACCAAATCTTCCATAAACCTACAACTTATATTTTTAAATATTTCAACGTTTTTAAATATTTGTCCAGCATTTAAAAGGCTCCTAAAACTCAGTTGCCTTTGGAAATGCTTGAGGCTTTCTTTGGTAAATCGAATGGAGATTGCAGAAAGGTTTTGGAACTTTCAAATGTACATCAGTGACAAGCCTGTAAGTGAAGCTCAGAGAAGACCCATAGGAGCAGTTTTCAGCTGAGAGGATACCTGTAACCTAGAAAAATCATCCTGTGATAACTGTGTGTTATTCCTGCATTGAGCAATGAACTTTCTCTTTCTTTATAGGAACTTCCCAGGGACCCAAAAACGTCACAGTTTTTCTTCCAGCTACAGGTAAGAACCGCAGGTAACGCTAGCCTAGGAGCAGACTTTGAAGCTAGATCCAGGACAACCTGTAGCTCTCAGAGTCGAGGAGGGTGGAACAAAGTCTAGGACCTCAGAGTTGTGGAATAGGCTTAAACAATTAGAAGGGAGGAGCTCCCAGCCTGCCACACATTGTATACATAAAGTGAAAAGTTACTCTGTAGCCTGTAAATACGTCTAATTATGGTTCTTTAAAGAAATTAGGAAATATACATTGTATATGAAAAAACTCCCAACAAACCAGTGGGAAAAACAAGTCTTACTGATGATAACTTAGATCCAAAAATGTGGAGTGTGTTCTTTCTGCACAATTCGGCTGTATATCCGAATTCAGATATGCTACACTGAAGAATAAAATGCCTAGAAACTAGGAGAGTCATGGAAAACCAGAAGAAAATATAGGTAACCTAGTTTCTACATAATCTTAGAATTCCAGGAATCTGATCCTAATAAGGAAGGTAATCTTGGCATTTTGTGTGATTATGCCAATCATGAAATATTGGTATGTGGAAGAGCCGCTGGCAAATAACAGCTGCTTCGAGGTGCCAGGATAATGGAATTTTTATTGTCTTCAATAAACTGCATGGATATCTTTAAAATCTTGTGTGTAATGGCATATGTAACTTTTCTAATTAAAAAAAAAAAAGACTTCAACACCAGAGAATCCAGGTTCTATTGGTATCCAGAACTAAAATCTGTATATTCTCAGCCACTTCCCCCCTGCCACCCTTGCTGGTGTGCATCTGAGCACTGCCCACATAGAGTGCATTTATGGTAAGCAAGGTCAATGGTCCCACCTTCTTTCCCGCAGGAGCACTCCATGCGGGAACTGGCTGGACCCGGTCCCTTCACTGTTTTTGCACCTGCATCTACTGCCTTTAATGAGGACCTGTGGGTAAGCATGAAGCAATGGGCAGGAGAAGGAGGTCTGGGGCAAGAGCATAGTTCGGTAGTCTCAAGCTGAACTTGACAATGTGGGCACTCGGGGCAGGGCATTTATGATCAGGTGCAGCCAGCCCGCATTAGTAAACAGGGAGCTCTGTTAGGGAACACGCTCTAAAGGACATTCCTGGACAGCACAGAAGGTTGGCAGAAGTGAACCATCCTCACAGTGATCCAAACCTCCCAGAGATTAGCAAAATAATAATAACAACAAATAAACAGTAGGGTTGGGGAGAGCCTGGGTTAAGGGCACTTAAATAGTTCCTTTTCTTGCAGGAATTATCAGAACCTTTATTACCCTATTCCTCACTAGGGTTCTTCAGTCTGGGTTGCCCATGAGTAATCTTGGTAGCCAGCAGGTGTTGAGGGCCTGTTCTAAGTGCCTGGCCTATGCTAACACAAGTGGTCCACACAGAACTAAGTGCTGCTAATTGTTCTTGTTCCATAGTTGAGGACATTGAAGGAAGTCACTTAGCAAAGATCACATGACAAGCGGGCAGGGGCATGACTTTTTTTTAATCCACTGCCCATACTGCTTCTGTCTACAGATATTTTGGATACCAGTAAAGTACAGGCACAAAAATCATTTTGAAGAATTTGACTGGGCCTGATATTGTGGCATGGGTAATATAAGCATGGTCTGTTCAAACTGTAGTTGTTCCACTTCTAATTTGCCTCCCTGTTAATGCACCTTGCAGAGCAGCCTGAGTTCTTGAACCCCAGTCACCCACATGGGAGACCCAGATGGAGCTCCTGGCTCCTGGCTTCCGTCTGGCCCAACCATCTTGGGGAGCAAACCAGCAGATGGATGATCAACAGATCAACTGATCAATAGATTGATTTTACTCTTCCTCCTGTTATTTTCATCTACCCTTATCGCATAATTCTGACTTTAAGATAGATAGTCTTCAAACAAAAGAATTTGATATTTGATAACTTGCTTTTGAAGCATCAAGAAAGTTATCTTGAAACAATGAGAATTTTGTGGGCTTTTTGTTGTACCCATGTTATGGTCCATATTGTTTCCGTTTTAAATACATTGAGGGGCAGAGAAGAAGATAGACAAGTAGAGTGCTCCCACCTGTTGGTCACTCCACATGCCCACATCAGGGAGGGATGGGGCAGACAAAAGTTAGCCGCCAGGGACTCGATCCAGGTCTGCCATATGGGTCCCAGGAATCCAGCTACTTGATACTTCACTGACTTGATCCAGAGTGGGCATTGGCAGAAAGCTGGGGTTTGGAGTGGAGCCGGAACTTGAAAGCAGGCACTACATAGTGGATATGGGCATCACAGTGTCCACCAAATGTCCACCCCAATGTTGTCAATTTTTTTTTATTTCTGGATAGAGCTGCATGGACTGTCTTCCAATACCAAAGCTTTACATCTGGCCCCATTATTGCCAAGCATAGGCTGTAACCCTGTTGGGTTTCCCAAAATATTTCACAAGAAAATGTGTTTTGGAGGAGCAGCTTACAGGGTTCAAGTCCTATAATCAGTGCTATGAACTGCCAGACCAGAGGGGCTATCATGCGCTTCAACTCTGACACTCTACCAAAAAAGGCAGGGAAGGAACCAGGGCCACTTCCTGCACAGCCTTGACCCTCTCAATCTGACCACAAACCAGCCCAACATGCCAGATCCTACAAGGGGACGGAAGGGTTGGGCAGGGTATATAGGAAAAGAGAGCCAGAGAGAAGATTCTAGCAAAAGGCTCCTGCCTCTGGCTGTAAACTTTACCCTACTTTTTCAGATTAAAGATTGGCACCAGCAGGGCCTGATGCCCCAAGTTCTTCGTTACCACGTGGTTGCCTGCCACCAGCTGCCTCTGGAGAGCCTGAAACAGACTCCAAATGTCACTTCCCTCCAAGGAGAGCCAATTGTTGTCTCCATCTCTCAGGTAAGGCACACCACCTCCAGAAGGCAGCTGCTTTTCTTAGGTCCTCTCTTTCCTGTTCTTTAAATGAATTGCCAGCAATTTTAATTAAAAAAATATGGAATGCTTTTATGTATTGGAATAAATGAATTAAATATTTAATGGGTACTAACTCAACCCTCAAAATAACCCCATATTGTAGATAGTACTATTATCATCCCCAAAATTAGGGAACTGAGTTCAGAAAGGTTAAGTAGCTTACCCAAGGTCACACTGCAAGGAAATATTCAAACTAGAACTCCAAGCAAAGGCAGGGAAGTTCCAGACTACAGGAAGTAGAACTGCATTGGGAGCACTGGTCAGAAACTGGAGAGGGATGGAAGCTTCTGACCCAGGCCACCTGCCCTGGATGGCCTGTCTCCCTGACCACAGAGAAACAAAGGGCAACTGCAAAACTCCTGCGAAGGGAAAGGGGGCTGGGGACAAGGGTGTGGAGCCTGCGTATTAAAGCAGCTTGTGTATTTGATATTTGAGAATCACGTTGAAATGACTGTTTTGGTAATGATCTGTTATTTGCTGTTAACTTCTCCATATGAAAACTGCATTCTTGTTACAGTTTTCTCTTTAAACTCACACAAAAATGTATTCAGGTAACCCAAATCTTTTAGAATTTTTTCCCCCTGATTTGATGTGGGGGTAAAGCTTCTGGGGAAAAGCAATCCTGTGCCTGCTTTTCTTTGTGCTCATTTTCTCTCTCAATTTTCTGGTTAATTACAGGGTGCGGTGTATTTAAATAAAAGGGCAAAGGTCATAGCCAGCGACTTCATCAGTACTAATGGAATCATCCATATCATAGACAAGCTACTGAGTCCCCAAAACCTGCTCGTCACCCCCAGAGATGCCTCAGGACACATCCTGGTAGGTGAAGCTGCTGGCATGCCCTTGGCCCGGAGGCATCCCGAGATGCTAGCCGCTCAGTGCTGAACGTCAGTGGCACCTTGAGAAATATTCATTTTGCTGCTTCCATTGTGGGAATCAGAGAGCTGGGGAGACACAGACTTCCCATTTGCTGCTTCAGTCCCCACCTGAATGCAGCAGAGGGCATGTGGCTGGGGCTGGGGCAGGATCCAAGTCTCCCACGTGAGTAGCAGGCACCTGACCTCTAGTGCTGCCTTCCGGGGGCTGCACTGCAAGAAGCTGCAACCAGGATCTGGAGGCAGGAGTCAGACCTGAGTATTCTCATGGGACATGGGCAGCTTAATGACCAGATTTATTTTAAACCAATAAATAGATTTTATGTGTTTTTCTTGAGTGTCTGCAAAGACAAAATACTCTTGCAAAGACTTGGAATCTATTTAGATGTTATGACAGATTTGACTGATGGCATGATTGATAGATACACAGATTATAATGAAGTAGAAAATGGTAAATAGATACAGTAATAATAGATGAGAGAACTCTTGAACTAAACCTAGAGTAAGGCTCCTCAACAGACAGAAAAGACCATTTTAAGATTTATTTCAACTTGCTAGCATTGGCATTAGCCAACATCCTACATTGCAGATGTCACAATCTACTCTAGCTTACTCAAAAAGAAGTTCTTAAGCTAGCAAGCACATCATCAAGTTTTTTGGAAGGCCAGAGCTCAATTCAAAGTGTTATGCATTCGATAACCACATAGCCCAGGAATACCTGCAAGGAGAGGACATCCAACCCCACTGAGGGGCTACTCTGCCTGTAACTGCTGTGCCCCTGCCACTTGTCTGCAACCTCACCATCCAGGGCACTGGAGAACTGGACAGCAGAGGTTTCTGCCATTGTGCTTGCCAGTCTGCTAGCAATCCCTACCACATCATGCTGCTTCTTCCCACCACCAAGTCTAGCACAAATGCTTCTGCTTGGTGGTTCCTATATCACCTATGGCACTCTAGCTGCAAGGCACTCTGCAAAAATGTAGAACCCAGACTCCTGGCTTCTGTAATGCAGAAACATATGGGCAGAGTTGAAGGGAGTGCTGATGAGCTAGTCTGCCATATCTGCAGTTACCTCGCTGCATCCAGCTTTTGTTAAACTGCTTTGTGAACTGGACAAGCAAAGCTTTCATGCCATTCTTCTCATCTTTGCAGCAAAATATGACAGCGGTGGCAATAAAGCATGGCTACATCAAATTCAGCAACTTGTTACAGGTAAAAGACCCAGGGTAACATTAACTTAGAGAATAGCATGCTTAGGGAAGCTTTGGATTTTGGCTTGGTTTGGTTGTTGTCTTAGAGCTGGCTAGCTGGTGGGTTGGTTGGTTGGTTGGTTGGTTAGTTGATTGGTTGGTTGGTTGGTTGGTTGGTTTACCCTTAGCAAGCAAACGGGCCTCCAGTTTCCACCTGTGTCACCCTTGAACTGTCTGGAGTCCTGAAAAGCAATGAGCAGGGCAAGGAGGGGACTCCACAGAGCGAGTCTCCACCACAAGGCAGAGCTCATTGATGCTTACACCCTTCCAGGAGCTGAATCCTCCTCCTGTTTCAGGACTCCGGTTTGCTGAGTGTCATCTTGGACCCCATTCATACCCCAGTCACTGTCTTCTGGCCCACGGACAAAGCCCTCCAAGCTCTGCCTGCTGAGCAACAGGATTTCTTGTTCAGACAAGACAACAAGGACAGGCTGAAGGAGTATTTGAGCTTCCATGTGATCCGAGATTCCAAGGTACTGAAACACCTCCCTCCTCCCCACCACCCACCACAGCTATGATTTCATTTTTCTTGGTCTCACCTGAGGTCAACTGCGGTCCACAAACATTTAAGGGAAAATTACAGAAACACATCAGTTTTAAACTACAACCATTCAGAGTAGCATGAGGAGCATCTCATACCATGGGCGCGTGCCATTCCTTTGTCCAGCGGATCTCAGCTGTATATGCTATCCACACATCAGTAACTTGGCTGTCTTGGTATTGTGTCATCTCAGTACTTGTCTTCAAGTGACCTTGCTTTACTTAACAATGGCGCTACAGCACAAAAGCAGTGATGCTGGTAATTTTTTTATATTCTTATCATTGTTCTAGTTTACTAATAGCTATCGTTAAGCTCCTACTGTGCCTAAAGGATAAATTGAACTTTATCCTAAGTATGTATAGATAGGAAAAAACATAGTGTTTACGGGTTGAGGGCTCTCTGGAGTCTCAGACACCCATGGGAGATCTTAGACCATTGCTCCCAGGAGTAAGGAAGATGCTTGTATTTTGTTTAAATGCAAAATACTGAGTGCAGAATGACCCAGAAAATAATGTTTCCAAAATCCAGAAACAGCAACCTAGAGCATCTCAGGGTGTCCTTGTCCCCACAATGAGATAAGGATCTCATCATCCCCGCTCCACCACATCCTCCTTAGACTGACCACAGTTAGTTGACTGTTGTAGCATACCACGCTATACTGCGTTCCTTGCACCTGCCAGTACCTGAGGGCATCCTCCCCTCTGGGACTGCAGGCCAGTTCTTCCTATCTCCTAGATCACACAGCAGAATGGTTGCTAATGACAGGCCCCAGGATTTTCCAGATGGATGCTTTCTCCCCTGATTTCCAGAATGTCTAGAAAATTGACTAGTTAATCCTGATGCTATGAGCTGTAAGCCCCTAACCCAGTCCACACAAGAAAAGCAAAAAGCTGGCAGGTGCATGGCAGCCATGCCCTGTCCTCAGTCCAGGATCATGTCTCCCTCTACATGTGAGTCTGTATACTCCACCAATGAAGATGCCCTCCCCTGGGTTCACTCAAGACACCTAGATCAGGTTCCCAGGGATGCTGGAAGAAATTGTCACAAGTTTGGGGGCTTAAAACACCAGATTCGGTCCTCTCACAATTCTGGATGTCAAAGATGCCAGGTTATGCCTTCTGGTGATTGCTGGCTATATCTGCTGTTCTGAGCTTGGGAGCTGAACTCTCCCACTGCCCACCCTTGTTGTCACATGGCTGTCTTCTCCCTGTGTATCTCAGTCATCATGTGGTAGTCTTTTTTTCCTGCATTCCTCTTGCAGCAAGAGCCCATCCTACTTCAGCATTCCCTCACCTTACCTTGTTACACCTGCAATGAACATATTTCTAAATCCAGTCACATTCAGAGGGATCTAAAGGACAAGGCTCCCACACAATCTAGCCAGTAACAGCACCCCAGGCCACACCCCAGCTTCACTTACCCTTCCTCCCATTGGTTTCAGACACATACACAGTATCTCCCAGGGAGGCCCATGCACAGCAGGAGAAACGGAGGCGTGAGTGAAACCCACCCTGGTGCCTACCTGCTGCCTCTTGATCACACCTTCGGTCCTTTTAAAGCTGAAATGCTCACAACCCACAGGAGGATTTTCATCTGACTTCGGCTTGTGGACAGAGCACCATCACATCCCTGTCTGGCCCTGCTGTGCAGCGCTCACATTTCACTGTTTCTCCTGCAGGTCTCAACTGTGGACCTGCCCAGTGCTGCAGCCTGGATGACCCTGCAAGGCTCCAAGCTGAGTGTGAAGTGTGGAGGTGACAGTAACATTGTGAGTGTTTTCCCACGTGAGGCCCTTCCCCAGCCACTGCCCATCATGCAAGTGTTCATGGTCCACCCCCATTGACCACAAACTCACTTCCTCTCGGTGCCTTCAGAGGCATTTTTTCCTGAGAATACAGAAGTGGACATGGAAACCTGCGTGAATTCTGACCAGTACCTGCTGTCCCAGCAGGTGGAAGGAAACCCCCTTACCTTGATAAGAAGAGGCTTCCCCCTGGTTGTCCCACAGATTTCGGAAAGTAGGACAGCGCACTGTGCTTCCATTTTCCCCCCTTTCCAGCCCCACTGGAGCCTACCTGCAGCCCTCTCCTGTCAGTCACAGCCACCTGGGCTCCACCTGCCCAGATGAGCAGCGGGGTCTGTGATGCTCACCTTTCCTGGCTGGTGCCTGAACAATCTCCCTTCCTGTGATTTCATGTGATGAATGGGTCTGATGGGATTAGTTCCACAGCCTAAAATAGAAAAAACCAAAATGACAATGGCTTAAGTAGGTGAGGGTTTATTTTCACATGAAAGAAATGCAGAAGCAGCCAATCCAAATCTGGTGTGGCTGCCCACGGTGGGGCTCCCTCTTTTGCTTTGCAGCACGTGATTAAGGCTGCACTCTCACCTCAGGGTCCAGCATGGCTGCTGGATCACCAACCACCAGGTCCACTTCCTAAGCAAAAGGAAAGGCCAAAAGAATCTATTTCCCAGTTGAAATAATTCACTTCAGGGGGCTTTCCTATAAGTCCCACACACATGCTGCTTTCTGTGGTGTTTGAAATGGCAGCTGTTGTATATACACTTATGTAAGTGTATCTTAATTCCACTTCCCATGAACTTTTTAAAAAATATTTATTTTTATTGGAAAGATCAGATTTATAGAGAGAAGGAGAGACAAAAAGATCTTCTGTCCATTGGTTCACTCCCCAGGTGGCCGCAACAGCCAGGGCTGAGCTGAACTGAAAACAGCAGCTTCTTCTGGGTCTCCCATGTGGGTGCAGAGTCCCAAAGCTTTGGGCCGCCCTCCATGGCCCTCCTAGGCCACAGGCAGGGAGCTGGATGGGAAGTGGAGCAGCCAGGGCATGAACCAGTGCCTATATGGGAGGCCAGTGCTTGCAAGGCAAGGGTTTAGCCACTGAGCCATCATGCCAGGCCCCAGGTGTTGTACTTAGACTGAGTTTGAAGAGTCTTAGCATGCTTTCCTCCCATCTCCTGGAAAGCTATCCCAACACACTCACACTTTAAAGTCACCTGTATTCTCTCAATAAAACAAAGTGGATGTTTACTAAGCAGGATGGCAAGGGTGTACGTATTTTTTTCTCCATGGTAAGGTAGCCTTCCAAGCATTTAGTTTTATTTAGTGCTTTATTTAGTTTTATCTGTACAATAGCCCAAACATCAGGAATCATGAATTATATTCCCAATCAGGGGAATGGGTTGGGAAATTGGACCTCAGAGAAAGTCAGTCCTACCCTGTATAAGTGAACCCCATAAGGCTTTAACCACAGCTTTCTGTTGTTCTTTCCACAGTATCACACTATCTCCCTCCCACCAATGGATGCTATGACTTAACTTTTTCCTTCCCACAGAACTTGCTAAAAGCAAGTTACATCTTGAGGGAAGAATCTAATCCATTTACCCACTGCATGATCTCAGGAAGGAAATTCCAGGATTATTCTCAAGCAGTAAATGAAATAACACATCCAGAGCTCGGCTTAGATAACACTTGCTATATATGTGAAACAGGGAGTATTATTACTGTTATAAAATTCAAGTCCATTAGCTGTATAACCTGGAAAGAAACTTGATGCCAAGTGAGAGAACTTGGTTATTGCACACGAAACAAACCCATCAGCAAGTTTTTCCTGAGTGTCAACAAGGCCACTGCAGCCCCACTCAACACCACACTGCAGGGGCTGCGCTTTGGGAGCAGCAGTGCATCCCAAGGCCCAGGAGTGCAGGCCCCAGGCTGACTTGGTGTCAACACAGACACTGCCACTCACTGGCTGTGTAACACTGGGCACATTACCCAGCTTTGCACTGCCTAGTGTCCTACCAGGAAAATTGGTGCTCATGATAGTAACTACATCCTAGGATTGCAGAGATTAAGAGTTTGCATAGGTAAGGCACTCAGAACAGCACCTGCATATAATATGCGCTGTTTTATAAAGATGAATGAATAGATAGGCTGACTTTCTTTTTGAGCTTTGTTTCGTTTTAGTTCTTTGAGTTTTGTGTGTGCTGGCCACTTTCTGTATGGCCTGGGAAAAGAGAAAGTCTAAGAAAGAATATTGGCTTTCTCTCTCTCTCAGGGCGAACTCTTTCTGAATGGTCAAATGTGCAGAATCGTGCAGCGCGAGCTCTTGTTCGATCTGGGAGTGGCCTATGGCATTGATTGTCTGCTGATGGATTCCACCCTGGGGGGCCGCTGTGACACCTTCAAAACTTTCACTCTCTCAGTAAGTCCAAGCCAAAGAACAACCCCAGTGATCCACTGTGAACTCACTGTGGTATCCCTATGTGGGCCTTGAATACTCACTGTGGTCTCCCTATGTGGGCCTTCAATACTCACTGTGATCTCCCTATGTGGGCCTTGAATACTCACGTGGGCTCCCTATGTGGGCCTTGAATATTTTTGTCCACCTGTCTGCCCACTCATCCATTTACTTCTTCACCATTGAGGACACAGTTCTTAGATACCAATTCTGTGATAGTTTTTCTGCCATTCATTTTACATATCCATCCATTCATTCAACACACACTTTTTAAGCTTCTGTCAGATTAAATCATATGAAACTGCCATACCTGACATTTGAGACCACAAAAATAGTAACTTTATTTGATTCAACTATTTTATAGGCCCCAGCCCTAAATATCTGTATTCATTTACCCATACATTGCTCTCATTACATTGACTGAACTTGGGATCTAAGCTATTCCAGGTGTTTTGTCATTCATGTACCAATTACTATGTCCCACCTCTGAGCCAATTGCTTTGATCAATACTCATCTTAATCCCCACCCCCACCCCCACCCCCCACAAAAATCCAGTCATGGGAAGAGTCATCCACTTCAGTATAGATCAGGAAACTAAGTCTCAGAGAGGTGAAACGGCTTCACACAACAAAGTTTACCATCAATGGATGGCAGTCCCTGATATCTCTTAGACATTCAATAAAGAACCCAAAATTGTCAGAGGAAGAGATGGAAGGGACTGTCCTTTCTGCTATAGATTATGATCTTCTTAAGTTCCAAAGTCTATTCATACACATTGGTTGAATTAATCATTGTCCCCATTCATCATTCATCCTCTGAAGATAAAACAGCAGCAAAAAAAATTACCATCCCTCTCTTATGCATCATAAAATTGAGAATCAAAGGGTACAAGTTATTGACCAAAACTATCCCATCTAATTTAAAATGGAACAGACTCTCACATTCACATTTCTCAGCCACATGGCCCTGTCCTACTGAATGGAGCAATTTTTTTCCTTCAAAAAACTAATACAAAGTGTCGAGGCCCCCAGCAAACCTTTAAAATTCTCCACTATAAACTAATTATTAACCAAAGACATTTTCTTGTGTTTTCCAAGATTCTTGATTTTAAGTGTTTCTTTTCTGTATACCAGGGAGGTTGTGGGAGCTGCCTCAGTACCCCTAAATGTCCATCATGGAGCAAACCAAAGGTAATTATGGATGAAACAAAAATAATGTTTGAAGAGCCAAGGATATTTCATTGCCAGACCTCAACCTCCTGGTGTGTATTTGTGGGAGTCTGTGGGCATGTTGCATAAATGAAATCTATGACATTCCTTAGATAGCCAAGCCAGTGGAGTAGAAGATACACATTCTTAGCCCAGGTAGCCATCAGTCCACTCTTCATCTTCCAGAAACTATAGAAGTAAGCCTAGTAGAAACTCCAATGATAAATATAATTATAGAAATAATGATTACGTTTCAGTAGCTGCTAGCCATATCCCAGGTATTACACTGAACCCTTAGTCATTGTCCCTATCCCTTATGTACTCTTTACATAGGAGAAAAGGAGCCTCGGAGAACGTAAGTAATCCCAGGACCACACAGCTGGTAATGAGCAAAAAGCTGGGATGAAAGCCAACCCAGACTGTCATGTAGAGAAATGGATGAGCCAATGAAGTCTGGAATCCAGTAACTTCTAGCAAGTCATAGCCATCTACTAGTTTTGCCATTTTGAAGAAGCTACTAGAAACTAGCATTATGCCATATCAGGTTAAACCACTACCTGTTAGGCTGACGTCCCATAGTGGCAGCATTGGTATTCCAGCTGTTCCACTTCTGCTCTAGGCTGTCTGCTGATACACCTGGGAAAGCAGCAGAAAACAGCCCAAGGACCCAGCACAGATCTTAAAGATCCAGAAGAGGCTCCTGGCTTCAGCCTGGCCCAGCATGCAGTTTTCAGGAAAAGTAAAGTAGTATAGCCATATATAAGTGGGTGGCTGGTACATAGGAAATTCTCATTCAATATTATTTTCTAAATTATTACAAAGTGAAGCCCTTTCTATTCTACCAATAAAAGCACTAAAAAATACTTCTATGATACAAATTATAACACACTTTCCTTGCTGAGGGTTGAGGATAACTATCCCATCCCTCCGCAAGCAGCCAGATGATTTGTAAATAGCACTGAGTCTCAGCAAGTTCTTCCCTATAAGACTGAGAAAAAAAAAATCTTCCATGGACTTTAATTCTGCCCTCTCCCCCTTCCAGTTGCTTCAACACTAGTAGCCTATCGACTCTCCGAAGAAAGAATTGGCTTCTATATTTTTGTTATTTCTTTAAGAGGCAGAGAGACAAGGATATCTCCGTTCTGCTGGCTCATTTCCCAAATGCCTGCAATACTCGGGGCTGGGTCAGGCTGAAACCAGGACCCAGGATCTCAGTCCAATGTGAACGGCGGGGGTTCAAGCTCTAGAGTCATCACCTGCTCCCTCCCAGAGTGCATGTTGGTGGGAAGCTGGGATTTTAGAAGCAGAGCCAGAACGTTAACGCAGTGTTCCACAATGAGAGGCAGGTGTGCCAGGCAACGTCTTAACTACTATGCCAAATGCCCAGCCCAAAAAGAATTGCCTTCACAAAATATAATAAGCTTGGGCTCCTTGAGAGTTCTGTTTTCTCACTTAAGCAGAACCAGCATCTTCTACCAGAGATTGGACTAGAGTCCAAGTCCACGTGAGTGAAAGTGATGGGCTCATCCCCGCTCTTCCTTAGGTAGCGAAGGAAAAGTGTGACTATCAGCTGCCACAGTTGAAGAGAACCGTGCAAGGCTGCAAGCATCAGTGCGCCCTGGTGATCCGGCTCCGCAGGTGCTGCAAAGGCTACTTCCTGCCAGACTGTCAGGGTGAGCATGCTCTCACTGTGCAGACTGGGAAGTCCCAAACACAGGAGAAATACCCAGACAGAACAATCGGTCTCTCCTTGAAGTGAGGGCCACTCAGAAAAACTGCTGTCATCCCTCAGGTGTGTTCACTGGTTCAGATTTCCAAAATTGTCCCAGAGTATCTTACGGATTCCCACCATAGCAAAAGGGTATGGTCAAACAGGCATGCTGTCATCCCCACTGCCAATTGTCATTCAGAGCTAAGAAAACTGAAAATCAGAGCAGGTTCCTTCCTCAGCCCAGATCAACTCAAATCCTGACCTCCAAATACAGTGTACATTCCAGTCTGTCCCCTGCCAAGTAGAATCCTATCAGATATATGGAGCTCCTCTCCCATAGACCAGTTTATCCTAAGGGAGCACCAATACCCACAGCCACAGTCCCTCCAAGGTAACAAATGTCAAAATCCACAGTGTGCTGTAAAGGGCACTGGGCTGCTCGGGGCCTAGGAGACTAAGTCACTGTGGTGTCATCTCTTCCAGCCTGCCCTGGAGGACCAGACACCCCATGCAACAACCGGGGCGTCTGCGTTGATCACTACTCACCCAACGGACAGTGTACATGCAACACTGGCTTCAACGGGACGGCATGTGAACTGTGCTTGCCAGGGAGATTCGGGCCTGACTGTCAGCGTACGTAGCACTGCCTCCTCAAGGTTCAGTCGGTTTTGTTGGCTGCACATTCCCTGTCTTCCTTCCCACATCACCCACTCCACCTGGAGGCATCTTTTTCCCTTTCTTCTGGCCACACACCCACCCCTATCTGCCCCATCTGCTTTCTCCTCCTTGGTTGCATTCTAAGTTTCTATCCATGGAAAGAGCTTTGTGTGCCCTCTGGTCAACAGGCAAGCTGTAGCTGGACAACAGCCATTCTTTAAGTCATGGAGCCAACATGTATTCATTGAGTCCTTATGGGTATTCCTAGCTAACATCTAGTGAGTGCCTCCTTCATGACATGTGCATATGTCATCCCATATATTCCTCCCAACAACCCTTTGGAGTAGGTCATGTTATACTCCCCAAGGAGCAGAAGAGACCACAGTCTGAAGCAGAGATATGTACTGTCCAGAACACAGTGATTGTTCTAAAGGCCAGGGATGTGGTGGTTTGTGAAGACAGAGAGGCTTAGGGACAAAATCCCAGTTATCAAAGAAGTTAAACAAATTTAAGTAGTTATATAGGATATAAAAACATACGAGTAGGTGGAGGCGTCAATAAGAGACCCTGTTGTAGAAGAGCTCTCACCCTGGGAGTATTTAAGTGTAAAGACCTAGCAGAGGAGGAGCCAGGCATGACAGATCATGCAGGCCAATCATACTTGGAGCCTAGCTGGAAAGTTTTGTAACTCCACTGTCCAGCAATGGTACCCACTAGCCATAGGAGCTATTAAACACTGAAAATGGGTGCTAGTGGGGCTGAACTTGAAATTAGTTTACACTTACATAGCCACATCTATCTACTGTACCAGACAGTTCAAACCAAAGGGTGAACAGGTGGTCAGGGAGCTGGCCAATGGGACCCCAGTATCCAGTAACTGGTGACGCTTCACTTGAATCTGCTCTACAGCCTGCAACTGCTCCGAACACGGACAGTGCGACGATGGAATCAGCGGCTCCGGGCAGTGCCTCTGTGAAGCAGGGTGGACAGGCCGCTTCTGCAACACCCAGACAGGTTTGTCATGGGAGGGCCCAGCCGCTGGCCACACTCAGCCACATAGCAGACCCCACCATGAGCACACACACACACTACATTGCAGGGGTAGGGCCAGGGCTCTGAGGGTTACCTGGGAAAAGAATGACAAAGCATCTGTTTCCATCTCTACATGGAAACAATGATTTGGATGCAGATTCTAGGCTACAGGAAGGTGGCAGCTTGAAAGAGAGCAAGGCAAGATTTAACTCAACCCATGAAAGCAGTATATCTTCTTGTACACTTAGAAAAGATCCCACCCAAAGCCAAGAACTGCAGGACCAGGCAAGGAGGTGGCTCACTGTAGTGGCTCTTTGGGCCCAGATGGAGATTAACATGAAAGCCAGTGATTTCATAGCAAACATAGCCTTTTGCATCCTCAAGACCATGCCTTGAGCTTGACTCTGCCGCTTCCTAGATGAACAGCTTAGATAGCCCACATTTTGGGAGCCCTCACTTGTCTCCTGGAAGGAAAGCTCATGCTACACACTCAGTAAGGGGAGGATGGACAAGATGGTTGAGATCATGGATGTAAAGCACCCAGGATATGCAGGTACTCAAGAGCAGGACTTACTACCATCATTGTCCCAACTTTGTTCTTTATCACACAAGGATCCTACCCTAGGCCCTGTGGCTGGGAGATCTGAGATGTGACAGTGACCCATCCACAAGGATCACTGTCATTTCACTTTCCCTGTCATCACCAGGCTCTTCCTCTGGACTTGAGCCACTGGAGGCTCCAGAAATACCACCTGGCACAATTAGTGTGCCGCCTCCTGCCTCATCCCCTTCACGCCGCTAGCCTCACCCTGCCCATGCACACAGTAGCTCCATCTAATCACCAAAGCTCCAGTCATCTCCCAAGTCCAGCTGTGAGATTTCTCCTCCAACTTGACCAGCTCAATGTAGGACTCCATGTCCTAGGGCCACAGGACTTAGCAAGTTCTTCCATGCTGGCCACATTTTTAAGGTGGAAGCTTATAGTTTGTTGCCATTAAAGCCTGCACATTTCCATGATCAGAGTAACACTGCAGAGTGATCCTTAAAGAGTCATTCTCACATCTTTTGAGATGGACTTTAGCAGACTGAGATGGACTCTAGCAACTTAGCCCATGCTCTGGAAAAATGGGGTACTTATACACAATGACAGGTCAGAGAGTCTTAGAAAAACACCTCACACCCACAGTGGGTACAGCAGGATTGTCACTCCCCTCTTTTCATTTTTTGCAGCTTTTCCCCCAGTGTGTACGCCTCCTTGTTCAGCTCATGCCACCTGTAAGGAGAACAACACGTGTGAGTGCAATTTGAATTATGAAGGTGATGGAATGACATGCACAGGTGAGTCCTCTTCTACATGTGTGAAACAGCACATGGCACAGGAGAGGAGCATGATGTGGTCACAGAGCCTGGCTGCAGTCTGGCTCTTCAATGCCCTGCCTGAGCCACTTCAACAATGAACATGCCTCCCCTCCTTCAATGAGTCAGCTCATGATTGGCCCACCACCTTCCAAATTGAGGCTTTAAAATTATTTTGCAAAAATAGAATGCACTTTATAATGGTCTAACTCCCCCAAGTAATTCAGTGTATAGAAATTCAGAAGGTGTGCACCATGCTGCTTTTTATTTTTTAGAGTTATTTATTTGAAATGATAAGGGATAGAGACAGGGAGAAAAATAAAGAACTCTTCCATCCACTAGTTCCTTCCCATTAGCTGCAAAAGCCAGATCTGGGTCAAGCCAAAGGCAGGAACCGAGAACTCCATCCTGGTTTCCTTTGTGGGTGATAGGGGCTAAAACACTTGGGCCATCTGCTACTGCCTTCTCAGGTGCATTTCAGCAGGGAGCTGGATCAGAAACAGACCAGCTGGGACACCAGTCAGCACTCTCATATGGGATGCCTGTGTTGCACATGGCAACATAACCCATGGCACCACGACACCATCCCTGCACATGGTTATTTGAAGGATTGGGAGAAAAGGGGAGGCAGTATGGCACAGTGGGGAAAGTCAGCCCTTTAGAACTAAGCCAACCTGGAAGCCCAAGCCCTGCCATGTCCAAGATCAGGTAAGCTCTGTGACCCTCCCTTTATTCATCTGTAGAATGGGATTAACAATGTATTTCACAAAATGTGTGATGAGTTTTTAATATTTGGATTATGTACACACAATATATATGTACACACAATCCAAATATTAAAAACTCAAATTCATTCTGTACACTACTACCAAGGTGAGGCTAAGAGGTAGGTGTGGACAGATATCATCAGGCCCAATCTGCAAGGGTGCCCCAGGACAACATTACCAGGGCCAGCACAGAGCCTGCAGAGCATGCACAGACAAGACACTGATATGGAGAGGTTCATGTACTCCCCCGATGCCACTAAGGCCGACACAAAGGCCCGGATACCCAGCTGGAAGCAAATAGAATCCTTGCAGTACTCTGGCTTTCAGTACTATAATGAAAAACCTGAGGCAGGCTACTTTACACAGGTAAGACCCCATTCCATAAATGAATAAACTGAATGCTCAATTCACAAAAGCAAAAGAACTGAAGGAAAGGGGGCTATTTTGGCTAGCAGATTTGGAAGTGACAGGTTGAGGGGCCCCATGTGGTAATGGCCTTCCTGCTGTCAGAGTCTCTTAAGTGGCAAAGAAAAAAACATGGCTAGAGAAAGGAAGCATGTGTTGCTGTGTCTGGTCTATGTGTCTCCCTCTGCTGACAAAGCTACCAGAATCCAGGCCCGTGGGCTTCACCCTGCTGAGCTAAGCCAAATCACTTCCCAAAGGCCTCAGCTGTAAACCCCAGGATGGCTGAAGCTCCCACCCTCTTGTTTCCAATCAATTAATGCCAATCGATCAGTCATCAATGCAGGAAGCCTGAGGAAGCTTTCAAACCACATCCAAATCACCACTTCTGCTCTTGCAGTTGTGAATTTCTGCAAACAGAACAACGGGGGCTGTGCAAAGGTTGCCCGGTGCTCCCAGAAAGGCACCAAGGTCTCTTGCAGCTGCCAGAAGGGCTACCAGGGCGACGGGCACAGCTGCATAGCCATAGACCGTTGTGCAGACGGCCTCAACGGGGGCTGTCATGAACACGCCACCTGCAAAATGACTGGCCCGGTGAGTCACTCATCCCCAGGGAAACGTGGAGCAGCCCCTGTGCCCTGCATAGCCTCACTTCTCCACCTGCCTGGGCCTGCCTACCCATGGATCTCTTCCAAACTTTCTTCCTACCTCAGGCTATTTCTCTTTCAAAAACATGGGCAAATGGCAAGGTGTGGTAGTCTAGAAGTCAACAGGATAATTCATGCCAAATCTGATGATGCCCATGTAAAACCAACTGTTCAGTTACTGGGCCTGTCCCAACATTGCTTTCCTAGTTTTGACAAACACACTGTAGTCCAGTAAGAGACTAACATCTGGGGAAGCCCTACCTGCTATCTTTGCAAATTTCTAAAAATCTAAAATTATTCAAAATAAGAGATTTATTTTTAAAATGTTGGTAAGAAGTGTCATGTAAAGTTAAGGCAAGGGCACTCATTCAAGTCTTGATAAAATGGAATCCACACTCTGTTTATCTGGCGGGGAGACATGATGATAGAAGAGAATATAACCACTGGCAGTTACAAGAATGGACTTAGAGTCCAAAAGCCTTAGAGTCTCAGTTCCGGACTCAGACACGGTTAAGGCTGAGGTCTAGCTATTTATTCTGAGCACATCATACAGCTATTGGGGGGGGGCGGCAATCATTGACCCAGGGGTCACCGAGCACCTGCTGGGGGCTATTAGAGGTGTCAAGAATAACACAGTGAAGAGATGGTAAGGGTCGTGCTTTCCAGAGCTGATGCTCAAGTACAAGGAGGGGCAGGACTCAGAATAAACCCAAGTGTCCATGAGGCTAGCAGAGCCACAAAGAGCACAAGTGAGGTTCACACACTAGAAGGAACCATGGAGCTGTGTTATGGGGTGGTCACTGAGGGCTCCTCTGAGGAATGACACTTGAGGCATGAAGGATGACAGACATTCATCGCCAACCTGTACAGAGGCAAGACAGGCAGGAAGTTGCCTTTCTGGTTCTTTTTGAACATCTGCTATGCTACCCAGTGGTCCCCAGGGCATGGGGTTAGAGAGGGGTGGGGTTCCTGGAGAGCAGGTTGTCTCACCTCCTCCCACTATTCCCACAGGGCAAGCACAAGTGTGAGTGTAAGAGTCACTACGTGGGAGATGGAGTGAGCTGCGAGCCAGAGAAGCTGCCCCTTGACCGCTGCTTACAGGACAATGGGCAATGCCACGCGGATGCCAACTGTGCTGACCTCCACTTCCAGGGTGAGGGGGCCTGGGGCTACTGGCCACAAGTGCCTTCTCCTTCACGCTTGGGAAAGGGACCTGGGCAAAAGAAGAAAAATAAGGCAATGCAAAACAGAGACCATGTGGTGTCCAAATCCACAAAGGCATCGATCAGGAACTGGGCCTTCAGCTGTTAAAACCAGGGAGGGAGCTCAAAGGGAATCCACTATGGCTTTCCCCCATACTTGCTGGTTGCAAGATGTTTTGTAACTCTTGTAACCACTGATGGAAATTAGATCTAGGATATTCATTAACTTAATATAATTAAAAATTGGAGTATTCAATAACCAAGTATTTCACTGAGATGATGGAAAGCCCTATTAGGGCCCACGTCGTGGTAGCTCAACATAAAGATTCCTCCTGTGATGCCAGCATCCCATATGGTCACCAATTCATTTCCCCAGCTGCTCTATTTCCAATCCACCTCTCTAACAATGGACTGAGAAAGCAATGGAAAATAGCCCAAGTACTTGGACAACTGCTACCTATGTGAGACACTTGGAAGAACTCCGGGCTCCAGATTTTAGCCCAGCTCAGCCCCACCTGTTGCCATCATCTATAGTGTAAATCAGCAGATGGAAGATTTCTCTCTTTCCCTCCACTCTCCCTCCTTTCCTTCCCCTTCCCTCTCTCCTTATTATTTATTTGAAAGGTAGTTTTTACAGAGTTAAAGAAAGAGAAGTGCTTCCATTCACTGCCTTACTCCCCAGATGGCCACAATGGGCAGACTTGAGCCGAGCCAATGCTGGGAGCCAGGAACTTCTTCCGGGTTTCCCACATTGATCCTGGGTCCCACATGCTTGGAGCATCCTCTGCTGCCTTTCCAGGCCATAAGCAGGGAGCTGGGTCAGAACTGTAACAGCCAGGAAACAAACCGGTACCCATATGGTATGCTAGCACCACCAAGCAAAGGATAAGCCTGAAGTGCCACCATGTCAGCCCTAAAAAAATGTATTTCTTCAGGTTTATTTATTTGAAAGGCAGAATACAGAGAGAGGGGGACAGAGATTCATCTGCTGATTTGGTCCTCAGATGCCTAAAACAACCTGGATTAGGCCAGACTAAAGTCAGAAACCCAGAACTCCATGTAAATCTCGCACATGGATGACACAAACCCATCTACCAGGGCTGTCAGCTGCTGCTTCCTGTATGAAATGAGATCAGAGCTGTGGAGTAGGCAGGACTCAAACCAGGCACTGTGATAGGGATACTGGCATCTCAAGCAGCAGCTTGACGCCCTGTACCATGGCACCTGCTCCCTTTTTAGTAATATTACTTATTCAAAAGGCAGATCGACAGCAATATATACATGTTTGAAATGCTGTGCTTTACCATGGCAGGAGAGTGGCTTCCAAACACACCCTGGAATAGAGCTTCCACCCCATCCCCTACTCTGAGAGTCCTTCAACATCCTTTGCTGGAAACTCTGCCAACCAGCAGGGCAAGTAGATGATTCCTCCCCCTTCCCCTTCTAGATATCACTGTTGGGGTGTTCCACCTCCGCTCCCCGCTGGGCCAGTACAAGCTGACCTTTGACAAAGCCAGAGAGGCCTGTGCCAATGAGGCTGCAACCATGGCCACCTACAACCAGCTCTCCTATGCCCAGAAGGTGAGTTGTCTGTTGTGAACACAGAGTGAGAGAGGCTGCAGAGGATGGGGCTCAGCCTCTTCTGAAGATGGGGCACACTTGGGCTACTCCCGTCTTGCGGGGCAAGATGCTCTAGAGCCACAATTCATTGTGTCCACTTTAGGAGCATCTACTGCCATGCACTGTGCATGGTGACTCGTTGTGCCACTATTGTCATTTTACAGATAGGGAAACTAAGGTTCAGAAAGCTAAAGTCATAAGAGTCAAGTGACGGCAGATCTAGTATTCAAACATCTTTGACTCCAAAAGTCTACCATTAACCATGATGCTCAACTCTCAATGCTAAGGCTGAGACAGGAAATAAATACTTCACAGATAAAAACCAGAAAGGGATCAGTAATGACAAGCCTGGACAGGATCTCCCTGAAACCTCAAAGCAGCCAAATGTCTCTTAACTAGTTGTAGATCTGTGGCTGGAGGGGCTGTCAAAGGAATACATGTGGGCTGGTCACAGCACAGCAGGTTAAGTTGTGTCCCAAGCACCACTTTGTGTCCCCAGTCCTCAGCCTGATTCAGTTTCCCAACAATGCACCTGGGAAGTAGAGCCAGTGCCAAGTCCTTGGGCCCCTGACATGTATGTGGGAGATCTAGGTGGAGTTCCTGGCTCCTGATATCAGCCTGGCCCTTTCCTGGCTGTTGAAGATTTTGGGGAGTGAACCTGTGGATGCAAGATCTCCCCCTCTTTTTCCTCTTCCCACATGGTACGATTTTAGGACTCTTCTCAAACTTCCATCACTACCAGCTCTGCCTTTCTTCACATCTGAAATTTACAAAGGAGCAAAGTTTTTGATTCCAGGACAAGCATTTGAGATCAGGGGAATCTGATTACCTGCTCCCTTGCTTGCTGCTTGGGTGTCTTCTTAATCAAGTCACTGAAACTGCCGTCCTACCTGGCATGTTTGTGTTAGGAATAACGGCAAAAGGAACAGTAGAAGCTCAACTCCTGAGACTATGATGAGATCTGGATAGATTGTCTGGGTTGGAATATGCTCCTTGCTGACTGTATGCCTTTGAGCAAGTTCACTTTTTGGATAAAGGTGTTGACACATCATATGCCCTTGTGAGAAAGTCTGAGTAAGCTTTCCATAGCTGTTACAATGATGGTGATGGATGGTGGTGGGGTGATATGCGGATGGTCATGATGATGCCTATGATGATGATAATAGTGGTGAAGAAAGTGTGGATGATGGAGAATTAGAATTCTAACATCAGTCTTTTTTTTTTAAAGATTTATTTATTTTCATTGGAAAGTCAGATACACAGAGAGGAGGAGAGACAGTGAGAAAGATCTTCTGTCTGATGATTCACTTCCCAAATGAGCGCAACGGCCAATGCTGTGCCGATCCGAAGCCAGGATCCAGGAACTTCTTCCAGGTCTCCCACACTGGTGCAGGGTCCCAAGGCTTTGGGCCATCCTTGACTGCTTTCCCAGGCCACAAGCAGGGAGCTGGATGGGAAGTGGAGCTACTGGGATTAGAACCGGCACCCATATGGGATCCCAGCGCGTTCAAGGTAAGGACTTTAGCCACTAGGCCATGCTGCCGGGCCCCTAACATCAGTCTTAATAACCACAAATAGAATTTGTATCTGAAGTAAATGGCTGATAGTAAATTCTTTGACAGAGAACAGAATTGAGTAAGAAGGACTTACACACCTACAAAAAAAAATACATGGTACTTTCATTCAAGCAATTACTGATTGATGATTCAATCAACAAAATTAGAATGCCAGGCACAGGGTTAAAAACAGGTCAAATGAAGCTGACCCCATGGAGCTTTTAGCTTGGTGGAGGAAATATACATCAACCAAATGACCCCAAACTTGAGCTGATCTAGCCATCATCTGTGTCCCTGCAGGCCAAGTACCACCTCTGTTCAGCAGGTTGGCTAGAGAGTGGACGGGTTGCCTACCCTACAGCCTATGCTTCTCCAAACTGTGGCTCGGGTGTCGTTGGAATAGTGGACTATGGCCCTAGACCCAACAAGAGTGAAATGTGGGATGTCTTCTGCTATAGGATGAAAGGTAACTGCCCAAGCTATAATCTAGGTCCTGGGTCATGTGCCACTGATTGGTCAGCCAATCGCGAACAGGGAAGCCTATGCCCCTGCATTACTGGGGTAGAACCCTGCACGTGAGTGTGTGTGTGTCTGCCCTCCAGATGTGAACTGCACCTGCAAGGAAGGCTATGTGGGAGATGGATTCTCGTGCAGTGGAAACCTGCTACAGGTCCTGATGTCCAGCCCTTCGCTCACCAACTTCCTCAAGGTAAGGATCAGACAGACAGACTGCTTGGGTTTGCCTCAAGCAGGTAGAGGTTGCCAAGGGCTTGTGTTTGTGACTGAGAGTGTGGGCACAGGACCACATGCATGAGTTCAAAGCTTGGGTTTCACACTCATTTGCTACATCATGCTAAGCATTACCTTCGTTGCTGTGATTCAGTTTTCTCATCTATAAATTGGGATGATGGTACCAGCTTTGTAGAGTCATTGTTGTACTTGGGTGGGGTAATACTTGTGAAGCACTTAGACCAGTGTCAGCACATGGAAAACCTATTTTTATCAATTATTTATGAAAGATTGATTTATTTGCCTGAAAGGCAGAGTTACAAAAAGGGAGAGACAGATTTTCAATCTACTGTTCATTCTTCAGCTGGCTAAGAGCTAGGCCAGTCCGAAGCTGTGGGCCAGGAGCTTCTTCTAGGTTTCCCACATGGGTGCAGAGGTCTAGAAACTTGGGTCATCCTCTGCTGCTTTCCCAGGCATACTAGTTAGGAATCTGGATCAGAAATGAAGCAGCTGGAACTTGAACCAGAGCCCTTTGGAACGTCAGCACCACAGGTGGTGGCTTCACCATCTATGCCACAGCTCTGGTTCCCAGAAAGCCTATTCTGATGGCACCTAATGGCACTGTGTCTGCATCCAGAATAGTTACAAAGGGGATCTGCAGGGATCCAACTCTTCTATCTTCATCAACAGCATGCCCAGGAAGTCATATCCATATTCAACAACATTCAACAAAATATGCCCAATGAAAAGAAAGCCCCATCTGGAGAAGGATTTGGTGCTGATTGCTCAGACCTGAACCAGTGGTAACAGCACCAGTACAGCCAAGTCTCCCTGCACACTGACAGTACTCAGGGTGCCACACCAAGTCCCCTGTGAGATCGGGCAGGAGTCCCTGGAGCGTAAGCACCACAGGGGAAGCAGTTTGCCTGCCTTGACCACCCCTGTATCCCCCCCACCTTAGATAATAGCTGGCACTTGACAGGTGCTCAGTAAAACTCTTACTAAAAGCAATAAACCTCATAGACCCTCATGAACTGCTTCTGCTACAATTCCAATGTTTTAGATTTTTTAAAATGAGGCATAGCAAGATCAAGGCCACAGCTGAACACCCCAAAGTTGAATTCAAACCCAGGCTATGTAGTGCAAGACTTCACGTCATCCTTCATGGAGGGGAACAAGAATAGCCAATGATGAAGCCACCATTCCCAGCAGAACCAATAAGCAAGAACCTTAGGGGAGGGGATGTGGAGGACTGGGCATGGGTATAGGACATGCAGGGTCCAAAAGCTCCAAAATAGTGAGAGGCCAAAGGTGACTCCTGGTATAATAAAATCAGGGTACCACAAAGATGCTGAAGATAAGCACCAACCCAGCATTTCTGCTGTCTGGGAGCATGGCCTGTGACAGTGTTTCAGTGCCAGAACAAAGCCGTTTGGCAAATTCTTCAGCCTCCCTGCACTGATGGCCTCATCTCCAAAGACAGCACTGACCTAGGCAGAGCAATTTGTTAACATTTGCCCCGTATTTACTGGGCACTTACTATGTGTGCAAGATGTGTCAGTGAACAAAACGAAGAACAAAAAGTAAATATGCAGAAGGCTAGAAGGTGATAAATGCTATGAGAAAAGACCCAGCAGAGGGCAGGAGCAGTACAGGGTCATATTTTGCATCACGATGGGGGAAGTCTTGTAAAAAGATAAATGAGCCAGATCTAAATGGAAAATGAGCTGGTCAAGCCGAGATCACTACAGGCAGAAGGAACAACTGAGCACAGAATAACCAATCTGAGTAGCAGCAAGGGAACCAGTGTGGTTGGAAGGAGAGGCTGGCCAGGCATGGGGCCCACAGAGGAGCAGGCCAACGGCTTGGGTCTTACAGGCTACTTGGCTTTTCCTCTGGAGAGGAGTCCTGCTTAGAGGACAGGCAACATAAGACTCAATTTACATCTCGCAGGATGGCCAAGGCCATCGCATTGAGGATGAGGATTTACTAGGTGTCCCTCAGACTCTGCCCAGGAGCAGCCAGAAAACAGCAGAGGAGTTGGGGCTGTTGTCAGAAGCAGCTGCAGTTGCTGAAGCCCTGCCCTCTCTCCAGCCCTCCAAGACCTTCACAGGCTAAGGCTGGGGTCCTGACGGTGTCCTTCATCCCCCCAGGAAGTGCTGGCCTATTCCAACAGCTCCATCAGAGGCCAGGAGTTTCTGAAACACCTGACAGACCTGTCATTCCGCGGGACCCTATTTGTGCCAGAGAACAGTGGGCTGGGGGAAAACGAGGTGAGTCATATCCCCTTGGCTGGGCCTAGACAGGTGCACAGCCTTTACTTGTTAAAGGAAAAAAAAATCCTCATATAACCTTTTGAGGTCACTTCTATATTCCATACTTCTTAAGGTTAAAAAAAAAAAAAAACACCACAGCCTAAAACCCCAAAGGCAAACCCAGGCAAAGGCAAGCCCAGGCATGCTCTTACCCTAAGAGCAGAAAATCAGAGTGGCAAGTGCAAGCCATAGTCCTGCACAGGTTTTCAAGCCTGTTGGGCCAAGAAGCTAGCATGGCATTTGTCAACAGGTCACATAGTTGAGTGGGAAGCTCTCAGAGGTACCTGACCAAGGGCAAGAACACAAGGAGGGTTAAGAACTGGGGCTCTTAATGTCATCAGTCTGTGGTGGTACCCCGGGTATTGGCAGCATTTATTCAGCCCACCTGCTAATGGCTGGCCTGTAGGCTGTTGGCCCCGGGTCTTACTCAACCACCTAAAGGGTAGGCAGAGGAATGTATCTGCCCACCTGCTCTTCCCAGGATACCACCTGGGAGCTCTGCTGGAGATAAGAGGTAACTTTCAACCCCATATGCTACTGTAGATGGACTGACACAGCAGTCTAAAGCTTGGGGGCACTTCACACTTCCAGCTACTCTTTGGTATTGAACGGCCATTCTTGAGTTTTTCCTCTTTTCTCAGACCCTTTCTGGACGAGATATTGAGCACCACCTCACCAATGTCAACATCTTCTTTTACGATGACCTTGTCAGCGGCACAATCCTGCAGACAAGGCTGGGAAGCCAGCTGCTCATCACCTCCAGCCAGGATCAGCCCCAGCTGGTAGGCCAAGTCTTCTGGATGTATTGATGCGCAATAGATGCCAACCATAATGTGAAAGTAAACTCTAACCCTTCAGCTAGAGGGTGATACCCACCACAGCATACCAAACCACAGCTAGGGAGCCCTTGCCCTTTGGAAATCCAGCCAGCTTCGAAACTAGTGATGTGGAATGACAATGAAGTTATCGATTTCCTCCTCTGATAGTGCTACAGGCAGAAAGGGTCTACCTGCTTACAATGGACAGCTGAGCCTGAGAATTAAACTGATTTAAGAGGAGAAAAGCATCAGAAACTTACTTAACATTTTACCTGTTCAAGAGAATCCTAAGGAAAATAAAGTCAGTTCATCAGCACAGAATGACCAGGATTTTCTGGGCCTCAGGCAGCAAGCAGGTGTCCTGTGAAGCCCATTGATGAGGGGGCCTGAACAACTCCTTCCACAAAAATGCTAGATGGCCACAGGCCTCTATCCCCCACTCTTCTCATTTCCCTAGAAGGAGACGAGGTTTGTTGATGGAAGAGCCATCGTGCAGTGGGACATCTTTGCCTCCAATGGGATTATTCATGTGCTTTCCAGGCCTTTAAGAGCACCGCCTGGCCCCAAGGTGAGTACCCAGGATTTGGGGGGAGTGGGGAGCTCTGTCTACCTTCTCCCTCCTCTGGACACTGGCAGAACCTCCCACACTCAAGGCAACTTTCAATGTTGCCCAGCTGTGTGTCATCCCATCCCCACTTCCGTGTATTAGCAGCTGGTCACCACTGAAGTTTGTTGAATGAAATCAGCAGAACAGGCCAGGGTAGCAAGAAATCCAGAGTTCTGGCATGACCTCTCCATTTACACTGTTTCTGAGCCCCAATAATGGCCTCCCCTCCAAGCAGAGGTCACTAAAACCTTCCCTGGGCTTGGAGGAGGAGTAGAAGTTAATAAATGTGAAATAATTTTAAGCCTCTGACACACAGTCTCTTAATTGTGATCACTGTGATTGGTATACTAACTTCTTCCAAAAGCCTGAAGGAGGAATGAGTAGCTTGCAGCAAGTCCCATAGCATGATGTGTGAGCACATAAGCTCCAAAACCAGACTGGATTCAAAGCTTGTTTCTGCCACTAAGTGGCTGTGTGCCACCAGGCAAGTGCTTAACCTCTCAGTTCTACCATATGAGAGTACTAACAGCTGTCCCCAGTTGTTCAGGTCACTAACTTATGTGGCAGCTCAGAATGAGCCCTGGCAAGAGTAATCACTACAGACATGCTAGCTTGTCGTTATTTTTATACCAGCAGACTCCAAGATGTCCTTTTGAGGAACGCACTAGCTTTATGAACAGGTCCTTTTCTTTTCTGTGTTCAGACTTCAACCCATACTGGCTTTGGAACTGGGATCTTCCTTGCCATCATCCTAATCTTAGGAGCTGTGGCTTTGGGGGCTTACTCTTACTTCCGACTGAACCTCAGACGAATTGGCTTCCAGCATTTCAAGGTAAGGGAGAAAAACAGGAACAAGATGTGAGGGTCCATTCCACCATCCAGCCCCCAGTCTGGGCTACTTTTGCTGCCTGGCTGCTCTAGTGACCTTGTCCAGGAACTGGCGCTGGACACAGCAGCAGGAGTAGCCCCATGCCACGGCATGCTGGGTGGGGTCTCCTGGAATAATGGCAGCTCTAGACCCCTCTTTCTGGGTGAAGAGGGTGAGGGACTGTCACCTTCTGGTCTACATGCCAGAGCTGTGGCCTGGAGGTAAATTCACCAAGTGCCAGGAGTTCTATCCACCAGACAAGCAGCCACCATGATCTTGGACTTCAAGACTGATTCTGAGGGTTGAGGTATGGTTCAAGGGGACCTGCAAAGTCAGAGGTCTCATGCTGCAGCCAGCCCCACTCAGTTTCCACTACTGGAAGAGCAGTCATCTCCAGGTGAGCAGCAGCCTCTGGGCTGATATAGCATGACCCTGGGAACTGGGGTGCATGGAGCACAGCAGTCCAACACCCTTCCTCATGTACTGTGGGCAGGCCTTCCCTGGCCCAGCCTCCCTGCTGTGGTCCACCTCCTTCCCCCACATAACAGCACAGTCGCAAGCCCCAAAGTGTCCAGTAGAGTCTATTCCTGTTGCCTTATCTACTCATCAGACTAACTCAGAACACAATGGAGCTTCATTCGGATCATGGTTAGGAAAGATGGAATAGTCCTTTTGGCTGCTGGGGACTCTTGGAGGAGGCCCAAGAAGGCACAAGGTTTCATGTGGCAAAACAGAGCATCCTAGCTCAGGTGTCTCTTCTTCATAGAAAGTCCATGGGACAAGGGCCCCACCTTTATGGCCACAATTATGGCCAAGGTCAGAGGAAGGTCCCACCTTCTTTTTAAAGCCTCAACATGGGGAATGAGTTCCCAGGAGAGTCTGACAGGGACACATCATTTTCGCCAAAGTGTCCAGACCCTATAATTCTTCTTCTATTAAGTTCAAGGGCAGTCTTCACCATGCCAGGGTGATAGAACAGTGGTTACCCTTGGTGGGCTGAAGAGAGAACAAGCAGCAAGGAACATGAGCACAGGCCCTACATACTGATATGGGCGGCTGCCACTCCTGGGTAGACCCATCACCAAGCTAACTCTTAAAACTGGTGCGTCTTGTATCAGTCACATCTCCAAACACTATTAAAACACAAGAACTCGCAAGGCACAGACCATGACTTGCCCCAGCTGCCAACCTGGGCGAGTCGCCCTCCACTTGAGGACACTCCAGGTGCTTAGCCCTTGTCTTTTTAAACAGTCAGAAGAGGACATTGACGTTGGGGCTCTGAGTAAGCGGCAGCCTGAAAATATCTCAAACCCCATGTATGAGAGCACAACCTCAGTGGCCCCAGAGCCTGCCTACGACCCATTTGTGGTAAGCAAGCATTTTTCTTTCCTCTGGGATGGGATCACCTGGGGTGCGGAGAGAGGTTGGAGCACAGTGTGCCCCCCCCCAAAAGCCATTTCTAGCAGGTGTCTCTGACACCAAGTCTAAAGAAAAGGCCAGTTTTGCAAACTGAAACCTTGTGGTTGTTCGGTTGCTGGTGTCTTGTGGGTAGAAGCGTCAAACTGCAGGTAGGGGAATGCTGGAGGTCATTGCCCCAATCCCGTAACCAGGCAAGCCATCACAACAAAAAACACCCCTAGGCAAAATTCTGCAGCAAAGAGAGGCAGCAGATGAACCGCAAGACACAGACCTTAAAAGAGATGCTTCCCCCACGGATGATGCTTTGCGTTTATGTTGACGTAGTGATCCAAGGCTCTTCTTACTGCGAGAACTCCAAGTCTTCGATGAGGCCCTTCATAGACATGGATGCCCTACTCTGGTTTGTGAAGGAACTATTGGTGCCCGGCTTAGTGATCCCTGAGCTTAGATGGGTGCCCCTTCAGAATGGTTATGGAAGAAGGTACACCTGCCTGTAGGTCATTACCAATTCTTGGTGCAGAAGTGGGCTAAAATGTAATTTTTTTAGGCTCCTGTAGCGAACAAAAAACCCGATGGCCAATGCACTGAGTGTCCCTGTTTGCCCAACAGTGAGCTGACACATTGCCCTGCACGTGCTTGCAGCCCTCGTGCAGTGTTAACCAAAGCCAGTCGGCTGCTGCATGCAATGGCTTCGTATACAACTAAACCATGCCCACCCCACCTTACACAGTGACTCAGTGGTTGTGAACTGGTATTGAAACATCCCAAAAAAAGTCACCTTACCTCGCCTTTGGATTTGGACAGTGCAGTAGACAACTTATCTTGGCGTACTTCAAAAAATGTTGTCCTATAGTGTCTGTGGCAGATTTAATGCATGAGTGTTTCTAACAGTTTGAAAAAATTAACCAGATCACAAACAATGTTTGTCTTCAAATCTAGTTTCTGGCCCAAATTTTAAGGTTAGGTCCAGGTAAATTACATTTATTAACTGACAGGAGCTTGTATTCTATTGCAACAAGCTTCCTTTAAAAAGCAGAGAACACTATCCAGCTTGTGGGAGCACCCTATGTTCCTGACAGCCGTCGTCACACAGGGGCTCTGTCAGAGCCACCTGACATGAGGAGCAGAGCACCCAGAGACAGGATACACCCACCTCTTCAGATCAGCTAGCACAAAGAGCCAGTAACAGGCGCCCCAACCCCACAGCATCAGCCTCACGAGTGACACACCAGCATCTCATGCTTTCTTTGCCCAGTCACCCTAATGCCCCTGAGTTTACCTTGGACAAACTTTTGCTAACACACAGCAGCCCGCTCACAGAGCCACCTAGCATCAAAGATGGCAAGTGGGCTGGAGGTGGCTGCCCCTCCAAAGTGGCTTCTGATGTATGCTCAGAAGTCAGCCTGCACCAGGATGTAAGTCCACCTCATACCTTGCTAAGCCTAGCATCTAACTTGCCCTTCACACAGCACCCAAGTGAAGGTGGTCCACCCAGAGCCATGAGCTCCAGGCAGCAGTAGCCAAATGGGCATCCACACCAGGCAGCTCCCACCACTCTACCAACCCACTTCCCAATGCAAGGTCTCCTGGCACATGTGTGTTCATGAAATGCTTAAGAAGCAGGACACCGGCCTCCATCCCTTAGCCATAGGAGTATTCAACCTAGAAGGATTCACCAAACCCTCATTAAGGGTGTCCCAGCTCTTTCTCTCACGCTCATTCTCTCTCTCTCTTAGGACTCAGACGAACAGCCACTGGAGAGCAGTGACCCCTTGGGGGCACTGTGAGGGCCTGCAATGAGCAGTGGCCTTCGCCCACCACCACTGGGCCTGTGGCGCCTCAACGAGAAAGCTGTCAACTGTGAACTCCTAGCACTATGGCCTTTGGGCACGTAAGGTCCCTGGGCATCTTACAGTAACAAGCAGGACCTTACCTCTCGTTCCATCTGGGGGCAGGAGGTATTTTGTTTCCATAGGTGAGGGATCTACTGAGTCCACACAGGGGTCTTTTCCCTCCTCTGAGCCTCCACAGTCCCGTCTGTCCCCCTCAGATGACCCTCACCACAGTAACTGTAACCTTATTCGTCAGACTGTAAGCTACTGAAGGCAGCAACTGGCCTCATTCACCCAGCACATGAAATGTGCTTAATAAATGTTTATGCAGCAATGAGATCACTCTGGTGTCTGGGGAAACAAAAGCTTTTAACACAGATGGGGTTCAATCTGAAGGTAAAAATGTCCTTATTGGGCCTTTCCAGTGAACGAGCATCTGCCTTCTGCATTTTGTTTTCTTAAACTCAGTTTCATTTGCTTGCTTGCTTGAGTGTCCACTCTAAGGCTTGGTAATCACAGGGACACAATACTGCATACCCACTGGGATGGCTGCAATCAAGAACACAGAAGCAGGGCCCAGTAGCATGGCCTAGCGGCTGAAGTCCTCACCTTGAACGTGCCGGGATCCCACAGGGCACTAGTTTGTGTTCCCGGAAGCCCCCACTTCCCATCCAGCTCTCTGCTTGTGGCCTGGGAAAGCAGTCGAGGATGGCCCAAACCCTTGGGACTCTGCGCCCATGTGGGAGACCTGGAAGAAGTTCCTGGATCCTGGCTTCGGATCGGCATGGCATCGGCCGTTGCGCTCACTTGGGGAGTGAATCATCGGATGGAAGATCTTCCTCTCTGTCTCTCCTCTTCTCTGTATATCTGACTTTCCAATAAATAAATAAATTTAAAAAAAAAAAGAACACAGAGGCATAACAGAAACATCAGAAAGGTATGGAGAAACTGGGACCCTCATACACCATTGCTTGGAATGTCACATGTGAGGCAGCCTTAAAAGGGGGCAGGCATTCGGTGGAGTGGGTGGGTTGCCACACCAGCATGCCCTAGAGGAGTGCCTGGTTCAGGTTTTGCCACTCCATGCTGGAGTCAGCAGATGATGGCCCAAGCCAAGCCCCTGCCATCCACATGGGAGGCCCACTTTGGGCTCCTGGCTCTGGCTTGGCCCAACCCTGAGTGTTGTGAGCATTTGGAAGAATAAAGCAGTGAATAGAGGATCTTTCTCCAACTGTCCTTTCAAAAAAAAAAGCTATTACTGATTTTATTTTCAAGTTAGCACAATTGATCCAGAAACCCAACTCCTAGTTATATCCTCACACCCACAGGGGCATCATTCTACTAGCCAGAGAAAGCCCAAATGTCCATCACCTGACATGGAAGATCAAATGTACAAGAGCAGAGCCCGGCTACCGCCCCGAGCTGGGATCCCGATGCGCAGCAGCAGACAGGCTGGGGCCTCCTAAGAGGAGAAAAAGGCATGCCATGTTAGGTTACAGCTTTAAGCAAGGAAAACAATACCTGGGTACAACCAAGTCACAGGCTTAAAAAGAAAGGTGCACTCAACAAAGCTCTTATCCCAGTTGATCAGGACCATCTTCCCTGTTAATTGTCGCAAGCTTCTGTTATTTGTGCCCAATGATCAGCAAGTCCTATTACCGGCAGGACCTTAGCCCTGGGGACACATAAGGGGGTGTGTATATGATAAGAACTAGGTTAGGTTCCACAATGGCTGAATGGGGTAAGTATATGCTGATTTGGGCTGGGGAGGGTTAGAGAGGGAGAGGCAGCCATCCTGGGTGACAGGTGTAGACAGCTGAGTGGCAAGGAAATTGCAGAGGGCACAAAGATGCTATGAAGTAGCAGAGATAGCTGGATGGTGCAGCAGGGGCTAGAATTACTACCTATGACAGGAGCTCTGCAGAAGGAAGGTGGTGAGGAGGGGGCAGCCATCAGAGCTCCAGTGACATCGCCTAACATAGCAAACCATGGAATCCGCAGTCTGTGTTCCAAACACAAACTGGAAGATTTCCCTTGCCTGGCAGAGACCTTAAGACTGCAAATTTGCCTCACATGACAGGCACCTGGCTAAGTCAGAGCACAACCCTGGCTCTCTATGGGCCTTCCATTTAATCTTACACCATGAACTCACTTCACAGGTTCCATCGGGAAAATAAGTCCATGTTTCCCACGGACTTAGCATCTCGCTAAGTCCAGAAAAAAAAAGTCCATGTTATCCACTGAGCTGGCACCACACTGGTACTGGCAAGAAAACAGATCTATGTTCCCCAGTGACTCAAAGTCTAGATCAGAGAACAAGCAAGGAACTGGATACTAACTGGAAACTGAGAAACCCTCCACAGACCTGAGAAGCAAGCCACAATGGAAAACTCACGCTGCCTCTAAGGGGTGGGAGTCTGGAGCTTCTTCTGGTCTCCCATGTGGGTGCAGGATCCCAAGGCTTTGGGCTGTCCTTGACTGCTTTCCCAGGCCACATACAGGGAGCTGGCTGGGAAGCAGGGCTGCCGGAATTAGAACCAGCACCCACATGGGACCCCGACAGGTGCAAGATAAGGACTTCAGCCTCTAGGCTACCATGCCAGGCCCAGAAAATACATTTTTTAAAATGATCATAAGGCTACTAAAAAACAACAAGCAGCAGAGATTCTTAAATGTGCACGGAGAAACAGATAACCTTTAGAGAATCTCCAATCAGACCTAGAGCTGACTTCTCATCAGAAACCTTGCAGGCTAGTAGAGAACAGACATGACCTACTGTTGGCATGAATGTAAACTAATGGAACCACTCTGGGCAACAGAATGGAGAGTTCTCAGAGATCTGAAAACAGATTTACCACCTGACCTAGCCACCCCATTCCTTGGAATACATCCATACAAAATGAAATCTGCATATGAGTTACCTGTAACACCCATGTTTATAGCAATGCAATTCACAGTAGCTAAGATATGGAACCAACACAGATGTCTATCTACTGATGACTGGATAAAGAAAATTTGGTATATTTACACTATGGAATACTACTCAGCCATTAAAATAGAATGAAATCATCATTTGCAACAAAATGGACCCAGCTGGAAACCATTATGCTTAGTGAAATAAGCCAGTCTGTAAAGGACAAATAATCGTGTGCTCTCTCATCTGTGACAGCTAATGCCCATAGTACACCCAAAGGAATCACTGTGGTTTTCTTTTTTCCCCTTCTTGCTGTGTCATGATACTTCTACATATTGGAAAACTAACCTTTTTATTGTGGAGTGAATGAATTTGCTAATGTAATAATTTGGAGGAAAAACCAAGAGATGGGGAGAGAGGAAGAAGATGGAGGAAGCCCTGTGATTCTAAATCTGTACCATGAATAACATGACATCTACTCATTTTATACATTTAAAATAACTACAGAATTGAGTTAAGCCATGGGCTCCTACACTTAGAAGTTAAGGCTGTAGAGGTTCAAATAGAAAACATACTTAGGGCAGCGCAGAATAAGCTTCCACAGCAAATGGGGGTACAATGGGGGGCAGGAGACAGACCCATATACCTAGAGGGGCTTCAGAGGGAATCCCCCTCTGGCTGTGACATCCCAGGCCCAGGGTCCAGTGGTGCTACACTGCTTTCTTGGAGCCATGATTTGGCCCTCTTGCTTTCAAGCCTCACAGTGGCATGGTATACTCAGAAAATCTCTCACTGAAGCTGGCCAGAAGTGGGAGGCTGCCTCCTTCCCAGAGTGTCCTTCTCACACATACACCAGCCAACTTCCTGCTGTAGTCTCAAAGTGCCACATGTGACTCACATAGGCAAATGGACAGGTTACCCAGGTGTCAGGCCCACATGACCAACCCCTCCTGAGCCCTGTCACCTGTGAGCCTCCCCAAGCCCAAGGGAACACTCTAGCCCCTCAGAGGAACAGGTCCTGGGGGTAGCTGTTCATGGGACAGAGTCTACTGCCATTCAAGGAGCTTACCTTCTCAAGCCTTGACCCCTAGGCCCTCTACTCTTGGGCCTCACAGCTCACATTTGCAGAGAACTCAGCTGCCATCTTCTGTCCCTCCACACAGCAGGGTCTTGGTTTGCTACATTTAGTTCGCAGAACAGCAATGAATACATAGTATGAGCTCAGGAAACATGGGTGCTTGTGAGGGCATGTCAGATGAGCCAAGCCCACCACACAGGGATGTGGTGGCCATAGTGCCACACTCCCGGGCCAGGGTCCTCTAGCTCCTACCCAGCTGGGGGAAAGCATGGAAGGAGATGGCCCACCAATGTTGGTCACTCCAGCTGTTGGCTCTAATGTCAAAAGTGTAACTAATGCAGGGAAGAAGAGGAGTGATAGGCCACTAGCCAAAACCTCCTCAGCTAAGAGTACAGAAGAGAAACAGAATAACCTCAGGAAAATACTTGCAAAGAAATTCTACAATGACTTGAACTGCAAACATACGAGTTTGCCAATTGTCATCATGATCTTAGGAGAGGTGGCATATGACAGCCGCCAACAGGCTGGCAGTTTGCCTCCACATCCTGTGCCTGGAAGAGCAGTAAATCAAAGATGTGCTGCCCAGGGCAGGGAGGGAGCACAGATCAGAGAGCACTAGGTAGCGTGTGAGGCAGCTGAGAGGCTGTTCTCCTGGCCTATAGGTGATAGAGTCCTTCGGCAACACCAGGCTGCATGATGCACCATCCACAGAGAACATGACCCGCCTCACAATCAGCCTTCCAACACCACCAACAACCTCTGCACACCGAGACCCAGCAGCTTCCCACTCAACAGGTCCACGCTCAGCTCCGATGCCACAGAAAGGCATAATGACAACCACAACGGCTTCCAACAAGATTGGCCTGTAGAAAAGATAAGACTCAATGGTATCTTTCAGAGACATTTGGGAAGGACTAAAGAACAACCCAAAATTCTTATGTTGAAATCTTAACAGCCTTCTAATGCCCATCAGGTGCTTGATAACTGGAGGCATGGCCTTTGCAGGTGATTAAGGCAGAAGGCAGGTCCTCGTGAATGGGATTGGTGCCCTTCACAAAGAGGCCTCAGGAGCTCCCTCATCCTCCCTCTCCATCCCAGGGCAGGGTGAGAACGCCCCCTCTGTCAACCAGGAAAAGGGCCTTACCAAATGTGCCAGGGCCTTGATCTGGGACATCCCAGCTTCAGGAACAGGGAGAAATAAGTTTCTGTTGTTTAGAAGTCACCTAGTCTCTTCTGCTCCAGGACACATACACATAGGAGCATCTTCCCCTAAAAAACACAGACTGACACAGACACGTGGGACTCAATTCGAATGCTCCAAGGGGTGCTGCTGTCTTTCAGAAATGCAGAATAACTCTTTATACATCTTGGAATAAAACGAAGCTAAACTCTTCCTTAACCAATGGTGGCACTCCTGAAAAATTCAGTATGTTAGGTCATATCCAAAAAATCATTCAGTGTGGTTACAGGTAAAACAGGTTGCAGGCTTAGAAAAACAGGAACAAGTGACCCACAGGTGTGCCAGGAACCTGAGCAGGCTCTGAGAAGATGTGGAGACAGAGGCAGGCCCTTGGCTGCACAGAGCTCCCAGTATGAAGCAGGCACTTACACCAGCCCACTCCCTGCCCTGAAGGGCCACAGATGCCCTCTCCAACCAGATGCCTGGGCTGTGAAATCCACCCTGTTCTCACACTGCCCGTCTGGGATCTGCTGCTCTGTCTCTGCTCCTGCTCAAATCAAACAGACCAGCAGGATGGACGGACAGTTCTTTGTCTGGGTTCACCTCCCAAGCTCCCAGTGAAAGTCCCTTCCCACCTGGCTACTGGTGGAGTTCAGATCGCCGTTAGCCTGAATGCTGCTGGAGTATCAGTCACTGCAACAGCACACCATTGTTTATGCTGCTCTCCTGTGACTGTCAGTCTCCAGGTACCCCTCTGTTGTTGTTCTATGTCCTGGAATGTTTCCTCTCTGCTTCATCCTGAATAAATGTTTCTCCGTCCACTTAAATGTCTCCTTACCCTACTCCACCATCTTGATTCTACTCCACCAGGTGGTCTCTATCCTACCCATCTGACATCCCGATTGTCCCTAGGGGGCAGTGCTGGCCAAAGAGGAGAATTCCTGCAGGGCACAGAGCCAAGAATCGGCTTAGACTGAGCACCCACTCTCCTGTCAGTTACCCTGGCTCAAACCAACTTTATTCACAGCCTGGAGACTTTTGCTGAGCCCCAGCTAAAGTTCTGGAAGTCCCCATGTGTCTGAAAGCTTTTTCACAACTCCAGGGAAGAGCAGCAGCTTATCTTTTCCTGGAGAATGACATGCCACTATGGGAACAGTGCCATGTTTCCATGGAATCACCAAGAAACAAGGAACCGGTTTGCTCCAGAGGGCACCATTGCAAGCTCAGCCAACCGTGATCCCAGCAGGAGGGAATGATGTGAAGATATCGTCTCAAGGAGTAGCCAAAAAATTTAAGATATTAACCTTACTCACACACCGTAAAAGTTTTAACATCAGGTCTTCAAAATATGAGGAACCTGTGTTGTGGCACAGGGGATGAAGGCATCAGCTGTAAATGCCACCCTCTTGTATGAGCACTGTTTCAGATCCTGGCTGCTCCACTTCTGACCCGGCTCCCTGCTCATATACCTGAGAAAGCAGCAGAAGATGGCCCAGGCCAGGCAGAAGAACTGAATGGAGTCCCTGGTTCCTGGCTTTGTCCTGGCCCAGCTCCAGCCATTGAGGCCATGTGGCTAGTGAAGATGAAAGATTTTTCTTTCTGTCTGTCCTTCTCTGGGATTTTTTCTTGCAAATATATGAGATTTTTTTTTAAGTTATAAATTGATCCAAGATCCGTAATGAGTTGACTTCACAATAATCTTATGTTTTCCTCCTCAAAGCCTTGTCAGTTTTGCTCTTCATCCAGTTACAAACATGCCTGGGTCCCAGCAGCGTGTTCTAGGAGGGAACTCCCTGGTACAGATATGGGGCCACCAGCTGCCCACCACAGCTGTGCTCCCCAACTTTCTATCCACAAACTCCACAAACAAATGGACCCACATGCTTGCTAGATGTTGGATGAGATGCAGGTTGTAAGAAAAACACATAACTTCTCACCCCTTTCTCATGAATACCTGGTGAGTCCACTGGAACTTTACAGTTGGAGACATCCTGTATTCCTTGTAAAAACCACCACAAGTCCTAGGGGAAAGGGCATGCTAAGAAAAGGACAATGTGGAGCCGTCATAATTGACCACAAGCACACAAAGCAGGTGCATCAACAATCCAACAACACGGTGCAAACTTTTATTGGCAATAAGCTCATTATCACAACACATGAAATCAACATTCAGAATAAATAGCAAATTCACATTCAGAATAAATAGTTCAGCTACCTAATCTGCATGTATTGTGCTGGATGTTGCACAAGTACAATCTGTCATTCCACCCAATGGTCAGGACAGTCCCCGAAGTCAGAGCCCACATCTATACAGACAGGAAGGCAGGGATGCCCACGCAATTGCACAGCGGGCTCAGTGAGGGCTGAGATGCAGCCGCTGTGCACGAGGGCTTCCAGGGACTGCTGCTCAGATCGCCACCTGGAAAGGGGAAAGGAAGGAAGGAAGGACAGCGGAGTGTAGGGGCTGGGCTGCAGACAGACCCCACAGGGAGCACTCTTAGAGCAGGCGGGGGTAGGGACTGGCATCCAGAGTCCCATGGAGCAGTCAGGGCTGCTCCAGGAAAGGGGCACAACTTGAGGTGAGGGAGGGCTCTTCCACCCAGCAAGCTCCCCAAGAGGATCGCCAGCTGCAGGGGTCAGCCAGCAACCTTCCCAGCAGCCCCCAGGAGCAGTACAATTACAAACGAGGACAACAAGAAGTTTATCCAATTGACAAAACCCTGGGCCCCATAGCTCAAGAATATGCAACCAAGCAAGAAGGACACACGCTGGAGACACAAAAGGTCACCACTGGCCACACACAGAATGTGGCTCTGAAGGGAACCTGGCACACTACTTTCTACTCCCTGCATCGCATCTGTGAGGTCATTCACCTGCACATGATCGTCAAAGGAATCTCGCTCAGCACAGCAGGCTGGCAAGCCACAGCCCAAGATCAAGGGCAGCCCATAGCCTGTCACGGTCCGGTCAAGTTGTGCTGGAGCACAGCACGGCCATCGCTGGAGAAGCAGCAGCAGCCAATGGATGGCCCACATGGCTTCCTAACTGGCCCTTTACAGGAACAAGTTTGCCAATGCCAATCCCAGATATGTCAGGAATTTTGCTCCCTTCCCCTCCCTTTCCGTAGCCCATTGGTGATGTCAGAGCTCAGCTGAATTTTGACCTAAGCTCCCAAATGCTAAAGCAAAGAAAAAAGAAGGTACAAAATGAATTAAGAGGACAAAGCATAGATTCTCTGTTTACTACAGCAATCACAGGACCCTGTGTCAGTCCTATTTAGTCCAAGAGCCTCCTAGCCAAGGGCCCCAAGAGGGTCTTTGGCAGCAAATGAGCGGGTGCCAAAGTGGAAATCAGTTTCAGTATTTCACATCCTCTCCGTTACTTAATAGGCCTTTGGAGAGGAGAGAAGAGGAAAAGCCATTCAGTTCATCCAAACCTAAATTACACAGCAGGCAAGATGGCTTTTTGTTTCTCCTCTGCAGTAATTAAGAGGCCCGATGAATTCAAAGCAACTAGCAATTTAGTCTGAGAGATACGCATGAGTCCAGCGCATGCGGTATATGCCACATGGTACGAATAATGATGAAAATTTTAAGAGATGTTAGGAAGAAAGGTGGAACACCTAAAATATATTAAAACTCAGGTTTCAGCATAAAAGCAATTTCAGAAAATCAGTCTGCAAGCCCCTGCCAAGGGCGCTAGACCATCATAGCTGGCAGGGACCACACTCAAAGCTTGAATGTATTCACACGATTCTTATAAAATCAGCCTAAGCAATGTTCAAAACAGTAATTTTTTAAATGGTCAAACCAACTGCATGCTTTACTTTCCAGATTGATATTGTTAAGTGGGAGAAAACATTTCTGTTACCCAACATACTTCCCCCCAGCGTGCTCACCACCAGCAAATGACCTGGAAATAATGTGGCATCCAGTGTGGTGGGACAGACGCCAGCTGAGGGGCCTGAGAGTGGCACACTAGGATGTCCTGACTACAGTCGGCCCCACAACAAGCGGCGCTGTGGCAGTGCCCGCTGTGGGGATGGTGCTGCTGGGCCCTGTACTGTTACCACACAGTAACAGTAAGGTGCCAGGCCTCTGCCAGGCTTCTGCTGAGCTCAGTGGCCTGCAGGCTGCAGTGCTTCCATTAGGGAATATATTGGAAAATCCATTCCTCATGCCTGGGAGTTGGCTGAGTTCACCCACCCTGAACACAGGTTTTCAAGGCAGTTCTACTTCTTAAAAGTAAACAAAACACCCTGTAACTGGCACAAAGCGAACCACAGAAGAATATCTAATTTAATACCAAACTGAGTTGGTTTTTAGGCAAAGTCTACACACTTTACACTGCTTCTCCAAAGAAGAAATGACAAGCCCAGAGCGCCTGTTGGACTATGCCACTGAGCAGCAACCCGCAACACCTGCACCCATGACATGTCAGCCTCCGACACCCTCCAAGGACTGGGGCACCCAGGAGCCAACAAGCAGCAAATAAGATGCCTGTTCAGTTCCAAACCCAAAACAGACCATTGGACTTATTATCCCTCCCTGGATTAGAAGAAAAGAGGGGACCTACTTGGGTCTTAAGAGTTACCTACTCCATTATAATTCAACACAACAAAATGCCACAAGGACACTCCCACAAAGAAGCATTATGAAGATGCCACAGCACTCCTCCAGCTGCTGTGTTTTGGCAGGTAGCCTGTGGAATGCCAAGTTAGCCTGACAACAATACATTTAGCACAATACAAAGGCTCAATAGGCAAGCACTCTCCATAACCAAGCCCCCTTTAGCTCTGATCATTCTTCAAAGAAAACACATCCCAGCAAAGGTTTAAAATGCAATTCAGCAACTGGAGATGAGACTCATCTGAGCAGAAGTATACACACAGCAAATGCAATGACAACATTATCAACAGCACCATAAACTGACAGCAGCAGGCACTCCACCGGCCCACTGAGAACACAGAAACTCTGTTGAAGGATACTGACATGATAAAGGATTCTTCTCTAAAATTGAAAACAAAAGGAACATTCACCACTTGCATGAGAAATGGGAAGCGCTCAGTCAGCTACATCAGATCTAACCATCGGCTTCAATGTCCCACATCCTCTCCCCAGCTCCCACAGAGCCACTTGCACCCGACAGGAAACAAAGCTGAGAGAAGAGGCAGAGAGATAGCTCCAGGTCGGCAGCCTCATTCCCTGCTTCCACGGATGGGAAGCAGGCCCCTTGCTTCACTTCTGGTTGAGGATGGTTTCAGGGAATGCCTGTGTTTTCAGGGAATGTGCCCCTTAGCTGCAGAAGACTCCAACTTAACCCAGCGGCTGCTGCAGGATGGTGCTGGGTTTCATCCCATTGATGTTTTCCCGTTTCATTTTGCCTCCTCCAATAAGTACATGAAGCCAGCACGTGGGAGGGAGGTACAGGTGTGCTAGGCATTGGGAGGCTTCATGCAGGGTTTCTGGCTCTGCTGAGTCTCACCTCCTCCATTCCCCTGCCTGGGGAATGGGTCAACCTGTACCCCTGGTCCCACCTCCCCGTGTGGAGGCTGGCACAGAAAGCACACGCTGAGGACAAAGGGTTCTTGCTTTTTCTCGAGCAAAGTCCTTCCAGGGACGTAGAGTTCTCTTCATGTGATGCAAAGGACCACAACACCTTAGGGTCACACAGCATGGAGCTCACCTCTGCCACCTTCTGGGGCACGTGCCCATGGTACAGCTCACTGGCTCTTCAGCATTTAGAGCACCCACCGCACATCTGTGTAGCCTTGGGACCCTGCGGGCCCTCATGCACCGCCTGCAGATGTGCAGCAGTCATTCCACGGTGGAAGTGAGAACAGTGTTCGCTCTCGACTTGCCGGAATACACAGATGCAGCGAGCGGGTTCAGCTCACCCAGGTAACCTGATGTCCGTTCTTGGACCCTGGTGAACCAAAAGGCTGGGTCAGGGTTTTCCATGTGAAGTCTGCCCTTCAGCCTCAAGAGTGGAGGGAGATGCAACCAGCACACTGAGAGCTCCTGTCTGCAGGGTATTCTCCATAAGGTACCAAGTCAAGGTCAAATGGCATACAGGTATCTTTTCCAAAAGCAACTCAGACCCACACAAAGCCAACCTGGTCATGCCGTCCCAATGTGGGGTCACCACCACTTCTGGCCCTTTCCAGAAGGCGGGAGTGTGGTTACTTGGCCTGGGCCTCGTGCAGGAGCGGGGCTCTGCAGGCAGCCGGCATGTCAGACCAGGCGGGGATCTCATGCTGCAGCGGAGTCCGCCGGGGGTAGAACGTGTGGCTTACATCGTAGTTCAAGAGACAGCTCAGCGAAGCCATGTAGATGTCGGCAAATCGGGACAGGCGCCTCAGAAAGTAGGTGGGGTTCTGATCTGTGCGAAACAAGCTTCCAAACTGGGCATTGAAAAAATTCTTGGTCATTTCTCTGCAGCAGGGGGGAGAAGACGAGAGAGTGATACCAAGAGGTTTATTTGTAAATGACTGAAATCTAAATGTTCTTCATTAAAAACATGGAAAAGACAAATTATCCTGCAAACAATCAAGGCAACGGTATGTCCAGCCAGCAGGACAATGCTGGCCACAAGCTGTGAGCACACTGCTGCAGGCTCTGGCTTTGGTGTCATGCCCCTTTAATTTGTCATTTTTATTGTTTTTTGATACAGTTTAGTTGGCAGTGGGCTCTCCCCTCTCCTTCCCCAAATTCCCTCCTCTCCCCTCAGTTCTCTCTAGAATCATAATGTGTGTCCATCATGAATTTTCCCAAGTCCATCAGGCTTCTACTGGAGTATCTTCCAGCCATGTAGAGTAACTTTTCGTTGTAGGTTAATTCTTGTATCCTGGGGCCCTAATACAGGATTAGGATTAGGCTTTCATTGTTTATGGGCCATACCAATAACAGTTATATGTAGACAATGACAATCATAGGTGGTTATAAACAATCCACCTGTTGTGGATTAATTAATGAATTACATCACATGTTCTTGTTACATTAGGTTCAAGTAAGTGATGTCATGCCCCTTTAAACATACATATCACATTCCCTGCAATATCCAAGGCTGGGCCAGACCCTGAGCCAGGAGCCTGGAATTTTATCCTGGTCTCCCTCATGGATGTCAGGTCTCAAGTGCTTGGGCAATAATCTTTCCTCTTCAGGTATACTAACAGCAAGCTGGATTGGAAGTAGAGCATGTGGGACTCAAACCAGTACCCATAATGGGATGCCAGTACCACAGGTGGCAGTTTTTATCCACGTCACAGTGCTGGTTAGCCATTTAAATAAGTGAGCAAAAATCTTTAAATAAAAAGATGGATTCACTCAATCATTTGAGGAGCAGAATGAATGGACAGGGATCTTCCATCCATTGGCTCACTCTCCAAATGGCTGCAACAGACAAGGCTTGGACCATCACCACCACCTCCTAGGATCTGCATTTGCACAAAGCTGGCTAGAAACACAGCCAGGTTTCGAACCCAGGTACCCTAATTTGGAAGTGTGGGTTTCTGAGTGGAAGCTTAACCCCCTGGGCCAAATGGCCACCCCTCATCAACACTTCTATTTCAATGAAAACCGAGTTAGTCAGCCCTAAAAAGCCAACACCCTGAGAGGAAGGGGGAAGAATAGAATGCCATCCAGTCTGGGCTTCTACAGAACCTCAGGAATGGACTCAAAGCTGGGTAGACATACCCCAAGACACAGCTACCCATCCATACGCAGCCCTCAAGCCAGACTGCAGCCATGGCTTCCAGACCTCAATGAAGCTACACCCAGGATGTGGACAGGGTCAGCCTGCTTACAGAGGCATGGCTGTTAGTGCCCACGGCCCCTGGAAACAAGTATTCCCAGAGCTACACCTGGCTAGACTGTGCCCAGAGCCAGCAGGCTCCTCTAGCCACAGACCTGACCACTGCGTAGTACAGATTCTTGAAAGAACTTGGTTACAAATAAGCACAAGCTGGCTGGCAGCCCCAAGAGCTCACTCTGGGCTGCTCAGCCCTGGGCCATCCACCATGCTGTCCTAACAGCTGCACTGCCACCTACTGTCATCACCCACAACTGCACCACTGGCTGCCCAATAGGAAAGTCAGGGTGAGGAGGAGAGAAAGGAAAAAGCCGCCTTGTCCCACAGACAGACTGCCCATCTCTGGGAAGTGTCATGTATCACCAAAAGCACAAGCCAATCCTGGGCGCTGCGGGAGTCACACTTGCTGGAAGCTAAAAAGGGATGTTTCCAAGTTGTTTTCCTGGCTCCCAGGGAGCAAAGTATACTCACAACAGGCTACCCTTACCTCATCTCCTTACGCTCCTTCTTCCACTCCTGCAGAACCAGCTGTGACTCTGCATCTCTGTAAACCTGAGGGACATACACCAGTTAGGACCCATGCTCTGAGTTTTTCTAAGCAGGCAGGAATTTGACTCTTTTAAGCTTCACAGGCAGGTATCTATATGCGGTAACACATTTTCAGACCCCTCTGGTGCGACCCTGCCTTCTTCACTAAGAAACAGTTTTAAATGTCCATCAGCAGCAACGTGATTTAACCAATTAAAACAGATGATGCTAGTAGACTCTTCATAAATGCTATGTATAAACATTACACACATGTATCCTCATAAAATATATGTGAATTCATATATTTATGTATTATATATGTATATGTATTACATATGTAAACATCACATATACTACTCTTACACAGATGTATTTATAACTGCAAGCCTGTGAAAACAAATACACACTCTTGGAAATGAACATGGAAATATTTTCTTGTATATGTAAGGGTAGTAGGGTTATACAGAATTTTAAGCTTTCCTTATCATGACCTCTGAAGTGCTACACAACAAGGCAAGTAGATACCACACCGTAATGAGAAGGAAAAGCAGAGAATTTTCTGGTAGGCCAACTGTCAGCAAAGGGAACAGGAAAGTGGCAGCTGCCCATGACCTAGCACGTGGAATCTCACAGGTCTCTCTCCTGGAGCCCCATGGACAAACAGAAACAGGGAAGCCAAGTCACAGGCACATGCCTGGGGAACAGGTGTGGCTCCCTGAAGTGCATGAGCAATGGGGTAACCTTAGAGCCCAGGGAAAAATACCAATGGCACACCATCTGCTTTCCGCCAGCAGCCAGAGCCCTCGTGCAGATCACATCCGCCCAGCTCCTCAGCATGACTCCAATGGTCACCTGCCAAGAGCCTCTGCCTCCTGGACAAGAACCCGGCGTCGGTGGAGCTCATGATTTGGATTTCTTGCTTAATGCCACCGGCCGCACTGCCAGGAAGCGGCTCCCACTGAAGGACCCCAGGCTGTGTGGGGCAGCAGCACCAGTCTCCTGCTGGCCCAGCACTGCTGGGAGTCACTGCATACAGGTGCCAACAGCACAGGCTTCATTAGCTTCCACACTTTAAACCATCCAGTAACCACAGAATTTAGATTCCACAAAGGACATCACCAGATCAGAAAAGTAGACCTCAGTAGAGTATCACAAAGAAGTATTTTAGACATGTGCGTGTGTGTGTGTGTGTGTGTGTGTGTGTGTGTGTGTGTGTGTGTTTTCACTCACTGGGCATCTACGATGTGCCAGGTAAGTCACTCTGTAAGATGCTAAAGACAAGAGAGCACAAGAATGGAGGTCCCTACAGGTAACAGAACACAACTAAACAACGTGACACCATCTGGGATGGAGTGTTCCTCACTCTTTCCTACCCTGCATTCTACCCTTATGCCTTTTTTTATAATAATAATTATAATTCCAGCAATGGAACGGGGACTCCACGTCCCCTGCTTTGATATGTGCCTCCATTCTCCACCAGCCCTGAAGTCAGAGCGCAGCCAGGGAAGCCAGGTCACCTACGGCCTCCCCTGACCGCTAGGCTGTGCATGGACATGCACGGGAGGAAGGCTCCAGAATCCAAGACCAGAGAAACAGTCCCAGAGCAGGGACCACCTGTGCTCTGGGGGCTGGACCCAGCTCCCGGCCATGGTTCCCTCCTGCTTACCCTCCCAGAGTCCTTTCTCCATCATCTGCTATCTCCCACACCAACCACCTGTGCACCTGAATCGCTGCCTTCAGCACTTCAGACTCTAGTCTCTCCCCTTCCTAAAGATCTGCTTCTTGGGGGTGACACCCATGACTTAGTGTGCAAGACCCCCACCTGCAGCACCAGCATCCTATACAGGCACCAGTTCAAATCCAGTCTGCTGCATTTCTGATCCAGCTCCCTGGTAACGGCTTTAAAAAGCAATGGAGGTGGTCCAAGCGCTTGGACCCCAGTACCCATGTGGGAGACCCGGAAGCAGCTCGACTTCAGAGTGCCCCAGCTCCAAACACTGCAACTATTTGGGAAGTGAACCAATAGATCTAAGACCTTTCTCTGTGTATGTGTATTTTGGGATTTTTGGTTTCTGTTTATTTCGACTTTATTTTTATTGGAAAGACAGATTTCTAGAGGACAGAGAGAAAGCCAAGAGAAAGGTTTCTGTCCGCTGGTTCACTCTCCAAGTAGCCACAACAGCCAGAGCTAAGCAATCCAAAGTAAGGAACCATGAGCTTCTTCTAGGTTCCCTGCGTGGGAACAGGATCCCAAGACTTCAGGCCAACCTCTACTGGTTTCTCAGGCCATAAACAGGAAGCTGGATGTAAAATGGAGCAGCTGGGACGTGAACCAGTGCCTATATAGGATCCCAGCCCTTGTAACACAAGGATTTAGCCTCTGAGCTATTGTGCTAAGCCCTGTATCTCTTGGTAATTCTGTCTTTCAAATATATCTTAAAACAAACAAAAAATCTGATTCTCCATGAGCCATCCCTTCCCCACCATCCCTCCTACAAAATCTTAGTAAACCAGCAGTCTCCTGAAGTCCATTCTAAAATACTTCAAAGATAGTATGCAGAGATGACTAATCTTTGAAGTGAAGTCACACACACACACACACACACACACACACACACGAGAGGCTAGTTGACGTCAGAAAAGACTAACCAGAAGGCTGTGTGAGCAGAAGAAAAGATGGACCATGTGTTCCAGCCGGGCACCAACAACAGCCCAGCAGAATCCTGAAATTAAAAGCTTTACTGAACATAATGCTGGTGTCACATGAGTGCTCAAGTAGTTCTGGATTTTTGCAGTAGCAATGCTCAACTGATAAAGTCTGTGCCAACGCTGCAAAAATTCGACAAACTGAAATCTGAACACTTCTGGACCATCGCATCTGAGATAAGGGACTCTAGTGCTTTTCTGTACAGGCCTTCCCCCCTGGGCTCAGCAGGACACCTGTAAGCCCACACTGGGTAGGCTGGACCCAGCCACTAACTGGTGTCTCCATCAGTCTACGAGCTTAAGAATGGGCTTTCCCTTTGATGTGGCTTGTAAAGAAAATCCAATCAGTAATAATTTCACGGCATGTGAATACCCCAGAAAATTTATACATCTGCATCTAGGAATATACCTGCCTCAGATGCAGCAGCAACCACCGGTCTGTGTCTGTGTCTGCACACGGCTTGCATTTACAGATCTGAGCATCTGCCAGGGACACAAGCCACACCACCTGGGGCCAGTCAAGTTTCAGGCTCCACCCACAATTTCTAAACCAGGGAAGCACCTTAGTGCAGTGCTCAAAAGCTTAGACCTAGGCATCATGAAGCTAGGCTCAAATCTTGCTGTCATGTTAAGATCCAAAATATGTTGCCTTACCTCTCAAAACCCCAGATGACCAATTCTAAAATGGAACAGGCATACCTATCTGCATTGGACAGCTCTGAATAGGAAAGGAGTGACATGTGCCCAGCGAGCTCTCAGCACAAGGCCTGGAGTAATTCTTAGCCCAGGATGACACAGGCACACGCTCCAGCCACATTAACTCTGAATTCATGCCTGGTATTTTTAGAAAGCCATCTCACAGGCTGGCACGTTAAGGGAAACAAGACCAGTCCTCATCAGTGAACAAGGGTCAGGACCTGTGTGGTCAGAGCATGCTGGACGTGGGGACGTGCAGGACAACACGTTCCAGGAGAGAGCTTAGTGCCCAGCCACCTCCACACAGGCTGCCAGCTGGGCCAGCAAGTCAGCTCCCAGTCTACTTCCAAAGCCACTGGCTGGCTGTGGGCGGGAGCCCGGATCAGGTATGCTAGCAAATGGGGCACCCTTGGTCCTATCCTGAAAGAGTGAGCACCTATGTTGATGGCAACAGCCTAGGCAGACTGGTCCACCAGAGAAGCCTCTGAGGTCTGGGGGAGTACTGGGTGTCTATCTGCAGCAGAGAGGCAGCATGCAGGGCTGTAAGCATTCAAGGGCGTGACATCCCTTACTACTTTCCCAACATACAGAGACAAAACTGCCAGTGGACTCCAGTTTTGTCTTTGTGAAGGTATTAGCTTCAACATCTCACGGAGGCGGCTGCACCTGTGGTGCTTGACTCTGGCTTTGGGTCTTTAGGACAAGCCATGGGACTGGAGCTCCATGACACTCACCTTTTTACAGATGGGAAAACTGAGGCCCAGACAGCCACAGCAAGGCTAGGAGCACAGCTGCTCCTTCACGAATCCCACCATCCCACGAGACACCTCCCACCCAGACCTCAGCATGGAGGCGAGCACACCAGGAAGCTGGAGTTCAGACACAAAAACAGCTGCATTCCAAGGTCCCTTCTAACTGCAAAGCTGCCCAAGAGCACTGAGCCCCACTGCTGCTCAACAGGACACTCAAATCTCATACTTCACAGCGAAAACTAATGATGCTGATGAGCCAATGTACTGCAGGCTTAAAAAAAAAGCGAACGAGGAAACAGCGCAAACCTGCATCTGCTCCAATAACCCAGTCAAGGTCTGCAGCCAGGTCATGGTCTGCACATACTGCTCCGTGTTCATGATTTTGAGCTCGGATCTTAGCTCCGGGATGATGGCGCCAGTTCGCCAGCCATGCTTCAGGGTCAGGTCCTGATCACAAAGATCACACAGAGTCAACATCCATGTCAACACAACACCAGCCGTGTCATTACCCCCTCCCAGATACAAGCCACATTCATTTAATTACTTTTTCTTCATAACAGCTATTTATTAACCAAACTGAATTCAATGAGTCCCATGTAATTAAAACCAATGTGCTCCAGGCCTTAAACATGTCACTTCCATAAAGTTTCTGTTCTGGAATAACTGCTGCAAATCAAAACCTCTCTACAAACACAGGGTCTGGGATCATTAACCATGGGCTGTAAATGAAATAATGAGGACCAGGAAACAAGAAGCTCAACTAAACACTAGCAAAGTTTGCCAGTGGATTCATCCAGAGGTCTCCAGGAGGGTCTCCGCATGCCAGGCCCCCCAAGTTAGGGGAACCCTAACATCAGACTTAGATATTAACAATGTGTCTGAAATACTCTAGTTCTGCGATGCGACAGGTCAGTGACAACCTGGGAATGCTGCACCACACAGTCACCAGACCAAAGCTCTGCCCTTGGTGACTTGACTTGGCAAGCACTTATCAAGCACTACTACTAGCAGACCCTACTCTAACACTGATGATAAAGCAAAGAATGACAACTGGCAAATCCTTGTTCTCGTGGGGAAACAAACAAGAAACAGCCAGCAAGCAAGTCAAAAGCAAGTGGTGACAAGCACAAAAGAGCTAACAGAATATGGAGGAAAGAAGATGTGGGAAAGGTGGCACCATTCGTGGGGTATTTAGAAAAATCAGGTTAATAAAGGGACAGCCGAGCAGAGAAAACTGAAAGTATGTCAAGATGTAAAGTAAGATTTTGGCTGGAACAAAAGCAGCAGGTACAGAGGCTGTGGGGCAGGAACATGCAGGAGCATTAGAGCAACAATGCAGGGAACCTAGGAGCAGTGCAGGGCCTGGGGCCAGAACAGAAGTTGTCTTGGAGCAGGTGAATTGCGGGAGGAAATCAAGAGAGCACTTCAGGAACTTGGCTTTTACTCAGAAGGAGAAAGGAAGGTTTGGGGGGCTTTTAAGCGAAGTGACACCTGCTCCTTTCAGGTTCTCTCTGGCTACTAACCTAAAGCTCAAACCTTTACCCTGTAAGCCCCAACATGCCTCCTTTCGTCACTGATTCAATTCCCCTAGGCCCCTAAGTGTCTCTCCTACAGTACACGAAAGCCTGCAGCACATTCTCAAGGAACATGAACTTCTTAAAGGGCCCCTGGCAAAGCACCAGAGCACACACCTGCAAGCGAAGCCACGCCCAGTGCTGGCCAAGGCACTGACAGAGCAGCAGCATGGCCCCTGGAGTCTCCTCCCCAGAGCTGACCTGGGATCAGATAGGACTATAAACTCAGACCACGGGGATGAACACGAACAAGTCAGTCTCATTCCATTTACAAACGAAAGCCCAACCCCAGGCCTACGACACTGCTCTGGTCATTCCGAGCGGGACATAGTAGCCACTTTCTGAAAACGCCAGGTCATGAGCAGTACCTGGCGGGGAAGAGAAGCCTTGGCCAATGAGCTTCTTGTTGTATTTGTGTGCTTTCTGATGCACTGATAAAAGGAAAGCACACTGGCATGTTCTCTGAGCTTTATTTAAATACAGAGATGTCCCTGATAAACTCTTCAAGTAAACTGCTCGCTCATTCCCACCACTCCCCACAAAATGTTTTATAACGCTGATCCTTCTTGTCCTACAAAAAGTGACACACATTAAAAAAAAAAAAAAAAAAAAAAACCTACTCCTAGTGTCTATGGAACATAAAAATGAATTTAACCAGAAGACAAATTCCTTAACTAGCAGGACCCACACACTTAGCGCCCAACAAAAAGGCAAGACAAAGATTCCTCACCGCCAGGTCACTGTATATGTGATCTCCAAAATACAACACCTTGGAGCCTCGCCATCCGGTGAGCTTCAGAAACTCATATAAATTGCCCTGCAGTAAGAGAAAAATATCAGCATTCAATCACATGGCAGATAGAAACACCATGCAACCAAAACAGATTCCTTTTTTAAAACTTCTTAATTTTTTACAATTTTATATATATATATATATATATTTAACTTACAGTTTTCCTGAGCTGCCTTCCTAGAATCAGAATGGTTGTAGCAAAACTTACTTTTCAAGAAAATCCAGCCAATTCCAACCAATTTTGATAGATCCACCAAGAACATATCAAAATTAAACAGCCCTAACTTTAGCCACATGGTAATGGTGGGCCATTCAATCATTCCATCAACAGGCAAGAGCCTTTAGACACCAATATACAGGTAAATCATACATAAAACGTATCTCACCAGAAATAATTACTGATTAAAGTGAATAATATTCCATGGTGCAATGTTCCTTAAAGAGATAGCTCTAAGGATTACTCACAGCATCTTAAGCAATATGACACGAAATTAACGTTATAAATTTTTCTTTAAGAAATTAAAGTCCAAGTTCACTGAGATCCTGGCCACTGAAAGCGTATCAACTTGAGTCCTTGTCTGTGCACCCAGCCCAGGCAGGCCTCAGCATGAGGCAGGCTCTACAGGCGTGAGCCCTGAATGCCGTCACTCCTGACCACAGAACAAAGATACACCAGTCACCAGATACCTGCTTGTAAATCTGGCCCTTCTGCAACTTGTGGATTTTATCCCAGAGTAGGACACCTTTCTCATTCATTTTCCGGAAAGGTCTAAACAACAGAAACAGAAACCTTATGACATGTAGCTGTGGAAACAGTAGCAACAGGTAGTTGATATGCTCCCCCCAAAAAAGCCCAAAAACCCCAACTCCGTCACACTTCCCTGCCTGGGACAGTATTTCTCAAATTGTCCCAGGATCCCAAAGGTAATTTAAGGAAAACAGAATCCCAGGGTCAAATACATCCAGAGAGCACTGGGTGTCATGAACACTCTGTCACCAAAGTTAGTAATGTGTCACAGAAGCCCTACTGGAAAGACACTTCCTTTAGCATCCACATCACAAAATTACATGATCATGAAGAAAACGATCTTTCACACATATATACACACCAAAAAATTCTTGTATAAACAGTGGCACAGTCCATTTGCCCAGCTGCAGGGCTGAAATTCAGCCACTCCAGATCAACAAAACCAGGGAAGCAGAGGTGACCTGATGACTGATACTGAGAACCACAGAAGGCCCAAAGGACCCTGGATTAGTTTACCTTTTTTTTTTTTTTTTTTTTTTTGATGACCATGGTTTGAGATAATCTTTCTGAATACAAACTCACTGTAGGAAAGCTGAGAAAGTAGAAAAATAAAAGAAGCAAAGGAAAATGACCCACAGCTCCAAGACCCAGGCACAAGCACTTGACACTGCTGTGCATGTCTTCCAGTCTTGGCTTTGGTTTTTATCTGAACAGAAAATGGAAACCACTTGGTATGCACCGATCACTGCCTATCTCCCAGAGATGACAGATTCCTAAACTCATCCTTTTTATGCTAACACAACCTACTACCCTCTTTCTCCCCCCAGATACATCAGCCCTCAAGCCTCTCTAACATCCCCTGGAGGGAGGTCAGAAGTGAACCACTGGTCCCCACAACCTTATTTGTCATCTCTCACTGTAAAACACACAGTGACACACACTCAGGGTGACATCAGCTAGCTCATCAGCTCATCAGCTCCATGGCCAGCCACTCAGAATAAAGGCAGAATAAATGGAGAAACGAAGGGGACAACTAACGTCTGCCCCTCTCCAAACCACACCTCCAGCTAGGAACAGCTGGCAGGGTACCTCCTCAGGGACAGAGTGGCAGTCAGGAATAGTCCTATGGTTTCTCCTGCTCTCTCTCCCACCCAGTACTGCTCAGCCTCTGCCCCGTCCCCAGGCCTGGGTTTGTCTCTTCTCCCAAGTGTCATTATGTCACCTGACTACTTCCAGCACCCACCATGTCATGATGCCTTCAGTCACCTAATGGGGAGCCACAGGCTGCCTGCACCCCAACTGCAGCTGAGATACTAGTGGGTCAAGTGTCCCCACATGGGCCCTTGCACAAATCCAAGCTTGTGGGAGAGCAACTGTGCAGTAATTCTCTGTCCTATAGAAGTGGGGACAGTTCAACAAGCAGGCCCATTGGGAGGGGTGACAGACAAGGGGGCATCCCTAATCGCAGCCACTCAATGCTCACAGCGGCGGGACCCCCTCTTCCCAAGGCAACTATGGCAGCAAAGCATCACATTCAAAGTGACCAGGGCAAAAAAAAAAAAAAAAACAAAGTGACCAGGGCTTACTTGCCCTCAACACAAAACCTGGGCTGCAGAGAAATCAGTGCAAATGCACCGACCACTTTAAATGTACCAATGGCATTCTCTTGAAAGAACCAAGTCACTCATGGTTGCTCAAGCTCAACGAAGCCTCTCCAGCCACACAAGAGTCAGTGCTCAACCCACAATCCTTGCAATCGCATACAGGAAGGGGTCAGAATCCTATTCCATCATCACAGATGCTCGCGACTCTGTAAGTGTTGTCAAGTCACCTACATATGCATTCATGGCCACAAAGGAAAAACAAACAAACAAAAGAATCCCATAGACAGGGACACTCACCTCCGCTTATCATTGAAGAAGTTGGGCTTCTCCGCCTGAACTATGACCACATCAAACAGGTCCCTCCAGTCCTTGCCCACGATGTACCTCATGCCTTTGTCCCTGCAATGGCGAGTCAGCTGTGTCCACTCAATGCAGCTTTATTGGTGAGGAAGCAATCTCGGGTGTGTGGGAGGGGATCAATATTTGCTTTCCAACCACAGAAACAAACGGAGGGCAAGCCAGCCCAAAGTAGGCCAGGGATCACAAAGGCACTTACACGAAGCTGCTGGGGCTGTTGGTGATGAGGAACATCTTCTTGCCATGGTCTGCCAGCTTAGCCAGCACAGCACGGGTCTGCTCAGCATAGCAGATATACTTCTCTAAGGATGAGAGAAGAATGCACAGCCAGGCTCAGCATGAAAGCAGGCACGCATGGGCACTCACCACGCAGGGCACGTTCTGCCAATGGTGGGGAACAAAAGGGAATGAGGACTGCTGGGCAGGTGGGGACAGGGCACGGGGAAAAACAAGTGGCTGCAGCTGCCAGCTCCTCTCTTTTTAAGACAGAATGATGGCAAGTTCTGGGACGCAGAGGAGGGGGCCCTCCATGAAGGCAGCAGAGCCCCAAGCATGCAGAGTCCAAGGCCCACATGGCAGCCCAGCAGGCAAACATGACCCAGAACCTACCAATATCAGCTTCTATGGCCCGGTACATGATCCCTTTGGTGTGCACATCCCGGATGGAATCCTGCCCAAAGACACATTAGCAATTGGTGAGGGTGGATTCAGCGTGACTGCAGCACCAGTGCAGGTGACAAGGCCCTGGTGATGGTCAGCTTCAGTGTCTAGGAAGAGTCTGCCAAGCCAGACACGATCTAAATTCTGGACCATTTATCAGAGGCAGCTCTTGGGAAAAAGTCTAAGTTTCCATGGTGATACTGGCAGTGTGCGATGCAATTTTCGAAAGGGTCACCCGGAAGAGGTATGCTGCCTGAGTAATTCTGAGCAAGGCTTCAGGTGATAAATGATCATTTAGAGGCAACACGAAGAAATGACTCCAGCTCATCTGCACACAGGAAGCCCCTGCCCTTGGCATCTTGGCACCCTTCCCCAGGCCCGCAATGGCAGGTCCTGCCACCTAGCATGAGACAGCAGTACACGCGCACACACACACACACACACACACACACACACACACACACTCAAGACCCTCCTTTTCTCCCAGGTGCCCATATGGTAAGGAACTGCCAACGAGGTCATCGCTCAGCTACAGGATGCGTCATAGTAGCTTGGTGTCAGTGTAGCATGATTTCAACTAAATTTAAATCTTATGGAAAGTTTCCACATCCAGCAGGGCATTGGGCTGTAAGCAAAAGCAGCACAGACCTTTTAGCTACATGTGGCAGATTTCTGCTGCGAGTGAGCACGTCTGGACTGCCATCTCAATCTCCATGATCTCTCAGCACAGCCGGCTTCCGGCAGTACAAGGAAGTGGCTAAACACAAGCAGCACTACCTGGATGAAAAAGCCAGGCTCTGCTGCTTATGAGCTGTGTAACCTGAGTCAATAACCCTTCCAATCTGTTCCTTAATGACCTTACTTGTAAAACAGGACAAACATAATTGCAAGAACTGTTGTGAATGTTTGCTAAGTTGATAGGCATAATGTACTCAGAACAGTGTCTGAGGGCAAAGTAAGCCCTACAAAGTGTCTGCTACTGATGCTGGCAATATTTGTAGTAAGTAGTGAAACATAAAAAAATCTGAGACAAGGGGCCCTGCTCTGTGGCATAGCATCAAAATCCATTGTTTTTAACACTAGCATCCCATAGGGCCTCTGGTTCAAGCCTGCGCTGCTCTTCTTCCAATCCAGCTCCTTGCTAATACATCTGAGAAAGCAGCGGAAGATGGCTCAAGTGCTTGGGGCCCCTGTACCCATGAGAGATGTGGATTCAGCCTGGCCCATCCCTGGTTACTGTGGCCATTTGGAGAGTGACATAGTAGATGGAAGACCTCTCCATCTCTCCCTCTCTGTAACTCTACCTTTCAAATAAGCCTTTCAAATAAGAAGTTGTGACAGGATGTACAACAACATTTCTATGTGCACTGAAAGGAAAAAACAGAAACACTAAAACTGAATTCATATTAGACTGATGCTTAGAAACTAATTCACTCTTTATGTTCCTAAACCCTTGATTCAAATTTAAGATTACTCTATACATGCACAAATTTTATACTCAAAATTTATACTTCAATTTTGAATTTAAAATTAGTTCTGAACAATAAAAATACTCTGGCATATAAATACATTCCTTTTAAAACTATTTTAAATATACAATACAGATAGGAAAAATATGTAAGTATTCTATATGATAAATATATACAATATGCATCCATCAAAAAAGTTCATGTAGCTTAGAGGATGCAAATAAACACCAGGGTGGGTGTTCATCTCAGTAGTGAAAATCAGGGCTAGATTCTCTACATCCCATTACCAGAGGACCTGGGTTTGAGTCCCAGCTCTACTTCTGATTCCAAGGCTCACATATACCCTGGAGGATCAGCACATGTCAGCTCAAACTGACAGTCCATGCCACCAATATGGAAGACCTGAATTGAGTCCCAGGCTCCAGCCATCAGTTCCTGACCTGGTGCCATGGCAGGCATATGGAGAATGTGTCAGCCAATAGAGGCACTCTCTAGGCCTATGTCTCCCTCCCACTCAAATAAATAAAGCAAAATCTAAAACTATTATCTATAAACTCATGTGAATGAGTATGGATTTAACCACATGTGAATAAAAATGTTTGCACATCAATAATGTGTACACCGGCATGTAAACGTACAGCTCTGTCTCAAGCCTCTCCAACCAGTTCCTTCCAGGCTTTCATAGGGAACCCTATGGGCATCAGGACAAGGAGCCCTTGAACCACTCCTTTCTACCCATGCCTCATGAACATAGTATCTGTCAATTAAAAACCAAATTAAGAAAAGACACAACAGGTTCCTTTGTGGGAAACTTCAGTGGTGAAGACCACAGTCAGAGTGCCATTGAAACAGAGACCACACCACCACCATCTCCACCAGCACAGGCCGGACCTCAGTCCCATTCAGCCCCAAATCTGAAGAGCAGGTGACAGGACAAGCACCAGCTTGTTTCAACACAAACCATGACCAGTTCCCAAGCTTCCTGCCTGACCACTTCCCTGGGATGCTCAAAGTCATACCGCAGCTGCCGAGGCCACGGTGGTGGGCCCAAGCTCTGACCTTGACATCTTTGTACAGGTGCACAGGCTCATAGTCAATGTTGTTCTTCAGGAAGTACTCATTCACACATGATAGGAGTGTCATCTCTGGCAGGGAGAAGATGTCCATGAACTGTTTCATGGTGTTCCCGTGCGAGCTCTGTGAACAAGGAAAGACACTGAGGACAAGAGGGACCCAGGTGGCAGTGAGCAGCCCTTGCTGGCCCACACTAAGCTGGATTCTCCACCAAAAAAGCAAACTTGTAATGACAGAAAAGTGGGAAGCTTACCTCATTCCTGTTGACTCACAATGGACCTCCCATCTTCATCCAGGTATAACTGGAACATCCAAGGAAGGCCTGATTCTGCTCAAGTCAACCCATGCTACCCTGCACTGGGTGCAACCCCTGTACACACTCCTCAATGAGCCCGGGGACAGCCAGTATACAGACTGTGGTCATGGGATGGCCACAGTCACTGAGCCCTCCCAACTTACAGCACCCTTCCCAGTCTAACGGAGTGGGAAAGGAACTTTGCCAAACAGGCTTAAGAGTCCCACTCCTGAGTGTGCTGGCTCACCATGACTCTTTCATTTTACTCTACCAGTGTAAGAAAATGCCTCTCTAGGGGCTGGCGTCACAGCACAGTGGGTTGAGCTGCCACCTGGGACACCCACATCCCATATCAGCCTGGGATTGGAGTCCCAACTACGCTTCTTCTGAGCCTTCTCCCTGTTCACACACCCGGGAAGGCAGCTGAAAAAGGGTCCAAGTGCATGAACCCCTGTCACCTACACAGGAGACCCAAAGGAGTTGTAGGCTTCCAGCCTTGGCCTAGGCCGGTCCTGGTTACCATGCCCATTTGGAGGATAAACTAGTAGATGGAAGATGCTCAATTCTCTCTCGCTCACCCTCTCTTGGTCTATTTCAAGTTAATTAATAATTAAAAAAAAATTAAAAGAGGGGCTGGTATAGTGACAGCAGGTTAAGCTGCCTCCTGCAATGCTAATCCCCCACATCAGGGCCAGTTCAGAGTCCTGGCTGCAGCTCTTTTGATCCAGCTCCCTGAAAAAGCAGCAAAAAAAGGTCTAAGTCTTTGGGCCTCTGCACCTACATAGGAGACCTAGAGGAGGCCCTGGCTCCTGACTTTGGCCCGGCCCAGCCCCAGCCGCTACAGCTAGTTGGGGAGCGAACAGACAGAAAATCTCTTTACCCCCATCCCTCCTTTCTCTAACTCTGATTTTCAAACAAATAAGTCTTAAAAAGAACCACTGAAGAAAGGCAAAACAAATCATAACAGAAAGTAGGAGGGTGTGGGGGCAGGATTCTAACATGCTATTCACTCTCCAACCTAGGGTTTCCACAAACACAGGCTTCACTTCCTCCACGTGAAGCGGCATGTGAGAGGCTAGTGGTTCATGCCCCAATGCTTCCAAGACTGCGATTCAGGAAGGAACAAAGGCTGCTTTACAGAAAGTGTTTCTCATTACCTTGCCATAGAAGTCACTCATCTGCTCCAAGGGCACATGGGACCCCTCGTACATTTCAATGACCTCTTCATCAGGGACCACATTGAGGCCTCTAGAAAAATCAGACAAAGCAAAAGTGTTCCGACTTCCATCCCCCGCAAGACACTTGTTACCAGGAGGGACGAGAGCCACATCCGATTGCAACCAACAACGGATGAGATGCTGTCATCACTGATGCACCTGCTGTTCTCCCAGCAGCACAGGAGTGGCACTAGCAGCCAATGCTCGTGGTGCCTACTACACGCCAGGTGTGAGGCATCTGTCAATCACAGAAGCCTCAACAACCCCACAAGGAGACTCTCTTAATCTTCCCACTCTCCTCTTGGGGTAACTGATGCTCAGCAAGGCTACACACCTTGCCAAGCCCACCAAGGTAGATGACTGGCTCTACAGTGGGGTCTTGCTAATTTTAATGTTTTTTTCATAGAGGAAGGAAGAAGGAGCAAACTTGTGCTCCTGTCTTTTGCCATTATTCCTTAAGAATATGGACACAAAGTGGAGTAAAGTCTCAGAAGGGGCTCTCTGGACTGTACCCTGTGATGTAAGAGAGTGAGAGACCAGACCAGGAATAGCCCCCAAATGATCCAGAGCACTGAAGAGAAACACCCACATCTGGCTGCCTCTGGAATTCACACACAGGGAAAAAGCTTGTTTTGATGTAGGTGGCCTGAGCCCCATGCCTGCCTCTGTACCTGCAATGCCACCCCACTGTGGGGCATCTCATGCAGAGTACTGGTCCCTCACCTCTCTTCTAGAGGACAGCACTGGGCAACAACCAGGCATGACCTGAAACTATGCAAGGAACCAAGCAAGGAATGCCACACTGTTCCACACAGGAGACAGGATATGCAACAGTCTGGCTGCCCTGTGCACAAAGCCACCTGCTGATGGGAAAATCCACACACAATGCAGTGTTTGTGGTGACAACCAAGGTTAACAAAACCATCTCTCCAAACTGCAGCCCTGATTAACCCATCACAGCACCCATCCTTTAGAAACAAAAGAGCGCCAGTGTTGTGGCATGCAGGTTAAGCTGCCTACAACAACGCCAACCTCCCATTTAGGTGCCAGTTAGAATCCCAGCTACTCCACTTCCCAGCTAACATTCCTGGGAATGCAGCAGAGGATGGTCTAAGTCGTTGGGTTACTGTACCAACCTGGAAGACCAGATGAAGCTCCTGGCTTCAGCTTCACCTATCTCTTCCTCTCCCACTTAATCTCTTTTTCTCTCTCTCTCATTCTATCTTTTTCAAATTAAGTATGTGTACGTGTGTGTGTATATACATACACACACAAATAGCTGTGTGCTCCTGCTAGCTTTACTCCAGCCAAGCAGACAGGCCTGAGGTTCTAAACCAGATTGCTCCTAGGCAGGATCCTGGAGAAGAGCCCTTGCCAAGCAGCCAGAGTGCCTATGGCTCTGACACTTAGAAAATATGAAAAGGAAGAGGCCCATTCCTTTGGGAGTCACAGCTGCCTCTAAGACACGTGCCCCAGGGCCCACAGGCCGCTTCTTTAAGTCCCAGTTGACCACAGGTAAGCTCAAACAGGTGGGTCCCATCTACTGACTCCCTCAGGGGCTGCACCCACCAGCCACCCAGAAGTGTCCAGTGCAACAGGACCCCAGCCCCACATCAATGCAGCCTGAACCTGTATTGAAATGGCAACAAAAGCCACTTTCTCCAGCCCTGCATGGGGCTGTGAGAGACGCAGAGGTGAGGGTATTGGAACTGGGTAAGCCTGCCCAGGATCCACATCCCAGCTCCTTTAATCACCAGGGAAACAGCCTTAGCAAGTCATTCACCTACAGGAGTCTCAATGTGTCCAGCCCTCAAACAGGGACAGCCCCTGAACATCACTTGCCAATGCCTGGAACGCAATCAGCTGTGCCAGGCGAGCTCCAAGGCGTGGCTGTGATAAGGAGGACTCAGACTCTGAAAGGCTCCTGATAAGAACTTCCAACATGGGAACAAACAGGTCTGCAGTGGAGAGCCGCTGTCCCCCAGCAAAGCCGGAAGTGGTCATTCCCACCTGGCACAGGAACCAGATGGCTGCAGCAGGTCTGCCCAACAGGCAGGGCTGAGCTGTGCTTTCGGGCCACCATCCTCTCACCTCTGACCCTGTAGGGGATGCTTCCACCTTGCTAATCTTCACAACAAACCACCATCCCTGGAGGGTGAGGGCATCAGGATCATGCTGCACCTGTTCTCATGTGTGGTTTCCCTATTCACACCCCTGGGGGAATCCGCCCCAATAAGTAAACACTTAGCACCCAGTAGAGACCGGCTCCCCACAGGATCCCCCCCACCTCTGCCCCACCATTACTCCATAGCCAGTGGGGTCCTGGCACCCAAAGTCACCTGCTTCTCCTGGGTCAATCAAATTTATTTCCTGTCCCGCTTACCTGTAGACCGTTCCCAACTGGATATAATGAAATGCATCAATCTTCATCAGGATCGCCTTCAAAGTATAAACAAGCACGCGTCAACAGCAGCCAACAACCTGCAGGCTCAATGAGCCCGCCCAGCCCTGCCCAGGGAACACCCCCTGCCCCAAAAAGGCAGCACCATGACTGCCCCCCAACACCAAAAAAGCCACCTAGAGACAATGGCCCCCTACAGCTGGAGGTGGTCAGGGTTTTCACACATCTCTTTGAAAAGATTTCTAAACACAATCGAAGAATTTGGCCTTGAAGAACAAAATTGAAAAACACTATCTGTTGAGTCGGGCACACTAAAGAGGGCATGTGAGGCTCTAAGGGCACGGCAGCTGAACATGCGCACAGGACCTACCCGTTGGACATCGTAGTGCAGTCCACGGATGGCAAAGTCGGGGTCATACTCATAGTTCCGGATCTCTGCAGGGTACTGGGAAGGAAGACAAGCAGGTCAGCTGACCAAGCACCAACATGCAGGGTGGCAGAGAACCAGGGCACGGCGGTCCCTCTGCTTCCTGCCTAGTGCATTCTGGCCACAGAGCACCCCCAGGCACCAGTCGGTTCCTTCCTCCTACCCCACCCCTGGCCCCTGGACTCCGGGATTCCCAAGACCTCAAAGCACACCTGCTCCCCCTCCGCACCACGGCTTCCTCTTGTTTCCTGAGCTGCCAAGGAGAAATCAGGATGCCCCCTTGGTGGCCACCACCATGACTCCCCCAAAACACACTGCCAAGCAGCCAGTCAGCTCCTATGGGACACTTCTACAGCCACATTTCAGGAGGAGACCTTGAGAAGAACTCCTCAAAGACGGCCCTTTACACAGCTATGCTGGCCTTCCTCTCCGTCCTGGGTTTCAGAAGCGAGTAGCTGGCTGTTTGGGAGGACCTTTCTCAACAGAAGCCCCCAGCTCTCACTGCAATGTCTGCCTTCAGATCATGCATGATGTCCACAGGCACCTCGGCTCCCTTGGCATCTCCCAGCTATCACCCCAACCCTCACTCTGCAAAAAAGGCCAATCCACTGGCAGCACTGCTTCTGCAACTATGGCACCACTGGCTCTGCCTTGTCCATGTGCGTTTCACAGAGGGCACATCAAGCACCCAGCTGGAGCAGGGCAGGTAGGCAGCCAGGCTCAGACTCAGGACCCTGTCCCTACCCTGGCCACACAGCACCTCATCAACCCTCCTGTACACAGGACACAGCATCCGTACCTGAGCCTGCCCAGGCGGTATCTCCATGGCCTGACTGCAGGCAGCACATCAATGCTTCAGCAAAAACCTGGGAAGCTAATGAGATGCCCAAAACACCTCTTCCCATGGATGTGCTGCTACTTACTTATAGCCAGGATCATGTTTACCTGAAAACACCTCCGAGTCCCACCAGACTGAACTGCATACAGCAAGTTTTCAAGCCAGGTCGCACAAAGCACTGACACAAATTTCACGTTTGAGATAATTTCTTATAGCTGCCCCAAGAAATCTCCAAGCTGATATTTCCAGATGGGCACCTCCAAGATATTTGAACATCATGTATGGCTTTGCATTTCTATTGAGGTTTGACATGGCCAACAGGGAACCCAATGTACAGGAATTCTGCCCACTACAATGAAGCCAAGCAGTGTGAGCACCTCTGGGGCCTCCTCTTAAGCTTGAGAAGTGTCGGGGTAGGTATGTAGAGCAGCGACTGGGGCTGTGCTTGGGACACCTGCATTCCACAGCGGAGATCAAGTCCCTGGCTCCTCTGCTTCCAGTCCAGCTTCCTGCTGAAGCACACCCAGGGAGGCAGCAGGTTTCAGCTCTCAAGTACGTGGGTCTCTGTCATTCCCAGAGGAGACCCAGATTGAATTCCTTTGTCCATTTTCCTAACTCAGTCCCTGCTTTTGCAGACCTGAGGGGAGCAAACCAGAAGCTTGGAAGACTATTCCCTTTCTCCCTCTTTCAAATAGATTAAGAAATATTAGTAAGGGAGGGAAAGTTGAGCATGAATAAACATTTAGTCAGGCAGGAGAGATCTATTTCAAATGTCACAAGCAGACATACCTTAAGAACCTTAAATGAGCACCTGCTAAGCCCCACACCCCCTAGGCACTTCTCACAACCTTCTGCTTACTCCTCATGCACCCCATGAAGGAGGCAAGGGCATCTCATGCCTATTTTACTGCTGACTCACATGTGGATCTGAGTGAAGGTTTGTGCCCAGGCCCACACAGCAAGACAGTGACTGGTCAGACCAGTGTTTAAGCTCAGGTCTGGGTGGTACTCAAGTCCAGCTTTAACCTACTCATCATCAACTACAAAGCAACTCATAGCCACCCTACTGATGCTCACCATCTCATGTTAAGGGAGTTCAAATCTTTCAATAGGGAGGCCAGGAAGGAGTACAGTGCTAACTACTTCAGGCAAGAGGCAGTGCACGGATAAGAGCCAAACCATCAAAAAAGTCAGCTGGCTTCCTTTGAATGAGGCTTATCTGGGCTCTCCAGGAGGATGTGGCCAACCTCAACTAAGTTTGCCCCAGCCTCTTGCTCTGACTATGGTATTCTAGGGCAGCCTCTTGACTGAGAACAAGGCTGTTTCCCCAATGGCCCAAAACCCAACAGAAATGACCTTGAGAACTGACAGAAGCAGCTGAAGAGCCTCCATGGGACAATGTCATCATAAAGCACAGGGGCCACGCCACGGACCTGACAGAGCAGGTGTCAAATCCTGGGCACCTGGCACCTAGCAGGTACTCGGTAAAACCAAGTTGCTTCACATGGTTGGGAACTAGGCAACCTGGGGCCTTAGAGCTACTCTCCCAGCCTGGCTTCTCTGTTGCCTGATGGAGACGAGTCCTTTCCCCAGGTCTATCCCCTCATCAGTGAAATGAAATGGCTGAATGAGGATGAGTCCTACATTCCAGTTCTGCACCCAAGTTGTCAGTTCCTCCCACAACCAACCAGGTCAAAACAACCCCATGGGGCCCGGCGCGGTGGCGCAAGTGGTTAAAGGTCCTCGCCTTGCACGCCCGGGATCCCATATGGGCGCCGGTTCTAATCCCGGCAGCCCCGCTTCCCTTCCAGCTCCCTGCCTGTGGCCTGGGAAAGCATTCGAGGACAGCCCAAGGCTTTGGGACCCTGCACCCGCATGGGATACCCGGAGGAGGCTCCTGGCTTCGGATCGGCATAGTATCGGCCCGTTGCGCTCACTTGGGGAGTGAATCATCGGATGGAAGATCTTCCTCTCTGTCTCTCCTCTCTGTATATCCGCCTTTCCAATAAAAAAAATAATAAAAATAAATCTTTAAAAAAAATAAAAAAAAAAAAACAACCCCATGGTGAACATGACCATCTCATACGATGAGTGCCTCAATTTGACAGCTGGCTCCATTCCCAATTTCTGCTTCCTGGTAACGCAGACCCCAGAAGGTAGCAGGTAGTGCGCAGGTGGCTGGGTTGCTGCTACCCACATGGAACACCTGCCTCGCGTTCTTGGCTCCTAGCCTCCATCCCCAGCCTGAGGACACTGTGGGCTCCTGGAAAGTGGACAGCAGATGGGAATTCTCAGTCTCTCAAATGAAAAAAAAAAAAAAAATACTGACACCGGGCTCCTTTCCAAAGCATGCATATACACACAGACACACACACACACAGATTCTGAGAACAATGGTTAACGGTAACACCCATTCCAGCAAGTCACGAACTTTTGGTTCTTGAAATGAGAGTCAGGTCAGAGGAAAAAATGTAAAGGGTTGAGCATTTTTCTTTTTCCCTCCTTTGCTAAAAGCTCCCAAGAACACCATGGAAATATTCAAATACAGATACAATTATTATCCAATTTTTAAATTTCCCATTATACAGCTCTGAGCGTTTAAAAAAAAATAGGTAATTATTAAAGGCCTGGAAGTTCTTACATTTGCTTTTGGCAAAGACACTAAAGTACAAATGTACTGTTGCATGACGAAGCAACTCAACAGCAGATGTCCTCCCATTTCCATGGGTACACGAGGTACATTCAGTCTTGGCAGAAAACAAGGCGCTGGACCCACCACCTCTTAGGAAAATGCCTTTGTTGAATCACAGCCACACAGACATGTGCATGAGCACAATGACTCATCCTGTGCCTGATACAATCTGCATAACTGATCAAAGTGAAGCACAGGACAATGAAATGCCAAGGAGTTCAGAGAATCTTCTCATCATCATGATTCCCTTTTTAGAGATTTTATCCTTTACCCCCAAATTCCCAAATGTTTTATGATCATGAATATTTTAGTTTTATCCAAAGACACCAAAGCCCCCTAGGGTAGAAAGGCATTATTAACCTCACGAGGGGTCCAGAGAAGAAGGGCTGGACTCGCAGCACCTCGAGAACAGATCCAGGCCCACAGCCTAGCTATGCCTCCTGACTTGCAGTTTAACTCTCCCAGCCTCCTTTGCCTCAACTGTGAGGAGGACTGTCCTATAGAGACGAAAGTAGCAGAAACATTCAAGTACTGAATGGCCTCCATGTGCCAGGCATTTGACAAGTATTAACTCCCTTAATTATCACCATAACACTGTGAGGAAAATGCTGCTGTTGCACCCATTTTACAGGGCAGGAAACTGAGGCCCCCAAGGACCTGAAAACACTATCCAAATGACTCAGAAGACAACTGGGAAAAGCAAGACTTGAAACCCACTAGTCTAGCTCTGGAACAGCACTTTGACACCTAGCCAGCAATGAACAGTGCTATTAGGGTCACCATCTGCATTTCTAAGTAACATCAAGGTCACAGGCAAGGCAAGGGAAAGCTGACCCAGGGAAGGCCAGGGGCAGTGCAGCACTCCTGAGCCACACTCCCCCCAAGGGGGGTGCACAGGTGGTGGAGGGTGACAGATGGGAAGTAAGAACAGAACTGGCTCCCCATCTCCCGGTCTAAGGGGAGTACACCAGCTTGGAGTGCAAGGCACTGAAGAGCAAGTGGCTGGATGGTTCTCCCTCTAGTGCAGTGGCCAACATGAAAGAAAGCCAGTTTAACAGCAGAAGGAAAGATTATTTATGGCAAACACCATTTCCGCACATTGGACGAGGAGAAATTAGTTGCATAAATCTAGTGAGAATCAAAAGCTGAGGATCCAAAATATACGGATTAAATGATTAAGACCAAAAATTTTAGCTGTATTAACCAAAATACAGCATTCAGGTCCAGGGAGGTGATGAACTTCTCAAGGCCCACACAAGTTAGACACCACTTACAGGAACAACCGCAAGGCAGGGCTTCACATCTGAGCGTCACCAACTACAGCACACACAAAGGAAGGGGACCAAGATGATTAAGAAAAGATGGGCCTGGCACAGCAGCCTAGTGGCTAAAGTCCTCGCCTTGCACATGCCAGGATACCATATGGCCACTGGTTCTAATCCCAGCGGCTCTGCTTCCCATCCAGTTCCCTGCTTGTGGCCTGGGAAAGCAGTCGAGGATGGCCCAAAGCACCTGTGTGGGAGACCCAGAAGAAGCTCCAGTTTCCTGGCTTCGGATCAGATCGGCTCAGCTCTGGCCATTGCAGCCACTTGGGAACTAAATCAGTGGATGGAAGATCTTCCTCTCTGCCTCTCCTCCTCTCCATATATCTGACTTTCCAATAAAAGTAAAATAAATCTTAAAGAAGAAGTGCTGGTGTTGTGGCACAGCATATTAAGTTACCACTTCTGACATCAGTATTCCAATATTAAAACAGCAACTCAAGTCCCAGATCCAACCCAACTCCCTACTAACACATTGGGGAAGCAGCAGAAGACAGCCCAAGGCCTGGGCCCCTGCACTCTTGTGGGAGACCCGGATGGAGCTCCTGGCGCCTGGCTGTGGCCTGGCTGAAACCAGGCTGCTGCTCCCTATTTGGGAACTGAACCAGCAGGTGGAAGATCAACCTTCAACCTCTCTCCCTCCCTACTTCCTTCTCTTTTTTTTTTTTTTTTTGTTTTTTAAAAATAGCTGTTATTTTATGAAATAATAAAAGTTAAAAACTTAAAAAAAAAAAAAACCACCATTTCCAATGGAACAACATCTACTCATTCAACAATAGCTCACTGAATTCTGTGTGCCAGGCACCTGGCCTGCCCGCTCAAGGCTGGCCTTCTCACACATGCCAAGGGAAAGAAGAGGGCGAAAGGCAGAGACGTTCTGGTGGCCTTACCCGGTGTTCATTGATGAGAAGGTCCCGAGCAGCATTAAATATCAGTGTGTGCAGGTGCTTCGAATAAAACACCAGGGTGTAGTCATAATCAAAGCCATAGATCTCAATATCCGACAGGCTCATTTCATTGTTCGAGAAAATGGCATCTGGATTCAACAAGTTGCTCATAACTGAAGGAACCAATTCTAGAAGGGGAGAAAAAACACATTACACCTCCTGAGGAAAGGCAGTGTGACTCCTACATACAATGAGGAAAGCACACTACGAGAAGGATATTTCACCACATAATCATTACGCAAAAGAAATCTGGCACAAAGGACCCACACTGAAAAGGCAAACTCAGGGCTTGATGCACATGTTTGCATCTCTGCCGCTCTGCTTCCAATCCAGCTGCCTGCTGATGCACCAGAAACCAGTGGATTACGGCCCAAGTACTTAGGCCACAGCACCCACGTATAAGACCTGTAAGCAGCGCGAGGCTCCTGGGTTGGGACCAACCAAGTTCTGGCCATTACGAACTTTTGGGAAGTGAACCAGTACATGGAAAGATCTCTTTCTCTCCTCCCATCCCCACCCTATAATTATGCCTTTCAAATAAATAAGTCTTTAAACAGACAACCTCACTGGGACATGGACAAAATCAAAGTGGCTGCTTAGGACTAGGAGACTGGGAGAGGGTGGGTCATGACTGCATTGGCTACAAAATGGCTTTCTAGAATGATGACAGTATCCTAAAACTGACCGGACAATTGTAACAGTCGAACATTTCTTGTGAATATTCCAAAATTTCCTGAATGAAAAAAAGACTTTCAATGGGTGGTGTGGTATGTAAATTAAACATCAAGAAGCTGTTACTGAAAAAAAAAAAAAACCTTACTGCAACAACACAAAAAAAGATCAGTTTCATTTTTAAAATCCATGCAAGCACTGCCTTTTGCAAGACATAGCTTAAATACCACCCACCATCACACCACCCAGAAAACACTGTTAATATTTTATGCATTTGCTGCTAATTTTTTCTTTTAGGCATTTCACATAGTTGATTTCGCACTGCACACACAGGCTTGCATTACAGGCTCTAACGTTAATAAACAATCGTGATCCTATTTCCATATCACTACAGACATTTCCAAAAATATAACACAAAATTTTGGTATGCTGATGAGCACAAACTTTGACTCCACGATACACACTTAAGTTCCTTCCTGTTTGATAGAAACGACACTGCAGTGAGAGCAACTTCAGGTGTTCATGGGGTCTGCCTTCCCCACTACTTCCTGCAGTCACTTCATCTGGAGAACGACTCCCCACACACTGGCACCAGCTCCTGGGCCCAGTCCTGGTGTAACTATGTACAGATGCTGCTACGTCATCACTTTCATTTCTTCTGGAGAACTTCCAAAAATTCTCCCTACCTGTTTCCTGCAGTCCACATGACAAAACTCTGAGATACAACAGGCAATGCCAGGGATCTTCCCTGCCACTACGTGGCAATTTTGTCATTACAGGAATCAATTCACTGTTAGTCAAGTAATGCCCTCTATATGACTAAAAGCGGAAGAATGACAGATCACCAGGAGGGTGATCCCAGGAGGCCATCACTGTGATGTCACCTTTCTGCTCTCTCTGCACTGCCGCAAGAAATGTCTTCACTTTCAGTATGAAAAAACAGAAATCTGAAGACACCATCTCTGCAGTCATGTTTTTTATTAAAGATTTACTTAACTGATTTGAAATACAGAGTGACCAAGAGAGGAAGAGACTACTACAGGTCTTCCTTCAGCTGCTTCACTCCCCAGATGTCTGCAACAGCCACATCTGAGACTGGAGCTCCATGTGGGTCTCCCAGCAGTGTGGCAGGGACCCAAGGATTTGGCCCGTCTTCTGCTTCCTTCCCAGCCTCATCAGCAGGGACTTGGTTCAGAAGCAGGACAGTGGGACTCGCAACTGGCACTCTGATACAGGATGCCAGCATCTCAGGAGGTCAAGTTCATGACTTCAAGACACATAGATGAGAATTTGATTTTTCATTTCTCACCCACAGTGACAGGAAAGACAGCAGCTGCCTAGAATCTAGTATCAGAGAAACCTGAAGTCTCAGAGCTCTCCTATGTGAAATGGTGGAGCAAAGGCTGAACAAGATATTTCAAAGGACAGTGAGAAAGTACTTGTCCTCCCCCACTTAGTCACCTAAAAGGAACAACCTCATCACACACGGCTGCATGGCAAGAACATGACCTGTCCTGCACAGCTACAACAGCCTTCTTGCATCTTTGATGATACCATGCCCTAAAATGTGCTTGAAACAGCTCCTGGGTAGACCAATGCTAAAGGCAGGTGAATTTGTATTGACAAGGATGGAAATCAAACTGCTTTACAACTGCCAATCACATGTTCCTAGTTTCACAGCTAAAACGTATTAAGCATTAACCATGATTACACGCGATCAACAACACTGTCCACTGCTTCCCTTAATCCTCCCAACAATCCTGCAAAGGCCTGTGCTACAGCAGCTTCCTTCTGAATCAAGCTACTGGAGGCACACAGACTAGGAAGCCTGCTAAGGTTACAGTGTCACCACATTGCACCCCTAAGTCTGAACCTGGAAGTTCAGCTTCAGAACCTATGTTCTTAACTCCTTCCCACAGGAATATGGCGATCAGCCAGTATGTATGGAGAGAACTGTTTCAATAAAATAAGCTGCAGGGGGTTCACAGAGCAGCTTAGTGAGCTTAAACACAGCAAGGTTGGAGGTTCATGTCCTGGCTGCTGAACGTGATTCAGTCCCCGCCTATAGCTTGGGAAAGCAGTGGAGGACAGCTCAGGCCCTTGGGCACTTACACCCAAATGGGAGACCCCGAGGAAGTTTCTGGCTCCTGGCTCCTGATCAGCTCATCTCCAGCCATTGCAGCCACTTGGGTAAGTAATCAGAAGACAGATCTCCCTCTGTCTCCGCCTCTCTCTGTAACTCTGACTTCCAAGTAAAATAAAGAAATCTTTAAAAAATAAAAATTAGATGATTTCTAAGCTTCCCCTTTCCTTACTGCTTCCTTCTCTGGGACCATCAACAATCTTCAGAACCCATTCCTGTCCTAAGGAGGCGCTACTGCAGCACGGCAACAGCCCTGATGGGGCAGCACAGGCGCTGTCAGGACCACATCCAAGGCACCGCAAGGGGCTCCAAGCTTTCCAGAAAGTCCTGCATGTGGGCCCTAACAGAAACTACAGAATCTATGCCCCAGAAAAACACATGGATAAAATTCACAGGAAATCTCAGGGGGAGAGGGTTCCCTAAGGCCCCTCACGGTCCCCAACAAAGTTTCCACATTATACACATTGAAAATGTAGCCCTATCTCCCCACACAGAATTTCCAGGCCAATCAAGACAAACATATGAATGGATGCATGATTTTCACATTGACAATCTAGATATGACTGAGTCTACTAAGAACCAAATGGTCAAGAGCTATCCACACTTCCATTTCTTCAACAGTTTGGGGTTTTGTTGTTGTCGTCGTTTTGGGGGCTTTGGGGGCTGGGTTGTTTTTCTGTCAACACTAACAGGACAATACTCTTAACTTTTCGCCCATTTGTAAATAACACAGATTTGAAGAGGGCAAACAGACAGAAATTCAAAGACAGAGCTTTCAGCAGAACAGGCACCGAGGAGGGGGGCGGAGGCAGAAGCCCCAAGCGCTCAGGTATTCAACACCCTGGACTGCCAGGCCTGACATAACCCACGGACCACTGCAGCGATGCTATTTTCTGAGCATGAGCACAGCACTGCCCACAGGTGCCCGGGGGCAGCATTGCCCACAGTGACCCACAGCTCCACTGTCACGCACAGCCTTCCCAAGGGAAGTCCCGGCACCTGTTTAAGCGAAGGTTTATCTTTAGAAGTCCTGTTGGTAGGAAGGTCCCTCATCCTTTCTACTATCTGCGAAGACTGACACAGAGCCCTCAAGGAAAGATGATGAGAATGGAAAATTACAGCTGGCAGCCTTGCCCGTGGCTGCAGGGGATACCCTGTGGGAGGCAAGTGTGTCACATGAGTACCAACCCCGAGATCTGGCTGCCGGCGACACTGCAAAAGGATCTCAGCACCCAGGACACTCGCTACAAGGAGAAGCTGCGAACAATTAGCAGGCACAAGAAAGGGCAGCCAAGCACACTCCCAAGGGGAGGCCATCTGCACTCCAGACTCTCAGAGTGAACCAAAAACCCCTTGATCAGCCAGTCATAGCCTTCTCCAAAGCAAGCATAGGCACACATTACAAAGGGGACGCTTCCAGGCATAACAGACGGGGATGGTAAGATTGCACAGTCGGCACAAAGAAAAAACCCACAGTTCTGCTGCTCTGAGCTGGAGGTGACTGGCAGCCCAGGTGCAAATCAGAAGCCCCTGCACCTTTGCAGCTTCCACTTCTGCTCGCTTGGATTTGTAACACGGACACCCAAATGTCCACGATGGCGAAAAGACTGAGCCAAGCTGAAATCAAGACCTCACTGAGCCATCCACATGACAGACATGATGCCTTTAGTCACCAAAACTGCCTCCACAATTGGAAACCATTACACTTCGTGAAATAAGCCAGGCCAAAAGACAGATACCCTATGCTCTCCTAATCTGTGATAACTGACACAGAGTACAAAAATTGTTATCTATGGGGAGAGTGACATTCCGGGGTTTGATTGCAGTGTACACCTAAGAAACAGCGAGTTTACTGCTTTTTGTTAGCTTGAGGTTTTTGTCATTGTTCTCTGCTATTACTATTTCCTACTTGTCATGTGTTGATATCTTTACCAAATGGAACGTTAAACTTGTAGAAAAAAATAAATTTTTAAAAATATGTAAAAAAAAAAAAAAGAAAGAAAGAAAGAAAAAAGAACCCTGTCTCCAGAAGTGCACATAGCAGGAAGCAGGAGATTGGAAATTGGAGCAGATTCAGAACTCAAACCCAGACATTCCAACAGGGGAATGTAGATATCCGATGGCATCTTAACCCAGGAGCCAAATGCCTGCCCCAGTTTCTGCTTCTCCAGATGCTGATCTCACAGGACACAGAGGGATGCACGGGAAGACCTACAGGGAAATTCACAAGCTTCCTGTGGGGTGTGGGGGCAGGCAGCTGTTCATCAGACAATACACATAACATAAAATACATCATCTTACAGTGGGGCTGCT